AACTTACACTCGTTCTTCCCTTCCTGTCCCTGCCCCTCGTTCTTCTGTGGCTCCCAAGGCCACGTCCACTCGTTCATCTATCCCCACCCCTGCCCCTCGCTCTCCTGTGGCTCCTCGGACCACGTCCTCTCCTTCTGTGGCTCAGGCCACGTCCATTCCCTCTCCCCCTTCCCTGTCCCCGGGTGCGTCGTTCCTGAAAAGGTTCGACGAAAAGCACCCATCCACTCGTTTACCTGTGGCTCCTCGGACCACGTCCATTCCTTCTCCTGTGGCTCCTCGGACCACGTCCACTACTTCTGGTAATAGCCGTCCGTCTCGCCTTCAGGCGTTGCGGGAGGCGTATTACCGATCCCGCGAGGCCAGGGCTCGATCCGATGCAGCCCTTGCGTCCACCAAGGACGGAGCAGCTCCGGCTGCGAAGTCTGCGGCTCGCAAGGGTAAGTCGGTGAAGAGTGTCCAGTTTAGCGAGGTCACCACAGTCGTTACCGTAAGTCGGTGGATCATCAAAGCGCGAGATATCCACCGCTGCTGTTGGTAGTCTTTTCCCCTTTTCTTTTCTCCTTGTTGCAGGCTTTTCCTTGATTACTTTCGTTTTCCTGTATATTTTATTTTTGTATGTTTATCCATTGCCCCCGACTTGGCTGTGCTGGAGCCAAGTCGGGGCCCTTTACTGCTAATGGCCAGGTCACAGGTCCGGGCGAGAGACGACATTGAACGCCACCCACGAATGATCGAGCCGGCGACAGATTCACCGTCATCGATTCGCACCGGCTAACCCTCGGGTGCTTACGAGCCGCCGGCATTTCCGACCCCGCTGCGACACTAGTTTCCGGTACCCCGGGTGTTTGAGCAGAGGCACCACCGAGAATGTCTGAGGCAATCGACCTGATAGCGTTCAAGGTTGGCAGCGGATCCGGGCTTTGTGTGGGCAGCAAAGCTTGGTGAGGCATGTCAACCACGCTTACCGGGTATCGATCTGGCCGGCGGTTCAAGGGATGCCCGAGCGACGACATACACGGTCAGTATGACAGCAGCTAGCCAGCGGGCAAGGGGTGTCGGTAGGGCCACGGTATCCCGGGGGCGCGACAGAGGCGATCGATGGAATCTGGGTCGGAAACGGTTCGTGGGGGTTGTTCGTCGGGGGATCCGGGGGGGGCGATGGTTGGGGTTTTCCTTTGTCTTTCCTTTGTCATTGGCGATTGGCATTGGGCGTTCATTTTTCTTTGCATGTGTTGAGGTTCTGTTGTATATAATGCTTGCTTGCTGGCTTGCCTGCTCGCCATCTTGCTTGCTTCTTGCTTTTGCATTGCATGTGTCGAGACACTCGTGTATATAGAGCTGCCTTGCTTTTCCTTTCCTTTGCCTGTTTTGAGATATCTATTGTATATAGAGCTGCGCTGCTTGTTGTTTGTTTCTTTGCATGTGTTGAGTCTCTGCTGTAACTAAAGCTGTATTACTTGCTGGCGTTCATTTCCTTGCATGTGTTGAGATACCTCTTGTATATATAGCTGCATTGCTTTCTGGCGTCCCTTCTCCTTGCATGTGTTGAGATTCTGTTGTATATAGTGCTTGTTTGCTGGCTTGCCTGCTCGCCAGCTTGCTTGCTTCTCGCTTTTTCATTGCATGTGTTGAGATTCTGTTGTATATAATGCTTGCTTGCTGGCTTGCCTGCTCGCCAGCTTGCTTGCTTCTTGCCTTTTCTTTGCATGTGTTGAGACATCACTTGTAGGTAGAGCTGCGTTGCTTGCTGGCGTTTACTTTCCTTGCATGTGTTCAGATTCTGTTGTACATAATGCTTGCTTGCTGGCTTGCCTGCTCGCCAGCTTGCTTGCTTCTTGCCTTTTCTTTGCATGTGTTGAGTCTCCGTTGTAAGTAGAGCTGCGTTGTGGGCGTTTTGTTTTCCTTTTTCCGGGTTGGGTGGGCGGGCATCTTTGTTTTTTTTTCTTATGTTCTGCTGGCGTTTCTTTCTTTGCATGTGTCGAGAGTCTGTTGTAACTAGAGCTGCGTTATGGGCGTTCTAGTTTTCTCTTCCAGGGTCGGGTGGGTGGGCATCGTTGTTTTTATATTATTTCTTATGCTTTGCTGGCGTTCTGGTTGTTTCTTTTTAGGGTTGGGTGGGCGGGCATCTTTGTATTTTCTTTTGTTTTTCTTGCATTCTCCTCGCCTCTTTTAGGGCTGGGTGGGTGGGCATCTTTGTGTTTCCTATATTTGGCCGTATTCGGTCTTGCATTCTCCTCGCCTCGTCAAGGGCTGGGTGGGTGGGCATCAATGTATTTCCTATGCTTTTTTCTCACGCTGCTTTGACTCTTTCTTGCCGCTTTAGGGCTCGCTGGACGGGCAATTTTGTATCTCCGTTACCTTTGGGTTCCGGCTTTTTGTGATTAGATAGTTGGGGAGGTGATCATAAAATGATACCCTGTTCCCCGCCAACCTCTGTCAGTGTGCTCGTAGTCAACCAATTTAATGAGGTGTGAAGAGTTTGTACTTGAAGGTCTCCGCAACACCCTTCGTAAGCCCTCGTAGACATCGGTTCTCGGATCGAAAGATTATCCCATTGTATGAGGTGTATGTAGGAGAAGTTATCGAGAAGAAAGGGCAGCGTCGACGTAAACATAAACTGTGTAGGGGCTGGACGGCCAACTAGATGGCCATAGAGTGTCATATAGGATCGTTGTAGAATTTCTAGTGCTAAACTATAGATGATATGGGAAGGGTAGTAGTAGAGAGAGTCAGAAGAGAAAAAAGTATATGGATGGAGAGGAGAGAAAAAGTTATGACAAGAGTGGGATTCGAACCCACGCCCCTTTCGAGACTAGGAATGTTCTGAAGAACATGTGTGATCAGGTGACCTGACCCTAGCGCCTTAGACCGCTCGGCCATCTTGCCCAGTTGTTGAAGAAGGCAGTGACTTTGTAATACATAACTCAGAAGTTAAAAGTAGGCATGCGACCGAGCAACTTCGCAGTGCAGTGGAGGGAGGTCCACAGCCCCATGCAGTGGGGCATTGTGCGACATGGTCTACTAGTTATTTTTTGCTTCTTCTAAGACAATACTCCGTATAAAGTGTGTGATTTCTTTACTCGGTGTCATTCTATTGCTCTCTAGTCGATTTCCAACTCCGAGTTCTCGTGTTCGCTCTACGTAGAACCTTCCGGTGTTGATTTTGCGGTGTGGGCTCTGCTGGGAGAAGTAAACACTGCACAGTGAAGGCGATGTCGAGCTATCATACCTCAATCCTTTTGGTAAGGTCCTTGTACCGATGTTGTACATTTATGGATTAGCCTGTTGATGCGGAAACGCAGTTGAATCGTTGTATGTGTCATCTTTCTGGTTGGCAAGCGGGTTTGATATACGCGGTTGGCAGGGTCTCTAGAGACGCGTCACTGTGGTTTTCTTGCTCTTTTCAGGCTGCACTACTGGTGACCTTGGCTGCTGCGTGGTATTGACCGGCTTGCCTGTAAGATCAGTGGTGCATATACTAATGGGTGAGTGATTCCAGTGTGGATAGAGTTGATCGACAGTTGCCAGTAGTAGTACCCATAGTATATATACTAACGTGAAGGCCATTCGGCCACCTGATCCCAACACCAGCACTGACAGGGTTATTGAATATTAAATGACAAATTCAGACTAAGGCACGAAAGTTAAAGGCTTTCAGCTAATGAGACATCAAACGAATAAGATTATTAGTCGAAATAGTGTCTATCCAGCCTTCGCTGCCAACCGCATGGCGTGTTTTTCTCACTCACCCTACAGCTGCTCATCTAGCACTTATTGTTGACTAATTTCCATCAACCGGCAAGATGGCCGAGCGGTCTAAGGCGCTAGGGTCAGGTCACCTGATCGCACATGTTCTCCGAACATTCCTAGTCTCGAAAGGGGCGTGGGTTCGAATCCCACTCTTGTCATACATTTTTTCATGTCTTTGAATTCAACAGAGAATACATCCTCTTAACCGTGCAACGCTAGTAGTAAGGAGTTTATGGCATGTCTACAACAGAGGCCAAGGGCCCACACTTTCTTTTCTTGTTCCTTTTTGGTGAACGTACACATACAATCCGACGTGATCAGCAGTGCTATCCTTCCCTGTACAGAAAGTACTGCCGAGGCAGCAAGGCCGACATCGTAGAGCGGGACTAGAGAGTCTTTCCCATGACCGCCGAAAGATTTCCCCCGCATCGTCTCTCTACCTGCTGGCGATACGCTCACTCACTAATTTGAAAGCATTAAAAGCCCGTATACGAGCATTCGTTTACACTGAATAGCCAGTCATGGAGATTGATGCCAAACACCGACAATGGTCATGAATCGGGTCACATTAGCACATCAACCATCTCATACTAGTCGGTTCGTTTCCTGCACCCAACTGAAACTAATGGCACGGACTTTCTTCAAGCTCCTGTTGCTCAAAGCTAAAACCGATAAGGCGAACTTTGCTAGGAACATCCCCAACACTATGCGCGGCCCAAGAATTCGTCAACAACCTGCAGGTACTTCTCGCGGTCATCGAACTGCGGGCAGTGCGAACCCTCCGACAAGGTGATCCACTTCACCTTATCAATACCCCAGAAGAGCGGCTCCACGGCGCTGTCCTGAGCTTCATCATACTTCCCATTGATCACCAGTGTGGGCACCTGGATCCGATGAATGTGGTCCAGTGCGCTCCAATCCTTGAGAGACCCCTCAACCCAGAATTCGGAGCGACCGAGCCTGCTGCCGTTAGCACGTGGCATTGTGGAAAACACAGAGTATAATGGTTGACGGAGAAAAAATTCGGGCAATTGTGCAACATACATGGTAGAAGCGACGGTAGAATCCTTCTCCGTGGTCCAGACGAGGCTTTGCATAAGCTCCTCAGGCCATGGCTGTGTCCGGCAACAGAATCGGGATAAGAACTCCACCGTTGCATTTTCATAATCCTTCGAATCGAGCCGCCCTTCTGCTTCACATTTTTGCAGCGTGTCTTGGATCTCCTGGGGTAGGCTAGCGCGGAGTCGGTTGACCGATTCAAGCCACAGTGCGACCGATGCCGGGGCGTTTGATAGGATCAGACGGCGCAGTCCAGCGGGCTGACGAGCGGCGAAATCCATCCCCATCATTCCGCCCCAGGAGTGACCCAGCAGATCAAAATGACCAGCGATACCGAGATGCCGGAGCAAGTTTTCTAGCTCCGCGATGAATAGGTCGACAGTCCAGAACCCCTGATCGCCGCGTTTCTCCAGATAGTGGGAGGACAATCCATTTCCAATCTGATCGTAGAGAATCACGGAACGACCGGAAGCCAGTGCAGCCAGGGGCAGCATGTAGTTGTGGCAAAAGCCCGGCCCGCCATGCAGGACTACTAATGGTGTGCCTGCCTTGATGTCGCCATAGACTCGGTACCACGTTTGGGCAGGCTGGGGAAGACTAGCATAATGGAATGGAGCGGTTCCCTCCTGGACAGTACTTGCTACCATACTTGGGAGGTCGATGCAGAAAGGTTGTTAAGGCAATAATTGTTGTGGTAATGGGCAAAGAAGTAGGAGGGGGGAAGGATCAGACAAAGCAGCCCGTCTTAACACCACCACCACCACACCCGAGAGATTCCCCGAGGTTAACCCATCGTCTGGCCCCCCCCCCCCCCCCAGTCTGTGAGACAACCCCACCGGCACTAGATGACTGTCATATCGAAGTCGCGTCAATTAGATAAGCCCCCGGGCAGAGTCCGGGGTCCTTGAAAGTCCATCTGTTGGCAACACAGTCTGTAAGCATGTGTGGAATAAGTTGGCGGCTTGAATGAGCCTCCGATTTCAGGGATGTCTTCCAATTTGTGTGCATTACTCCCTAGCAATTTGGCCCCTATCATCAAAGTGCGACACGCAAGGCAAAAAAAAAAAAAAAAAAAAAAAAAAAAAAAAAAAAAAAAAAAAAAAAAAAATACGGCGTCATGCAAACCATGAGACGGCGTCAGTTGGTGGGCTGACTACTGCGGCCCTAGCGGAATTAGGCGCCTCCACCCCGATCCTTCGTTTAGGTCAGGATCGACGGGCTGAGATTGCAAATATTCTAACAAAGTTCAAATAAAACATGATCGAACAAATCCTTCAGGTCGCCTTACTGCTACGATGCCTCGTTCCCTTTTATCAGCCCGGCTGCTCTCTCTGGTCCCGGACTCGAGGGATGCAGGCCAGCAACGGATGTGGCAGTCATGGTTGCGGTCACTGACACCAATCGGTCTCCTATCATTGGGATCCTAGCCTTGCTTTTCGCCGTAATTTCGACATTATCTGGGGCTGCACGGCTGGGGATCAAATATGCCATCACCAGAAATCTCACGGTGGATGATCACCTGATCTCTGTGTCAATGGTGAGTCTCGAGGCGGTTCATCGCGTGGCAAGCTTTAACTTCCCCACAGGCCTTCAGTGTACTACAGACAGTATGCATTACAATTGCCGCGCGCAATGGCTATGGAGAGGCAGAAAGTGCTTCTTCACAGGAGCGGATAGACATAGCTCTGAAGGTACACCATCCGTTTTCTCCGGATGAATTTGTCGCTGACGTAGTGCAGGCTGTTTATGCCGCTGAAATGCTATATGTTGCAAGCTTGACATTCTCGAAACTGAGCTCCCTGGCGTTCATGACATTTCTCATGCAGCGCACTCGCAAGGCTGAGTGGGTACTCATTGCAATAATCAGCGCGTGGGCTGTAGCGGCGGAATTCGCCGTAGCTTTTCAATGCGATCTTCCGCAGCCGTGGAGATGGAACCAGAAGAGGTGTTTCGATCGTGTAAAATACTATACACTTACCAAATGCGAAGAATTTAGACTAACTTCACCAGGATGCATGGTGGATGGTTTTCGGGGCGTTCAACATTCTAAGTGAAGGCGCCCTGATTCTAGTACCTAGTATGCTCATACTCCGAATTCAGATGGCGGTTCCGAGGAAGATAGTTGCCACCGCCTGCTTTCTCACTCGCTTCTTGTATGCTCGCTGGTGACTTCCCGTTCGACGTTCGTGGGTAGGTACTAATGCCTACATGATTATAGGGTCATCGTTGCGATCATCCTTGAGCTTGTATATCGCCAACAAAACAATCACGCCTCAGATCCCTTGCTAGCTATTTGGAAGGCCGCCGTCTGCGTCCAGTTGGTACAGTGTCTGTCAATTGTTATGGCGTGTGCTCCGCATCTGAAGCCGTTCATGGATGGATTGCAGTCCACCGGTCTCCGATTATACCACCTCCCAGGCGAGACGTCTGGACGCGGGGAGTACGCTCGCGTGAGCAAAGCAAAGGCTGCCGCACACGAGCTCAGCGGGCTCGTTGGTGTGGCTAACAGCACCGCAATCTCTGCAGGGAGGGAACAACAGGATTGGGACGATACCATGAGCCACTCCAGTCAGGATCATATCATTCGAGAAACTAGAACATGGGTCGTAGAAGAGCAGTACAACCCGGATGCTGCGACGAATCGACCGACAGACAGTGAGTCCAATGGCAGTCATGGACCACATGAATCAACTAGCCATTAGAGCCCGTCTTACACGGTACTATTTACATGCATTACGACTGGATGAAGTAATCAACAATCAGGTTCAAGTTATCGCGAAAACGAAGCAGCAGGTTGGGTGATCCTCACCTGTTCGCTGAGAGTACCTGGCACTTGTTTAAGGTTTTCAAGTTGCCTCGGCGCTTTTCCGGACTGTGGGCCTTCATTTACTGTTTGCTTGTCTAAGACTCTAAAGCCTCTAGTTTCGGACGCGGAGGGTGGCCCGTAATCCGCGGTACGAAGCCTAGCATCCCGGGAAATGGAAGCTTTAACTCTCCCTAGTAAGGCACCGCATACGGTGGACCCGCCACTAAAAGCATGCAACCCGTGCGAGGATCCAGCAGGATTGCGTGGTATTTGTTCCAAATTGGCCTTGTTATTGGCCCAAACAATGCCAACTATCCGGTGGCGCTCTGCAGCTTGACATTCTACCGCCCCTCGTCAAGTTTCCCTGGTAGTAAAAGTGCCGTCTTTCTATGGGCTTAGAGCCTTAGACACACTGACCAGTCTCAGTCACGAAGAAATTCTCGGCGAGCCCCTGTTAGTCTGGTTGCAGCCTTGTCTCCGCTCTACTTTTTTTTTTTTTACTTTTTCTTTTTCTTCATTCTGCATATGCAGCCTCACCGAATAAGACAGGGATTAGAAGACGAGAGGAGTTAAACGAAGGAACAAGCTTTGCTTGCGGTTTCCTACTCTTTCTGCTCTTGCTTCTTCCTCCCGCAGACGAGAGTGTTGACTTCGGGCATTTGCACCAATAAGTCAACGCCACAATGGGGCCGCCAATTGAGTTGCGCGACCGGAATTTGGATGCTAAGGCCGCCAACAGCAGCCAGTCTCACGTCAATGATGAGCAGGGACTGGGCCGCGTGGGCAAGAAACAGATCTTGAAAGTGCGCGATGACCCTGAACTTGTGTTCCCGCAGCGACTTACCAGTGCTTACAGCGTCGGTTTGGGTTCTTGTCTATATTGGGTTTTAGTTGTACAGTTCTGGCATCCTGGGAGGGCATTTTGTCGTGCGTGTTTCCCAGCTGACGAGATGATGGTGGATGTTTTCGTTGTTAACTGATGCTCAGGACTTTTACGGTACCGTTTGAAGAGTATGTATCGACTCTACACGAAGAGAAATCTTGATCTGACAGTGTCAATAGTGGAGGTCCGGCTGGAACAGTCTACAGTTTCCTGGTCGTCTGGCTGGGTACCTTTTCGACGTTTCTCACTCTGTCTGAACTTGTTTCGATGTAAGTCTAACGGCCTGTTGTCTGGCCACCTCAATCTAATATGCTATTATGTGAAGGGCCCCTACTTCCGGAGGACAATATCACTGGGTATCGATGATGTCCCCGCGGTGGTGCCAAAAGTACCTCAGCTTTCTCACAGGTCCGTATACTAACCAAGGTTTCTCCGCTGCTCACCCATACTGATATAGCTAATACTAGGATGGTTGATTGTCATTGGTTGGCTGGGAGCATTTGCGTCAACCTGCTATCTAAGTGCTTCCCAGATTCTAGGCTTGGTGGTTCTTAACCATTCGTCCTATACCCCAGAGCCCTGGCAAACGATGCTTCTGTTCTGGGCCATTGTGGCTTTTGCTGTGTTCGTCAATGTTGTTACCAGCACCTTGTTGCCCAAATTCGAGGGGCTCGTCCTGATCTTGCACGTGTTTGGGTTTTTCGGAATCATCATCCCCTTGGTTTATCTGGGAGATCACAACCCAGCTTCCGAAGTCTTTGGGCAGTTTGCCAATGATGGCGGTTTCCAAACGCAGGGACTAGCTTTCATGGTCGGTATGATTGGTAACATGTTTGCTTTTACTGGTGTGGATGCGGCTGTCCACGTAAGTATTCGGCAATTTCAGACTGAAATCTTTCCTACTTGACTGACATACAAATGGGCAGATGAGCGAAGAAATCCACGATGCAGAGCGCGTTGTCCCGCAATCCATCCTCACTTCGGTTCTAATCAACGGAGCTCTGGGCTTTGGAATGATCCTGTCCACATTATTTACCATGACAGACGCTACTGCCGCCCTGGCCTCACCCACAGGGTACCCTTACATGCAAATCTTCTGCTCAGCCACTAAATCGCTTGGAGGATGTACCGTCATGTCAGCTATCGTGCCAATTCTAGTTACCGCCACTGCTGTAGGCTCATTGGCATCATCATCTCGCATGGCATGGTCATTCGCCCGAGACCGTGGTCTCCCCGGTTGGCAAGTCCTCAGCAGGGTACATCTCCCATCCCCACCATCTTACAATAGTCCGCTAATTCATTCCCAGGTCAACGCCCAAGCCGTCCCCCAATGGTCCATCCTCGTCGTAACCAGCGCGGCCGTCCTGCTCGCGCTGATCATCCTAGGCTCAGCAGCGGTCCTAAACGACGTCGTCTCTCTCTGCGTCAGCGCCCTCTACTCTTCTTACCTGATCTCGGCCTTCCTTCTAATGTGGCAGCGTCTTACGGGCGGCATTCGTGAACCATCCGATACACCCGCGGATACTGTTGTGAATACGGCAGGCGCGCCTCTTGCATGGGGACCCTTCCGAATGCGTGGCATATTGGGTGTTTTAGTGAATGCCTTTACCATCGCTTACCTTGCCGTGGGTGTGTTCTTTAGCTTTTGGCCCGATGAGATGAATCCGACGGCTAGTACGATGAATTGGGCGGTTGTTGGCACGGTTGGTACTAGTTTGATTAGTACGGTGTATTATGTTATCTGGGCCCGGAAGGAGTATACGGGGCCGGTGGTGGAAATTAATCGGGATTGAGATGTGGATATGAGTTATGATAGATGGTGATGTTATAGTAGTGCTGCAGTAAGTACATATGACGGCTCTCAAAGCTTTGGGGGGATTCCTTGTAGGTTTGATAACAGACCCTGCGTCCATGTCCGCATCAATCACGCCGCATCAACCTGGACAAGTAATCCCATAGACGTAGATTACAACCAGCCTCCCGCCTCGCCACGGAGCACTTCACAATCATATTGATTTTATGAAAAATACCATCTCTACTTCGTCTCCTCAATATACGCTGCAATATTCTCCCTCTTCTCAAAAGCATCCCTAAGCCTGGCCAGCGACTCAGGAAGATCCGCCTACCCCAAGAACAAGAACTGTTAGCAAAGACACAAATACCCCGAGGCACCACATTCTTCCTAAAATATGAAAGAAACTAAGGAATAAAACATACCACAATAGTCCCCGTCCTCCGATCATTATCCATACTCTGATAGACGGCAAAATCCGCATACGTGACCTTATCGCCTAGAAGATACGGACCCTCCGTTTCGGCGTAATACTTTCCTACGAGATCGTAGTACTTGGCCGTGGTCTCGTTTTTGTATTTCTCGGATGCTTGCATGAAATTGGAGACCCATTCGCTCTACATTATGGTGAGTACTGATGAATAGAGGAGATGATAGGAGGGGAGAGGATATACTAACCCTCCAATCGATATAAATATCAGCCACCACATCAACGATGTACTTCTCCCAGTTAGTCTCGCCGTCGTAGCGGCCGAGGTCGCGCGATAGGTAGCGGAGAATGGGGATGTGCTGGATTCATATTAGGTCGTCGTGCATGGAGAATGGACTCGTTGAGTATAAGGGAATGCGCACCTGCGTCAGAATCTTCCCCTTGTACTCGAGCGCAGGAACCAGCCCGGTTCGACTGATACCCTGCTCCTGCAGCTTTTTGCTAACCTGGGGCCAGGTATCATCGTACGGGTAGCGGACTTCGGTGAATTCGATACCGGCGTCTTTGAGGAAGAGCCTATTTCCATATAAATAAGATACTCTGTGGTTAGTGGATATTGCTGGTTTCGGATGCGGGGTTGGGGAGATGGATGCTGGCTGCTGACCTGACGACTTCACCGCGGCCTAGGCGGCCGATGTCGAGGTAGTGGTAGACTGTTTGCGAGGTTTGGGTGGTCATTTTGACTTATAATTTGAACAAACTTTCCCAAATCAGAGTATTTCGATTCCAACTCAGAGACAGCTAATATGATGTGGACTGAGTACGATTATAGGTGATGTAGATTGAGGGGTGGATGCTTACAAATGAGGGCAACCCCGCAGTTAACGACCCCGCGGGGATCCACTATATCGCCGAATTCCAGCTGCTGAATGCGTGGCTCGGCCAGGTCGGTCAATTGGAGGATCTTGAGCCTATCCTGAGTTAGGGATATACATGACTTAGGGTTGTGGATAGTGGATGGAGGTCATAGCTACACTATATTGAAGCTTGTTATTGAAGGCTTTGCGTTATAATTCGTCCACTGAGGGCTTCTTCAGGTGCGTGTTATTACGATGGTACCATGATACTCCGGGCCATATCCTTGTTTCAGACAGCTGCTCGTATTGGCGGGGTTGATCCGGCTACTGTAGAATACGAGGTGGACTACAGGTGGATTCAAACATGCATGAGTCTCTGGGTATCTCCCCCCTCTTCAACCCCGACACTGTCTCTGGGAAGCAAATGCAGAAGAACACGAGGCTGATCCAGCAACCTCTTTTACTGACACTGACATCATTCCGTACGATTGATGACGTGCCAAGTATAGCTGCAACGTCGTTCCTTCAGTGAGGATAATCCACTTCATCTTCGGTGTCTGTCTATTGGGTTTGTTAGACTACGAAACAATAGTCTGTCCCTCGTCGATATTCTACCGCAACTGTCCCAGGTTCTCTGGTGGGGTGAGCACCAGCGGGCTTACCCGCAAGCTTATCAAGAGCGCTGTGAACACGAGTAGACGATGGCCTGCAGATTAGGGACAGAAAAAACGACGCCGATGAGAGCCCGACTATGAGATCATTTTTCCGTGCCATTGCTTTGTAATTATCAGCCCCGGGTGTGTTACTTTCCAACACCTAAAAAAAACATCATGTAGTTGAAAGGTTCGTTGAGAAGAGGGCCGGAAGAGAAAAAGAAAAAAAAAAAAGAAAAAGAAAGCCCAACGCGGGGCTCGAACCCGCAGCCTTGAGATTAAGAGTCTCACGCTCTACCGATTGAGCTAGCCGGGCTAGTTCGGTGAAAGATGCTTTTTCTTTTTGCTTTATAAAACTGTTTTAAACAAACTTATGCCCATCTCACACTCTCACCTTCCATCGACCTCTCGCCATCTAGTTCCTAGAAGCTAGCGCTTTAGATTATACTATGAGGTGATATTGATACGCTTTAATGTTACGCTTTAATCGATACGCAGTACTATGCCGCCAGCGAAGACCTCATCGCTCGAGATACTGTGGTTGGGGTATCATTGTGCGAGTATATATTTCGGCTATGATCCGGTGGTTATGCGCGGCAGTAAAGTCGACATAGTTGAGTTAATCAACTCGCATCCATACCTAATTCTCGCCAGTACTGCCATAGTAGTCGCAGAGCGGATTTTCCAGAGATAAAGCCAAGGACCGAAGGTCTAATCCATCGGAGCCAGTAGCTCACACAGGATGTCTGACCGCAGAGGTCTCAGCAAACATGCATTCCTTTGTGTACATGGTACAGCTTGCATCCAACCTGCACGGAATCTATAATGCTAGCTACGGCACATAGACCCAATACTATAGAAGCCACTGGCGAGCATCGCACCTAATCTTGCAGTCTACATCACCTTTATTCACCATGACCTCTATATTTGACTATATGCATAACCCACCAACCTGCAGCCGAACAGGAGAAACTGCAGCGCGCACACCCAATCAGCTTGTCCCGCGGGGAAGCTGCACCATGCCCGTGCGTGCGCTGGTTTACCTCGAGGTGGACAAGAAAGACTTATGCTGCGATGACTCCCTTGTCTACCGATAGTCATTGTCTGAACGTCACTTCAAGCCCACCGTCTCATCCGCCCTGGTATTCAGCTCAGTTCTACAGAAGCTACCAGCTACTAGCCAGCCATACGGACCGACACCTAGCAAAGCAAACGGGTTATTGCGTGACAATTCGCAGCTTCTCCGGTGTATCTTCTTCACTGTGCCAGATTGTGCGGTCACGAGTTGCGCAGGGGAGGTTGAGACAACCGACGGTCCTTCACTATGCGATTGCAGTTAACCAGTCTATTGTATCGTGTCTGCATTCCTCGATGTCTTTTTAGTGCAGAAGATAGAACGGGAATGGATTTGTTGGTGGAGCTTGGGAATCGAGGCGGGATTGGGATAAAGAGGGAGAAGACGACCAGGCAAGGCAGAGAAAATGGTATCAAACCGGGTGAAATAAACAATTTTATGCGCAGTAATGCTTGCAATCGATCCTAAGTTGTGCATACTGACAGACACTATCTCACCGACCTTGTCCCCCTTGCCTCCATCATGCAACATCCTCCCACCATATTTCGGCCACCCCATATCGCCACCCCTAGCAAACATTGAACATGGCACCTCTCCCAGGAGAACCTTCAACAAAAGGTCCCCCGGGTATATATAAACCCATAAACCCACCATCATGGCTCCCTTTCAACCTTCCCCATCTGCTCCACATAATCAAACTCAACGGACACCGCCAAGTAAAACCATCGATATATTGACCTCCACTGCGCGAGAAATTATAGAAACACGCATAAATGCTTAACCATGGTGTTAAAAAAAACTGAACCCACTGTGATGAGAATATTTTGCCTAAAGTGGGTCCAATAAAGATTAAGCTGGAAAAAAGAATTCAGAGTAATAAGAAGATCAATATATACTGGATAAAGAGAATATTGTCCAATTGTCAAGTACAAACTCGATCAACAAGAGCGGAAACAGAAACAAAATAGCAGATGAAAAAGAACATGCCGGAGCGATCTAACGACCCCACACAAACAGTGGGCTCTCTAGTTCAGTCCATCTACAACATAATCATAGCAAAACCGCTAACAACAGCAACGGCCACGTAAACAGCGAGCTGGAAGTAACCGACATGGACGGCCTTGGCACCAGCGGAAGTGCTAGAGACGGAAGTAGACGAGGCAGTCGAACCGCTCGATCCAGCAGTGGCAGTAGCCTCAGAAGTAACGAGACCCGTGCCGGCAGTACCAGCCTCGGACATGTAAGTCTTGCAAGAACCGGTGGCGGAGGTAGCAGACTTGGTGGTAGCGGAGCCACCCCAGCTGCAAGCAGAGGCAGCGTTACCGGCGGACTTCTGCTTCTCGTAGTACTCGTTCAGGACGAAGACAAGCTGCTGCTTGCTGTTGCACATGCTGTAGGCGCCGTACTTGCCGGTGGTGCCGTTGCCGGTGATACCGGAGCAGGACATCATACCGCAGACTTCGCCCATCAGGTCACCGATGTCGTCGGAGTCGAGGGAGTCCTTGACGGTGCAGGTGGCGGCGTCGACCATGCATTCACAGAGATCAGAGTCCGGGGTGGGGGGAAGGGGAGAGGCCTTGGCCTTCCAGGAGGAGTTCTCAGTAGGGCAGCTGCGGAGGGCGGTGTTGGTGGGGGTGTAGGAGGCCTTGTTGGTGCTGCTGGGGGTGGCGCTGGCGATTTCCTTGGAGTAGTAGCTGAAGTCGGTCATGGTGCTGACGCTGGTACTGTCGATGACGGAGACCAGGCCTGTAAATGGTTAGAATGTTTCTGCTGAAGTAGCGAAGAATAGAGGGGACTAACCATAGTCGTTGGTGTCTTGGAAGTACTCGTAGACAATACCACCAGACCAGACCTGGGACATCGTATCGCCGTAGAGAGCCGCAACTTCAGTGAATGTACGAGGAGTGACACTGTTGCAACCGTACTCGGAGAAGAAGACAGGGACGGAGTAGTTGGCAAACTCTTCGGTACGAGACTTGTATCCCGATTCCGCGTAGGTTGAGTCACCGCACCAGGAGTAGATGTTGTAACCGAAGAAATCAATACCGACAGACTCCGACTGGCAGTTAATGTAGTCGGCCAGGTCAGCACGGATGGAGGAAACATCAGCGGTGGCGTATCCCACACCAATGGTACGGTATCCCTTGTTGCTGATGTAGGTTTTCATATCACGGATGGCAGCCTTGACGTAGGGCATGGCGTCAGTGGTTCCAACACTGTTGGCAATTTCATTGCCAGCAAAGAAGCCGAGAGTGTTGTTGTAACCGGCCATGGCGTCAATGACACTGGTGTAGCGGTTGTACAGGGTGAGCTGCCAGGCAGGATCACTGCGGTCGATGGCGACGCTCGTGTTGGAGAGATCAGCAATAACGTAGATGCCAGCGTCGGCGAGAAGCTGCATGCAATCATCGTGATCAGCTGTAGGGTCAATGTCGTAGGTACGAATGACGTTGGTGCGCAACTCCTTCATGTAGGGGATGTCGCGCTCGCAGGTGGTCTTGGAACTCAAGGGGTCGGCAGTGGTGCTCTCTGTTTTGGAGAATTAGTTTTGAACGATATACCAGGAGGAAACTACCGACTCTGATACGCCACACCGCGGAGGAAGCTGGAACCATGTTAGAACTTGATCTCATACGGTGGAAGCATATTAGATGAAAACTTACAATTGAGTGTCATTGCTGGAGTAGAAGAACTTGGAACCCTAGATGGAATGAGCATTACAAATGCTAGAAGAAGGGCATTAGAAGGAATCATACCTTGATTTCGATGGGGTCGACGGCGAGCGCCGAGCTGGCGAAAAGGGCTGCACCAGCAGCCAGATGGAGAAGTCTCATAATGATATGCTTTGTAGATCAAACAATTGGCGAAAACAAACGAGAGTACTGGTATATAAACAAAAAATTGTAAAACGAAAGAAAGTCTAATGGGCAGTAAAAGTTGAGCTTGGGTCTACCAATGCCTGACTATTAACGAGAGTGGGAGTTTGGTACGACTTCATCCCCCCTTCGCGATTAAGAGGGCTTTTGTAGAAATGCTGCCGCAGCTGTGGAGTCTTGGATCCAACTTCTCACGGCCAAGAAATCCGTCTATGCTTTCATCCCCTTGATTCCATGAATAGGTGGTGACGCGTCAGAGGTCCGCGAATACCCCACGCAGCCATCGCCAGTATAGATAGGAGTCATTGCTGAATCCCCACCCAGTTTGGTCCGAACATATAAGTCAAGCCTTTTCGCCACGACGCAGTCTCTCATCTGAGACGAGATTTCCAACTATCCATCTCAATGTGTTGACTCCGTACCGGGATTCCCGAACTCTGTATTCGTGGAAGCGAAGCCTGAATGGGATAGGGCTTCTTGGTATAGGAGAACATCACGTAAGTGCATGCGTATGAGAACGGCACTAGCCGAGAACCTTAGGGTGGTCAGTCCAATCAATAAACGGCCGTCTAGATAAATGGCTGCCTGCCGACCCACTTCGGGAGATGGGCAAGCGTCAAATCCTGCCATGGTTACTCGGTTTCATTCCCGAAGAACAAATCCAGTGCCTCGCAAACAGAAGTCTATCTAATCGTTCTCACTTCGCCCCCATCTACGACGGATCCCTGAATAGGATCAAGCTCAAAGTGGAGGAATTCAGGGCACATTGTCAGTTGAAATAGTACTGTTATGGATAACGACTTGGGATTGCAAGGAGACTGAATGGGTTTGGAAAGGAACGTGCACTCGGCACGGTGGACACAGTCATTGTTGTCGCCGCCAACCAATGCGGAAACCACCTCCGAATCAAAGTTTCTCCCGAAGGCTGAATTAGCAGTCTTCCACGAAAGTTCGATATGGCGAACTTAACGAGTCATGCCTGCGCCTCCTTCGTGGCGAATTGGGCGCTTGCCTGTGCATTTGATCGCCGTGTATGCCTGCCATCTACATCATATTTTGTAGGTGAGAAAAGTCAATTAAAATTTCAAGTCTCGCCTAATGCTCTGCCAGGATTGCAGTGGGTTCTCCCAGATTCATCGTTCTGCAGAACCATATGATGGAATAGACATCATCCGAGATCCACCAGATTTTGACCCGCCGATCCTTCACTTCTTTTCTCGGTCCGCTTCCAGAATTTATATCACGTGAAGTATAATCATATATTACTAAGCGGTTGCTGAGATAATCAGCTCAACACGTGGTTTTCATAACGCACCACGTGACTTATACTCACCCTAATCCATTTTGGGGAAAGCATCGATCAGCTCGAAACCGAATATAGATGGAAGATGGCCCCCAACGAGCTGTGCCAACTTGGTTTAGTATGGCCCAGCTGACCGGGCTGTGAATGAGACAGGAGTTCCCAGTCATACCTGTTCGCACCATTTGGCCCCATTGACTGCTGTTTTACATTGGCTGCATGAGCTCCTGTTCATGCTCTTGTAACCTATCGTAAGCCAGGCCTTGGGATCTATCTGATCCTTAATATATCCCAGGATCTGAGCCGGACTTGGCTGGTTTGCTGTTGGCTAATGCAAGGCTGTCTGTGGTAGTCGCAGGGAGTTGCTCATCATGCAGTGTGCCTACATAAAACCGCCCTTTACCCTGGGTGATTTGCATCTTACTCGTGCGTCCCTATTTTTGCTATCATAATCCTGTGCTGCGCACAGTGTCACTCCTTCACATCGCAATCGCTCTTTCACTTTGGCGAGACATATCACTCTTTTCTGTTTTGTCAATTACATTCCTTCTTTGCTTTCGACCAGCGAGAACTCGCGTTATATACGAACAGAAGCTCAATTCGTCTTGGTAGCAATATGGTCTCTTTTTCGAAGCTCTTCACTGCTGCCCTGGTGGCTGCCTCTGCCGCAGCCTCTTCCAGCAAGCGCGGTGCAGCCTACAACGATGCCTCCCTTGTCCGTACCCTAGCGAACAGCAAGTCCGGAAGTATGTCGTGGTCATACAACTGGGACATGAAGAAGAACGGGAACATGCCCTCCGGTGTTGAATTTGTGCCGATGCTCTGGGGTACTGACTCGGTGGATGACTGGGACTCTGCAGTAAAGACTGCATTGAAGGGTGGCAGCAAACATATCTTGGGTTTCAACGAACCGGACAACGCCTCGCAGGCCAACATTGGTGCCTCCAAGGCGGCCACCTTGTACAAGAAGTATATCACCCCATACGGAGATAGCGCCAAGCTTGTCAGTCCGGCCATCACTTCCTCCACTCAGTCCGGCGAGGGCATCAGCTGGTTCAAGTCCTTCATGAACGATTGCAAGAGCTGCAACATCTCCGCTATGGCTGTTCACTGGTACGGTGGATCATTTGCTCAGCTCGAGTCGTATATGAAGGAGGCTATCGAGGCTGCTTCGAAGTATGATATCGACGAGGTCTGGCTCACCGAGTTCGCCCTGGATTCCGACACCAACGGTATCACCAATGAGTCCACGGCTAAGACTTTCCTTGAGAAATCTATCGAGTGGATGGACTCTCACCCTAAGGTGGGCCGTTACGCTTACTTCTATACCGCAAACAACTACTTGCTTACCAGTGGCTCGGTCAATGCTCTGGGCAAGGTCTATATTTCGACCTCTTCGTCTTCTTCTAGCTCTGAGACCTCGTCGACCAAGACTTCGACCAAAACCTCGACCAAGACCTCAACCAAGACTTCCACCAAGACTTCTACGAAGACTTCCACAAAGACCTCATCAAAGACAACCAAGACAACAGAGACCTCCAAGACCACCAGTACCAAATCCGCCCACACGACCAAGACTGCAGAGTCAACCAAGACGGTCAAGACCACCAAGTTCGTCACGTCCACCAAGACTGCAACGCACACCAAGACAGCTTCTATTACACCGCAGGCTTCCTGGAACTCGGTGCCCACGAAGCCCGCATACGGATGGTAGATCTGCTGTTATCTGTCTTTGACACCATATGTTCTGTAGAATTTGTGACGCCACGCCCATATTCCGGTCGCGTTTGACTTGCTTTCGCTTCAATAAGTATCCTTTCGCTGCTTCGCGAAATATTGGCTGTTAATATAAGATATTTCTTCATGATATTGTTTTCAATCTATTGTAAAGTTGTCAATGACACTCCAGGCTATCTATATAGATCAAGAAGCACGCGCGAGAAAATTGGCTACCAGTTTGTCCTACATTCTTATTAGCACCGAATAGTAAATTAGATTAAACTCATGACTTAAACCCGACTGAGTAGTACCGAGTAATCAAGAGCGATCGGGTATATTCTTGGCGTGATAATCATGGATCTGCAAAGTCGCCCAAAATTTAATTCCGCAGCCACTCCGATCGGATAACATAAGGTCGATTGGCTTGTATTTAGCTTTGCCTTATATAACAAAAAGTGTAGCCAATTTTCAAGAACAAGGGACAATGGCGCATCTGGGAGCGCGTCAGACTGAAGATCTGGAGGTGGCCGGTTCAAGCCCGGCTTGTCCCATTCTTTTTGCATTTTTTTCGTTCCTCTCGGGTAGAGGTAAGACAGCTCCACCACAAATTCTCACGCTTAGATTGGTTGGATACACCTACCAATGCAGGCAATTTCGAGCTCTTTTAGGCTTCTTCTGCAAGACGTGTAGATCGGTTGATCGTGTAAATTACGCAAGGGAGAACATAGCGATGATTTGGCTCCTTTCGTACAGGTCCTCCTACCGAATCATTTCACACACGCTAATGTTTGGATACACTTCTTTCCTCTCGACATACTAGCAGGTTCACTGTAGACTGTACTCAGGAGGTGTACCTGGATTAGATACCAGGCGTTTGTGGTGTCTGGAGAAAGCGGATCCTGTTTGTCCTATATTTTCTCTTCCTAGGGAAACATCTTCGCAATCGGGAGGTTAGCTAAGATTCTCCAACTTAAATATGAGGAAGGTACCCACTTACCACCTTCAGTCCCAGCCTTAGGAGGATAATGCATGTCCATATGGTCAACACACGGGTGCAAGAACCCCAGCAGTTCTTTCGCATAAACCGCAGCCACAGTAGCAGCGTATGCCTGCCAATCCTCATTCGCACTCGCATCCGCATAATCTGAAATCCCACGGATGACAATGCTCGGTATCTCATTCATCACTCCGGCAGCTCCACCCGTCTCTATACAGAGCAGTTGCCCATCAAACCTCTTATTGAGAGCATCTCGTGCCTTGGCATCCCTCACAGCCCAGTTCCCGGATGCAACGAGACCGTAGTGCACATTCACCTGCTTCTTAGCTCCCTTCTTCTCTTCATCTTCAGGACCCGTTCCTCCCCCCTTATTCCTCCCCTTCCCAACTTTGAACCTCACGTCCTCCAACCCAAACCCAAAAATACCCACCAAAACAGCAACAACAGCCCCCCAGACCATCCTCCCTATAACACCCCACCACCACCACCACCATGTCCATTCATCCCCATCCCGAAGAACAGCCGGATCCCTCAACCCCTCGCACCTCGTAAACTCCCTTCCCAACCCACCCCTCCCCTCCAAATTCCCTAAAACCCTACAAACCCCCGCCCCAAACAACTCATACTCGCTCCTCAACCGATTCACCGCCCCAAGCAACTTACTCGCCGGTCGATTCAAGCTCCCTCCAGCATGCTGCATTGCTATTTTACCCCCAGCTACTAATTTCCCCATATCCCACCCCACCACACCCCCATACCCACCACTAACCGGCACACTAACAACCACATCACCCAATCGTACTCCATTGCTCGGAATACCGCCCGCCACGCCAACGAGCAGAACGAACCTGATGGACGGGAACATGTGAAGAAGAGATGTCACTGCGCTTGCGGCGGCGGTTGTTCCCATGGTGGGGAGGCAGATTAAGACGATGTTGTGCGGTGATATGGAGCCGAGGGTGTAGGTGTTTTTGTCGCTTGCGGGAGTAGGGATGTGCTGGTGGTGGATGGTGTCGAGGGTGGCGAGGACGGCGGTTTGTTCTTTGGGGAGGGCGGTGATGTAGGCGATGGTGTAGGTGTGGAGGGGTGGAAGGTTCTGATTTGTTTCTGTGGACTGGGGCATTGTGAAGGGGTGTGCTTGTTAGTCGTGCTGTTGGGGTTGGGCGGTTTCAGTATATATATAACGTGGGGGTGGGATGCATTGAGTGGTTGTCTGGATTATCTATGATTGTCAACTGGAAGTGCATCCGGTTCTTGTTGGCAAGCGCTTATATATGCTGTATGGTTGGTGGATTGATATCTGGTGGGGAGTTAAGCGCCGAGTGCTGAGGTGGACGGGTAACATATTCGGTCTGCTGGCCAGAGCGTGTAGGGTGAGGCTATAGTCTGGCCTTGTCTTGGCTGCAGCTGTCACGGGCCTAATGCAAGGCTGAGTGGTTGCAGGATGTAAGAAAAAATACTACGTTCAGCAGAGAAGTCTATTATTGTTAGGAGGACGAAGGGCTTGTCACTATTCCAATATTGAACAATACCTTCCAAAAGCTATGCTGTAGTATGGATGTCCCCTACCCGGGCATCTATGATATCTTGACTTTAAAAGACACGATGATTATAGGTATACCAGCTGTGAAACGCAAGAAGCAATCAGAGCAAAGTGGAGGTAAAACAGCAACAAGGTATCGATTAGACTATCTTAAAAATACATTAAGATAACCCAGGCAGTTGGCCAAGATAATAATACAAAGGGGATATCAATAAACACCACCGGGGACAACAACAGCCTAGTGGAGTCAGAACAGAAAATACTCCGGAGACAAAACAGACAGCCACTACAAGCCCCAAGAAACACCTTTCCATTGCTCCCTCATCTCATGTTTATGGGCTTCGCACCATCTCTAGACAATGAGACACACTTGAAGCATCGTCCGCGGAACGCGGGCATCCAATCTCGCCCTTTGGCTTCTCCAGCGGAAGACTCAGAATGCGATGTTGGAATTTCGGCTGCATCTCCTTCTTCATACTCCTTCTGCCCCAGACATATCCAGCCCCCAGCATAGCCACGGCTATGCAGGCTAATGGTATTCCAACCCCGACGCCAATCGCAATCTTCTTCATCTTGTCAGGGTTGGACTGATCCTGTTCGCTGCTGATGCCGCTGCTACTGTCACCCAGTGGGGTTCCAGTTCCTGTTGTGGCAGCAGAGGTAGCAGAAGCATCGGAGTCAGATTCAGAATTCGAACCAGAACTAGAACCGCAGTTATAGTTGGAGTTGGAGTTGGAGTTTAAACCGGAATCGGAATTAGAAGGAAACTTGACGAGTGTTGAATCAAGAGTAAATGTCTCGTATGTATTGCAGCAGGCAGTGGTACTACCACAGCACCAGGATCCGTCGCCGCAGTTAGTCAGTTGATAGGTCCAATCGGAGTTTCCGCCGTTCTACAAATATAGTTAGTTACTCGGTCGTCCGCTGCACATGGGCAAGAGACAAACCTGATTGCCACAGATATCCTTGGGCAAACAATTCGTCGAGTTCCACGATTGATCCGTACAGAACTCCCGGTAATATGCTCCTCCGCTTGTTAGACAAAGCCCCGAGGGATCACACGTATCTGGATCCGCATCGTTCAGTTTACAGCACATTGAATGTACACCTGAAATAGAGACACATGGCTGGTATATTGAGCTGGCTACTTGTGAGCCATCCGGTGCATAGCATGATGATGCAGCTGCCAGAGAAATATAGCTTGGGATGAGGGCCCAAAAAGTGCCTGTGTTCTTCTTCATTGTGACTGCTTCAAGGTGGTGTTTTAAGGAAGAGTGAGATACACCCTATAAACAAATCAAAGAAAAAAGATAATTTAAGTCGGACAACAATTCAGATTACGGCTAACGGAGGGATTTAAACAGACCCTGCATCTACCATGCGAGACTTTGTGTAACGGTGCGGATTCCTTACCCGACTTACTTGTTCCTGTCCAGGAAAGTGTGGGGACTGTTTTATCGAAGCAAATGCTTACGTGATAGAACCCCTTGGGGATATAAGAAGAGGGAGGATCCGACTGGCTTCGCTGTTAGTTCTCTGGCACCATAACGTGGTGGTACTGACTCATGAAAATTTGACAGAATTTGACAGAGTTCTTGATCGGTATACCTGAGAGCACAGGGAAGATGTCATTGAGAGTAAGCTCAACCGGCAAGGCAGAAATGCTATTGCACTGTACAGAAACCGGGATAGAATTTGTCAACTGGAACCACTAAATTGGTGACCTCCTAGGTGCAGAATCCTGCTGGACGTGCTATAGTGCACTTGGCTATACCTCACTGCTATGTTGTCTATGACTGACTGGCACGAGAAGCACGAGAAGGGGAGCCTGGATACCGAGAAATCAGGGAAGGAGCCAGAGAGCACTAAGGGTGTGTTGATCCTCACAAGCCCACAACAACTGAATAAACCCCGCCAACGGTGGGCTGTCAGGCCCACCCCTTGGCAACCGTTGCATGCCAGGGCGGGTATGCAGGTCCCAGGGAGGTGGTTGGGGAGCGGGAATCACTTCCTAGATGTACCCCTTGTTTCACCGATAGCCACAGATGGAGTTCCGAGATTACAAAAAGATCCTGAAGTGTACATGCCAGTCAAGGGATGAAGGACGGAGCGTAGTCCTCTAGCCAGAACATGTCTAAAAAAACAGGAAAAACTAGGGGATCGCGCCTTCTCTCTATAACTGATGAAGGGGTTGCGACCCTACAAGGATCGGCCAACCCCTTCGTAGTGGCAGTCACCCTCTTTATAACTACTTCATTAAGCCATTACTAAGTCTTTCAAGACATCAACCATGAATATCGTCGAAGGTATATGCAAACAAACCATTCACCATCTTTTCCGGTTAATACCCAACAAGGAACCCCCCTTCACTTTTTCTCCCTGAAAGACGGCGGAATGCCGTCATCTGCCAAGGCCTGCATATCATCCTCACCCATCGCACCATCCCACCCCTTCGACACAAGGTAGGCCCGGAATTTCTCATCACGAATTCTCAAATCCTCACCCGAAATGTCTGGAACAAAGAAATAAGTCACCAAAATCCCCACAACACCGCAAATAGCCGCAATGATGAACGTCCACTTTTTACCTAGGTTATCCTCGATGGGAGTAAATGCTTGGGTACCAATAGCACCGCCTGCTTTCCCCACAGCCGCAGACAATCCATAGCAAGTGCCTCGAACACCGGTGGCATAGAGTTCCGATGAAAGCAAGCCGAGCATGTTCCCCGGGCCGAAGTTGCCAGAACTCTGCATGAAGCCGTAGAAGACCACGAAGAGTGGGATAATCTTGGTAATTTTCTCGTACGCGCAGCCAATAATGAGACCGAAAATGAGGTAGCCACCGAAACCGATCATCATCACGTTTTTGCGACCGAGTTTGTTGCAGAGCAGAGCTCCGAGAAAGACACCAGGGAGGGAGATGGCTCCTAGGAGGAGTTGCCATTCGCCGGTTTTGAGGATTGAGTCATCCCTGACCACGGAAGAGATGATGGTGGCGGAGAAAACGCCGTTGGGAAAGGTGACGAAGTCTGTGCTTAGAATTAGATGGGGTTGATAATTCAGCTGGTGGTAAAGGGTACGTACCGTAGAGAAACCAGGCGCCGCAAGTGCCAATGAGTGACTTCCAGTAATAACGAATCACCAGACCATATGGTACTTGCTTCTTGATGGCTCCGCGACGATAGAGTGCGGAGTTTAGCATGCGCCATCGGAAGTAGAACACGGACAGAGGCCAGATGCACCCGATACCGAAGCAGACGCGCCAGACGGTGCTGTAGTGGGATTGCTGGCAGGCTGAGAAAACAATCAAGAAGACCAAAACGGCAAAGGGACCACCGAATGACAGCGGAAAGTTGGTCACCATGATAAAAGCTGGACCACGCTGCTTCAGGGTCAAGTCATTGGCGGTTTCGGATGCTGAAACTGAAGAGGCGGGATATTCACCACCGGTTCCTGAGACAATTAACACCAATCAAGTCAACGTGGAAAAGTTCATGCACGTACCGAAGCCAATAATACCACGCGAAACTGTCAGCATCCAGAACATGCCGTCGATAGTGACACCGTGCGATGCGGTGGCTAGGATACCACCGATTACGATCATTAGGGTGGTGAAGACCATGGCAGCTTTGCGGCCGACATAGTCGCATGTCAGACTTGGCGCACGATTAGCAGGTTCCTTCGAGATAGAAACGGATACCGGGAATACCCTATGACGATCTGGCCGATAATTTCTCCAACAAGCAGGGCATTTGATACACGCGTAGAAACAGCCGAAACGTATTGTTTGGGGTATTCTGCCTTCAGAAGTACGTTGGTCATGGTCCTGCATACTATCAGCGGGGTACTTGGCACATCGTCTGCGGGGTAAGTACATGAGATTATTCTGGTAGCCATCACTGATGAGAGCGAATCCACTAGCGAGCTAGAATGCCAGTCAGTAACCTTTCCCACGCAGTTATGCAACCAAAGTATATCTGTTGTCAAAGGGGGGTACCGACAATGGTCAAAAAGTCGGAGAGACTCTGTCTCTTGCCGGACAACTCGGCCGAAGGATCAGCGTCGGGAGTATCGACAGCCTGGACGTGTGTCTCCAAGACGCCAACATCCTTCGACTGAGAGTCTTGCCACGAGTTCTCAGCAGACATCGCGAGGTGACGAAGTAAAAGATCACCAGCAGGAGATGGATTGGTAAAAAATTCCGCTGCCCTCAAGCAGGATGAGCACGAGGGCAGGGTTTTATCTGGGCGTGTAGCCTCCTACTACTAGGATGGTTACATGCGTATGCAAGCGTGACCACCAATCAGGAGCCGGTCGCAAAAGGGATCTCATCCTTGTTATCATGCGTTCGTGCCATTGGTTGCATCAGATAAAGCTCGGTGGAGCCGAACCAATCATTGCCGCATGCGGGTTCACGTGCGTGGAGCCGTGGATAAGATGCGATGCTTAGGAAGCGCACCATTTCATCCACGTTGATACCAAGCACTGTTTGACTGGTGCATGGCTGGTAGGGCTTCGGATGAGATATCTTGACTGGGGATGCCGAGTGGACTGATATTCCTGTTTTTGCTCGGACTTACTCAATAGAGGCGGAGTTCTTGCCGCCTTGTCGGCACGTGGTATATAAAAGCTTTCGTAGGGCTGATGCCCAGCAGGACACGTGCTCTTTGTCGCAGCACTGAGTAGAAGGACTTGACTCTGCCATGATGAGTCAGTCTGCAATGTCATGATTCCAAACATGAGCCGCTGAGTACGTCGTCTTTGTCAATCTCGCACAGGTTACGGTGACTCTACACACATTCAGCCTGTATTGAGTTGGTCCATTATTTCAACAGTTCCTGATGCTTACATTCATGACGGATTCGTCGACTCTTTTCATCCTAGCTTCTTCATATTCCATGAAATACAAGTGAAGGGTACATAGTGCAACCAGCTAAAGACACAATTTCTGCTTAAGATTAGCGAGAACGACAACCGCGTAAGCTAGATCCCGCGCCTCCGACGCCCAATGACTCAAAGACCTTATCGCCTGGTCTAACAAGTCCGGCCAATCTGCCAAATAGTCCACGAGTCCCTTGTCCGCCTTGATAGCTGCAATGATTAACAGGGCTGAGCTGAGTACACCGCGAGCGACAAACCAGGTTCCATGATGTCGGTGCTGCGTTGCCTTGGAGCTGATAAGATGGAAACTGCACTCGATAGCTTTTCGCATAAACCTCTTAGCCTCCTCGTCCTCATTACTCTGCCCGCTGTTATGATGAATAGCGTAGTATACAAACGGCCGGTAGAGCCACGATCTCAGCTGCAAAACCCGTGCTTGCAGGTTGTACGTCAGCTCAAACTGGGGTGCCGAGTCCCATTCTTCGAAACGGATAATAGATGGTAGGTTTCTGGACCTGGCGTCGGACACCAAGTAAGTCAATAAACGAGGTACATGAGAGCCCCTTCCTACTCAAAGTGGTATAGGCACAAAGCTAGAATACCGTCTTTGGCAACTTACCAGTGATCTATTTGGGACTCGAGATCCGCGGCTGTTCGGCACAAGTAAGATAGGTTGGCAGGCGACCAATGCGCGTCGTTAGTGCTGTACATCGAGTTAAGGATTCGCGCTTCTACGCGCATTAGAGCAACATCTGATAAGTAGTAGTACGTGGACAACTCCCAGAGATGTGTCAAGTCTTCTGAGTCTGTCGGCGTCTCGGACAACATTGCTCCGGAGTTGGACATGCTTACCGACGAGGGTACTGGATACCCATCGGATACGCTGAACTCACACAATACCGAATCGGGTACGTTGAGCTCCGCGCGTAAGTCACTGGAAAGAATTACAAATATCAGCCTTATCCTGAGTCGGGCAGCTACTCAAAGGAATTGGAAGAAGAGAAACGAAGGATAGGAACCACCATTCTGACTTCCAACACGTCCAGTAAAGACTCAGCTCTGCCGGTTCCAGGTGCCCTCCGTTTGAGTCCTTACATACGGCTGCTTCCCTGTGTCGTAGGTGGAGGCTCAAGGCGGCGGAGGCGCGCGAAAAGTCCATCCAAGCTCTAGCGGCATTTAGCTTGTACATCTGATAGACCCCGCTAAGAAACCAGCATTGTGCCGTCAGAATACGATCGCCGGGGAGGGAGATACTCTCCAACGCTTTCCGATAAAACTGCTCTCCTGTAGTGTGACGTGATTCAGCGTGGTCATCACGTTCCACCGAGAGGTCATCATATCGGAGTGGACCTGCTAGACAGCCTAAAGCGCAGGCGAGGAACTTGAGAATAATTCTTAGCGTGGCTGTGGGAACGGAGGTGCCGGTGCCTATCTATCTCGAGCAGGATTATGGGCTGGGGGGAGTAGGGAAAACCCTTTACTCACCACTAAGCAGGAATGGGAATTCCGAGACGACTCTCCCACTTCAACTGTGACGGCTGATTGACGGAGGGCGACCGTATCCACCACGGGGTTTTTGACGTGCACAAACTGCAGGAAGCGATCAATCAGACCTGGTATGAGGGCCAGATTCAAATCGGAGCTGGCAACTTCTTCGACACCATGATCGTGGTCCGCGAGAGTAAGACTATTCAAGCTTGTTTGCAAGCGGACATCTCGCAAAATCGGCCAGGATAAGATTGCATCAGGACATATTTTGGCTGCAGGGATCCTCAGAGAAACAGTCTGTGGTGTTTGTGGGTCTACGTCGGTCATGTACTCTTTTTGCGGCCCATCCAGGGACAGGGCCGTCACCTCCCCTGAATTCAAGGAGTTGAGAGACTGTTGGATTTCGGCTAAACGATCGAGTATGGCAATGGTGGCGGGATCGAATCTAGTTAGTGGCGTGCGTGAACATGCTGTATCAGACATAGATATATACGTGTGTTTGCATTCATTTGTTCAATAAGATACTGGGCAGTAGAAGCAGCATACCTTGAAAAATCTATATGGTCTTGATATACGCAGTGTGCCTCAGAGAGTTGGCACGAAGAACAGGTCGGACGAGCATTGTCGCATTTGATCTTTCGCGAGCGACAGACCCTGCATGCTGCCACAGCCCGTTTGCGAGTGAAAGCCCTCGCTTCTCGCTGAGACACCCTGTACTTGCTGGTACGTGATGTCATCTTTTACTCTCGAGAAAGCGCGTACTTGCCTCCCAAAACTCCAAGCCGATGGCGCAAAGTGGAAGCTAAGTAGGACCTACGGCAGCGATAAGGTCTGATTTGCAAGTGGACCAAACACGGTTAGTAAGTCTTATTAGTTGATCCTTCTAAATTCTCTTATCTTATCTCCGATTTCCCTTGGGATTTACACTGCGAAATGGATTCGCCTCCCCTAATACCACTACCAGTCGTCTTCTGCTTTCCGATTTGTGCATAGACTTTTACATGCCCTGAGAAAAAGAGGAGTTTTACGAGTGTCTCATTTTCAGTATGCTTCAGATCTATGAAAGCTTAAAATTTTGCTGTATCAGGAAGTAGAATACTCCAAACCAATGGAGTTCCATTACTCACATGGAACGTGAGTAGCGCCAATCCATAGTACCTCAACAGACGATACATCTCAATTAATCTTTTGAACTGGAATGAAGGGGAAAAGTAGATGTCGTAGTATCATCTCCGAGCGTACCGAAACTGATCGGAATGATACCCCAAGTGAGAAGATAATCGATACAGTTGCCGTGTGGTTAATGGTTATTGAGCAAGATGTTCTGGCCAGGGTGTTCCAGGGGCAATTTCGGACCATCTCATTTCCGCGGAAGTCAGGTATTGGACGCTTTTCTCGCGTCGCGGCACCAACGAGCCCTGCTCGCGAGGTATGGTTACTGGGAATGCATCATTCAGTTGCTGCAGAACAGCCCAGGAAGCTTGTGCATTGGGGTCATGATCCTGAGTGCCGTGTAGTTCACTTCCGTCTAAAGTGTGGTATAAGATAGGGTGTTCCTGGTAGTCGACAGTGTTGTCCATGGCGGCCACAATACGCATCATGGGATCGTATATGAAGCAGTAGCCGATCGATGGCATCAGGACGTATGCGCCGCTGTTGAGGGCATAAGATCCAGCGCCGCGGGTCACAAGGGAGGCATTGTAGAATATGCTGTCGCTATCGTCACCGAAATCCATAGCAAAGGGCCATGCGCCGATGTGGAGCTTTGGGCGTTGAGCAGCCATGATGAAATTCATGCTTGGATAAAAGTGTCTGTCATAATGAGTCAGCGCCTTGATTATCTACACCCCGTCGAAGAAGGATTTCGGATCGACACAGGGAGAGCCATACTCGCCACACTGAAGCATGCCAACACGACCCAAGGGGGTGTTTACTACTTTGAGCTGGTCGACTGTGCCATCGCTAAACATATCCCGTTCTGAACCAGATGGTCTAAGCTTCCGACGATGCATAACCACCTCGCCATCTTTGGAAATCAGTGCCTGGGCCATATAGATATGGTTCGCAGATCGTTCGGAAAATGCCACAGCCGCCCAGATACCCACGGACTTTATCCCATCAATTAACGTATTCCACTCGCGACTCCCTATCTCCAAGGAGTTCTCAATGTAGGAGGCCAGATGAGTTTTCTTCCAGTCATTTTGTTCCCTCCATTTGGGAAATCTGCGTAGGTAGAGTTAGCTAAATGTGGCTGCTGGGAAATAAAAGGGCACATGAAGGGAAACAGACCCGGGGAACCAAAGTTCAGGAAACGTTATCAAGGTGACACCAGCATCTTTGGCTTCGCGCATTAGGCGTAAACTAACTTCAATAGTTTGTGAGATATCGATTTTGATCCCGGTCCAGTCGCGATTCTGCAATGGAAGAGGCCAGTTTGGCGGCGGACAGCGGACAAGAGCCACCTTCAACATTTGAGCTTCAGCCATGTCTGCAGATCTATCGGTAGTAGGGCACTGAAGAAAGAGAATGCAGTGGAAAGGCTAGCTGAAGTGTGGTTGTAATTCTATGGGTATTTGTATCTCTTTCCATGCTTCGCCATCATAAAGTCCCCAGTCATTGGAAGTCGAAGTATAGCAGCTAAAGTATAGTATTTGTTGATGGGATCGGGGAGTCACGGAGTTAAGGTAGTTTTTGACCCACTTTTGTCTACCCCGTAAACGTTGTACACTTAGCGCATACTCCGTAGTCTGAGTCCTTATCGGTCCATAATGAACTGCTTAACGCCGCAACTCCCCGATTGGCCAGTGTTCTGTCAGTCGCTGATTCGACCGTCTATTACGTGGAGCGTCCGGCCGTACTTTACAAATAGAATTATGATGGACTTGAAGATGGCCGAGAAATTTTGGGTTGTTGCTGTAGGTTATCATCACCATCGCATATTCTTTCAAGGCTCAATCCAAAGAAATTTGAACCACCAATCAGCTCTCTGATATGCGGGTAGATTTGGAGGACGGAGCGTTGATAGCTTCCCCATTTCCATGGACTGCACCTCATCTGTTGAGGCTGAACTTTTGTACTCTCAGTCTTGTCTTGTTCGGTAGGTGTGCAGTTCTTCCTCAGGATTTAGATCTGTGGCTGACGGCACCGGCAGCTTCGGCAAATGGATACGACTCGAGTATGATCAACTGTCTGCAGTCGCTGCCTCCTTGGGTATCCTTCATGTCGAACCCGGTAGGAGCCTGGCTGGGATTTATCACCATTGCATACTGGATAGGATTGCTTCTGGCTTACACTGTTGCTCCATACATATCCGACCGGTTCGGGCGAAGGCTAGGGCTATATATTGGGCTTCTATTTGTGACTGCCGGAGCGATACTACAAGGACTCTCGCCGAATCCGGCGGGCTGGGTTGTTGGACGTGGTCTGGCAGGGTGTGCAGCCTGCTTTTGGAGCTGCAATGCTCCAGTCCTCATCAGCGAGATTGCATATCCCTCGCATCGAGCAATCGTTAGCTCTTTTTATCAGTGTGGCTACTATGTTGGAAGTACCCTCGCTGCCTGGATTATATACGGCACGCTGGGTAATTCTTCCTCATGGAGCTGGCGGATTCCCTCGTTGTTGCAACTCATTCTACCACTGTGTGCACTGCCTGGTCTTCTGCTCTGTCCAGAGAGTCCCCGATGGCTATTATCGCAGGAACGGGCTGAGGAGGCCCACGCAATTCTCACAAAGTGGCATGCTGGGGGTAATGGGAACAGTCAACTTATCTCTCAGCAAATGAATGAGATTCAGACTGCGCTCAAAGCTGAGACCGAGTCTGTACAGCGCACAAGCTACCTCGATATGCTGAAGACGAAGGCCAATCGCCGCCGTCTCGTAATCACGCTGTCTATAGCCCTGTTCAGCCAGTGGGCAGGAAATGGGGTTGTCTCGTTCTATCTTACAAAGGTCCTCCAAACCGTTGGCATAACCAAGTCAAGCGAGCAACTTGTCATTACAGCTTGCCTTCAGATATGGAATCTTATCTGCGGAATTGGCGCGGCCCTTCTGGTGGACTTAGTGGGCAAGCGATCTCTGTTCCACGCATCGGCAATCATCATGATCATCAGCTATGTTATGATAACAGCGTTCTCGGCGAGCTTTGCAGAGCATCATGAACGCTCGGTGGGGATTGCTGTGATCCCCTTTCTGTTCATTTACTTTGCCGGTTACGGCATTGCCCTGTAGGCCATTTACCCCTACCGCATGCTGATTAACCGCTGTTGCTCACTATGCTCTCAGGACCCCGTTGCTCATTGCATATCCCTGTGAGATATGGCAATTCAGTCTCCGTACCCGGGGGCTTAGTATCACATGGATTGCATCCTGTCTGTTTGCCTCGTTCAACTCGCTGGTCAATCCAATCGCGCTCGAAAACATTTCATGGAAGTACTATTTCGTATTTCTGGCTGTCCTTATTCTATACAGCATAACTGAGTACTACATGTACCCCGAAACGAAAGGCCGTTCGTTAGAGGAGATCCAAACGCTGTTTGAGAGCGAAAATCTCGAGCCGACGTCAACCAGGGCGACTGACTAATTGAATGCTTTTCGGTGGAATATGGGACCACCATAGGTAATGGCACTGTCAGGCATGTATTTTCGTCAATTTCAGCTATATCCACAATAGATTATATACATGATCTTTCATCTAGTTAATAGGCTCTCTACTGTAACCAGTAGATCTTATGTCACTCTTAATAAATCTGGTCAATTTAAAAAAATGAATCAGAAAGCTGATCGTGATTCAGGATAGGTGATTTGGGGCCAGAAATGACTAGTCTGGTAGTAAACCTTAGTATCAGAATATCTCTGAATTAGACACAATAATTTCTAATTCCGCCACGGGTGAGACCCCGTTCCATTTCTATCTGCTCAGAGTCTAGTATCGTCGCTGTGGAAGTCACTCTCCTAAAAAGCTGTTATCATAATATTACTCTTTAGAAGCAAGATGCGTGACGGGAAGTCAGTATCAACAGAGTCTATAAATTTATAATATTCTTACTACTTAATAAAATTAAATTTAATATTAAAGAGATAAATATAGTTTTATCCAGTAAGCTCTCAGTTAACCATAATGCAGACAGATAATATATATATATATAAATATAAATATACAGAATTTACTGCAATGTTATACTTAGATCCGGTGTATATATCTTTAATATAGAGACTTTGTAACCGGTCCTGGCTTTTCTGTAGAAGGATCAAGAATTCTTATAATAGCAGGTTGTTACCGTTACACCCGGTGGCTGTTTAAGTAATATAACAAGCATTATTAATGCCAAGGCTACTTGGGAAGAATATATGAAATCATTCGCAAGAGATGGACATCGCTTGCGAAGATGGGCGATGAAGCATTCTCTATGCAAGCAGGCCTCCTCGCTGTGGGCGACCAAGAGACAAGGTTTCCACTTAAAGCCCAGCATGGTTGTCGAGATGGATGCATTCTTGTTTATACCCAATCACTTCGGCTTCGGATAATTTCATGAATTAAGAATGAGAATTCAAATTTCTCTCTTGGCCTTATTATAAAAGGCCCTGAAGACTCCATGGACTATGTCAATCTTCTAGATCAAGGTGGCAACATGGTTGGATTAATAAACCATAATTCTATTGGTTGGGAACGCCTTCGTCATATTCCTGATTGGAACAATGGAGCCGAATTCGATGTCCTGGCTTTGTCCTTGCCGTACGAGGCAGAGACGACTGTTTATTATAACTCATCCGGCAAAGATACATGATCGCGACGTCGCGGACTGGTGTGACTCGAAGAAAAAAAAAAAAAAAAAAAAAAAAAAAAACCATCTTTATAGACGACTACATCGGTCACTATTATGTCAATCTTGTCACTGTGAACTTGATGGTTGTTGAGTCAGAAAACGGCATCAGGAAGCGCGTTGCACTTGCAGAGGCTGCTCTGAAGATCTGGGTACAAGCAAAACCCCAGTTTCACACCTTTATTCTTGGATAGAGATTCTGTAAATGATAAATAGGTACAGCATATGGGCTTCTATCATAATTTCCATGACTCATCTGTTATCAGTAGACCAGAGCCTGGGTCAATGCCTTATGAAGTTGGTAAGCTAATTTGCGATCCGGTTAAGCAAACTTATAATAAACTAGAATTGGAGCTACAATGCTCAGGTATCCACAGAAGACGATATGCTTACCGATAGCTAAACGTCTTATCACATGTTGGCACATCTGAGCCTTGATCTCGGATATGTTGTGCCTCGTGGCGCCGTCGATGCGCCTTTTGGTGATAGCTTGCTGGCTGAGTAGAACCTTATACATTGCAGATGAACTGTTGCTGAGATCAAGCTTCTCCTATGGCCAATCACAAAACAGAATATGTTGCACCTCCCACCTTTTCGGAGAGCCCACTTTCGGAGATCCCACCTGCAAAGCCCCAAAAAAAGCACGGAAAAAGCTCTTGATGTTTCTTTTCAACTTTTACTAATAAGCACTCTACAACGCTTAATAATTGACTTACTAATGCAATTAGTCACATTACGCTGAGCGCAATGCCGAGGGGCTCTATACCGGGGTATAAAAAGCTATTAATCCTTGCCAGGCATGATCTGATCTATTATATCACATTGCCAAATTTCTCTCTTTCTCTACCCCCCTCTTCCTTCCCAACCATGTCGCAAATGAAAGTTGTGCGCGTTGTTTCCACCGGCACTAAATCTAGTACTGAGTTCCGAGATGAGCCCAAACCGAGCCCTGGCGAACATCAAGTGCTCATCAAGGTACACGCTGCTTCGCTGAATTACCGCGACTCAGTCCTATTGAGGGGAGAATATGGCGTGGAAACTAAGAAGGATGTCATCCCCCTCTCCGACGGCGCTGGCGAGGTTGTGGCAGTCGGCAAAGGCGTGACGCGATTCAAGCCCGGCGATCGGATCGCTGTCCAATGCGCCACGGCCTGGATCGGGGGTCCGTTCATCCCGGAATATATATCCACCAGCGTCGGCTTTGCTATAGATGGAATGTTGTCTGAGTTTGTGGTGTTCTATGAAGACGCACTTGTTCGTATCCCGGACTATATCTCTTATGTCGAGGCTGCTTCGCTCCCTTGTGCGGCGGTCACAGCATGGACGGCTCTAAACAAGATCGAGCCGCTGCATCCGGGCCAGACGGTGCTGATACAGGGCACGGGAGGTGTCTCACTTTTTGCCTTACAGTTTGCAAAGCTATCCAATGCCCGCGTGCTGGCAATCACTTCCTCGGATGAAAAGGCTGCTAAGCTTAGAGAGCTGGGCGCGGATTCTGTGGTGAACTACAGCACCTGTCCTGAGTGGGATCGCGATATACTTGCCCTGACTGATGGCAAGGGGGTTGATAAGGTGCTAGATATTGCTGGAGAGAAGACGATCGTGAAGTCTGCAGCGTCGACTAAAATAGGTGGCGTGGTTGTCTTGATTGGGTTTGCAAGTGGTTTCGGTGGCGGGCTGCCACCCATGAATATACTCTCTCGATCCCTCACGGTGACCGGATCAACTGTTGGTTCACGGCTGGATTTCGAAGCAATGCTAGCAGCTATGGCATCGCGCGAGATTCGACCTGTTATTGATCGGGTGTATCCTCTTGCGGAATATCGCAAAGCTTATCAGAGGCTAGAGTCTGGACAGCAAGTTGGCAAAGTTGTTATTGAAGTTACTAAGGCGAATGATTAAGTTGATTTGCGGTCTTAGCATGTGTGATAATCGAATCTACTGTCTCATTTATACGAGGATATAGGTCTGTTTGGAAGGGCCTCGAGGCAGGAGAATCGTCTTGAGAGAGTGATACATGAGGTCTACAGACGAGGTCTCCCTATAATAAATTATCTAGATAAAATCCCAGCAGAATTTACTATTTACAAATCCATATCTATAATCATAAAATATTTTACTCTATTTTTATTCAAAATCTGATACTATCGCTGTTGAAATTCCTTACCTTAAAAGCTATTATTATAATATTACTTGTGAAAGACAAGATGGGCGACACGAAGTTAGCATAGACGGGTCTATAAACTTATAATATTCTCGCTGCTCGATGAAATTGATTTTAAAAATAAAGAGATGCGTGCAGTCCTAGTACCTAGTGAGCTCCCGGTTAATTAAGATGTAGACAGATAATATGGTACTTGACTAAATATACTGTTGATAGTGGACACTGACTCATGCATAAAGGTACTTACCATGAGATGATTTAAAGTTAATGCCAATAAAATAATCAGTGAAAATACTCGATGAGAGAAGGTATAGCTTTATCATATAAGAAAAGTAAAGAATAAAATTATGAGGTCCTTTGTCAATATCATTATTAGTGGGGGCTCCTTCCTGGCTTTGGCACTGAACTCTGGATTTGTCAGACTGGCTCCTTACAAATCATCCACACAGTTTATCAGCCTATATTCGCATAATCCTGACTGTAGCTTTATTCTTATCATACTGAAGATATATTACTATTCATTATATCATATCTTTTTTGCCTCGGAAGAAACCCAAGCCCATTTGCATGGCGCGGCGCAGGCCGTGATCGGGGTAACTGGCAAATCGGAACCCGAATGTCGGCATGAACGTTCTTCCTCAGATGTCCTTGATATATATAACAGTATGACTCTCTTATCATTGAGGCTCTAGAATAAGCAGTCTATATATCTCCGAATAGATATAAGATAGTAGTATATTGGATTACAGATAATTATTTTAATTGTTACTTATTCAGGTATTTCTTCTTCAATATCAGTTAGATAAGTAAATCCAGGACTACTGCATCCCGAATGCTCTGATCTCTTTCTTGCCGAAGCTTATATGTATTAATAGTATGTGTTGACTACTAGTATGTCTAACTTGACATCTGGAAATGTATTAATCATCCACATGTGCATACCTCAGAGGGACGAGTCTATTGTAATTGTCATCGACGCTTCATCGTATCCTTGCTTATCCAACATATCTAGAACTCTAAAATCGCCGACCGTCTTCCAGGATCTTCCACTGGCACATGCCCTGGTGGGTACATAATAAGGGACCTCATCCCTTCCCGATTGAAGCTCATACCGCTGGTCCCTGGGAGTCGGCAAGGTGCACGGCTCAACGGATTGCACATCTCTATTTGAAGCTGCATGATCCATCGTGTGAGAGGTATACTCGCTCTCTCAGCATCAAAATAGAAATCTAGCGATTGGCCACCCTTTGGATCAGAATAGAAATCGTGCGGTTCGATAGAAGGCCGTGCACATGAATCCGGCTGTGCATCCGGCTGCCCACGTTCCATATATAAGTCATCTTGCAGCTTTATCTCTCTTCCACGGTAACCAAGTTTAGACAACTGGACAAATTGCAGCTCCAGATTATCTGCCAGAAACTGAAAGCTCCGCATCCAGAGCATCTTTATCTCGTTTATCACTTCAGTGGACAATGAAGAGCCCCAACTACTTCTCTCTTCAGTGATTGGCCCTGGATCTCGCGCTGCAATTATCGCATCCGTCAAGCTGACCATATTCATACTCAGCCGTTTCAAGGTTGGCGCTGCTGTTTGAAGAAATTGTCTAAGCGTATCCACTGTCACCTCAATCGAGTGGAGATGAATTTCCTCTAGCTGGGAAAACCGGATCTTCTCGGAGAGATCCTCAAAGTACAGGGGGGATAATTCTTCCCAGGGGCTCCATTGGGCAAATGTCAGTATCTTCAATTTTGGTGCAACTGTGACCAGAATATTGAGAAGACGTTTGAAGGTCTCTTCCTCGAATTTATCTTGTTCGTGATCCTTAATGCGGATACACATATGAAGAGCCGTCAGATCGCTCAAGAGTGGCAACAGTAATCTATACCTTGACTCTGGCAATTTCAAGGACCCCAAGTTCATCCCGCAAGCGTAATTGCCGCACGTATGGAGGGATCGGACCTTCCGATTGGATTTAATTATGGCATGAAGCACCTGTGAGATTGCCAAGCCAAAAGGCGGGGACAACATATCCTTGCGAAAACTTGCGAATGTCAAATGACCACGTACATCATCGGTGCTGAACTTCTTCAATTCCCGTAAGCCAAGGCAGCGAAATGAACGATAGTTTGCTTTCGAGAGGAGGAATTCAAGGGGGTAAGACCGTAATCCGACCGTGGTGACGTTCTTGAGGCGCGGCAGGCATTCTTCAAGGACCCCAAGAAGTTCTGAGTCAAGGATAGCACGGTGCTCTGCTAATGTACCTTCGTAAGCGGCAAATAGAGCGTCAAGCTCAGCCTCAGCATTGGTTGATGTTGATTCCTCCTTTTCACCGCGCATCATTCTTAACATTCTTCTCTGTTTCCTCATTGACAAACCCAAGCTTTTGAAATTCTCCTTATCCTTTTGTGGCCAACCCTCAAACAAATTAGGAATGATCCAAATTTCTTGAACCCAATCCCGAAGAGTTTCACTTGCTGCAACCTCCACCAGATGGCCAAGGCTATCACGAGTAAGAAGAAGTGAGAGAATTTTGAAGTAGCGCGTCGCATAGGCCTCCAGTGTATTGCCATATATTTGGTGGCATGTAATCCGAAGCGCACCCCACTCTTGAGGCTCTAGATGCTCACAAATGCGAGTCAATATCTCTACGGGCAGGCTTGTGATAGACATCTTGCACCAGTTTATTTCGGCCGCACCAAGATATGTGGCAATCGTAACCTTGAATCACTATTCACTTGAACTGCGAGGGTTGGTGTTGAAAAGGACTTGTAGAAACGTTGCTCAGCTCAGAGTGAATATTCAGCAGATGCTTAAGCACCGGAAATCCCTCCAGTCCGCAAAGAATCCGGGCGCTCAGGCACCCTCAGCAATCCTCAGGTTTGATCGGGACTTCGGGCGCGTCGGTAGCAGACAGGCGCGCTACATACACTACAGGTTAGCCTAGGCTAGCCTCCCACTAACAAGAAGGGCCCAGCCACACTGAATCAGCGAGAAAAATAAAATTGCTCTTGCAAGCGATGTCAACTAAAGTGCTAGCGGGGGTTTGTGGCTTGGGTAACAAGGGAACCGGCAATTCCTTAGAATCTATCTTTTTCACTGTCAAATCGAGTAGTTATTTGATATTAATTCTGAACAATGAGCTGCCTGTTCCATATATAGCAGAATGTGTGGCTCCAATGCTTCTTTAGCTATGTACAGGCAACAAGGATCATGAGAATTTGGCCTTCAGGACCTTTTGGGGAACTATTTGAGATACACCTTTCCGTAAATGCTTTTTGAGGTCCACATCAAAAGTGTCATCCACTTTGAGTTCGGAAATCGGCCGCACAAAGCAATTGCGGGCTGTTATATCCTCCGCATCTTTCTTGGCCAAGATCCGGAAAACCTTTCTCATTCCTTGATGTCGTTTCACTATTACCAATGCCAGTTTGGATGCCTCAAGATCATCTTCCACATCTTCCTCGGAGAATATCTTGTTGGCCTGAAGTGTATACAGCACCAAGGCAGCGAATCCTGCTGCATAGGCAGTAGCAAATGAACTTCCTCGGACCGTAGGCACCCCATTCCAGACACCTTCAACGTTTTCGCCCGGGAGAAGAAGGTCTGGTCTTGTATGGAGATTCTCTTGGGTGATAGCGCCATAGTCAGTAGCGGAGCAGATCTTGATGACATTATCCAGACCGACTGGGGCGAATCGACTTATTTCGTGATTGACACCCTTATCTGGGTGTGAACCAAAAAGGTTTGCCTTGTCGTTTCGTAGAGTCTCATTGACTAGATTCTCGAATTCGGCTTTGTCATTATCTGCGAAATCTTGTTCTCTCGCGAAGCTCCACCTCATGGAAATAATGTCTGCTCCCATTCACAGAGCATATCGGAGTGCCTAGTCATTACCTCTGTTTAGCCCTGGGGAGCTTGGGTAGGGTGACAGTGATGTGATGTATACCTGAGTACATGACCTAATAGTGAAGGGATGCTGACTATCATTTGAACGTGAATCATCCAACCGGGCGATAATGAGTTCTGCGCTAGGATAGATCTGTCGGACACACTTCGCCATGGCCGTCCCGTGTTTGCAAGGCCCAACCCAGTATTCTTGCGTTGGACTAAAGGAATCCCCTTGTTGGTTTTCCTCCTCAATTTCGTCCAGGTTGACGCCATCATCTAAGATGGCCACTTTTACCTTGAGCTTACCCTCAAGATGACTGTTGATTTGCGCCATAAATCCCGTGTAGCCAGAGAATTCTTCAATCCATTCGCCCGATCTAGGCCTAATTCAGATTAAAGTCAGCATAAACAAATACAGGACTTTATTCAGGCTTAGCAGCCTTACATTGTATGTCCGGTCCCTAGTCGATTTTCGGGCCCATTGGCCGTTGTAATGCCGGCCTTTTTAGAAGTCTCTCTAAAAGACACATTGAATGGGATGACATCAACTCCGAGTGTTTTAAGATGAGTGCAGCGCTTCAGCAGACTGTTTTCAAATTCTTCCTGGTACTCCCTACAATCTCTCTCGTCGTTGTAGCACTGCTGAGAGCCAGCCACGTATCAAGCCACGCTAGGATGAGCAAAAGTCCCCATCTTATCTTGGGATAAATTTCAACGAATAGTGCTTCTAGCTATTCAAGGTTAGTGAGGGATCAAGACCACCAAGCTTACGCCAGCTTACTTTTTTCAGCCTTGCAATTCCTGTTTTCGATGCCCAACTTCTCAGTATTGCCGTATTCCCGTGGGAGTACAGGTGGACCTCTTTTGCTCCAGGAGAAACTCGAACGATGGTGTCGGTACGAATGTCAAACTTTTCCATTTCCATACCTCGATGTCGAAATGTGCTAACGAGCAGTATTGCCACTTACTCTCTGCCGAGTAGCTGCAGCGACATCCTGCTTGAACTTCAGAAGAACCAGATGCAGAATAGCCATCTTGGCAAAGCAGAATATGTACTTGACAATAATGTGTGAAAGAAGTTAGCAACTTAGTATTGGTGGATGTGCTGATATAACTATCCACCCTCTGGATATCGTAATCAACGGTTAGGTAACCCATCTAGTAATCCAATATAAAAGATCTTTTTTTGAACATAAGATATCTCAACCTTCAGAGGACTGAGCGAGTTCAAATTGGATATAAAGATTATAAATAATATAAAAAATTATCAGATGCTTTTCAAAATCTTAAGAAATATTTTTAAAACTATATTATACTACAATATCTGTATTCTATCTACATTTGTAAATCTTTCAATCTATTCCATATAAAGAAAATTTCAAACAATCTGAAAAAATCATCAGTTATTTATTCTTATATATATACTCTATCTATAAAGTTACTGCTTCTCAAGCTCTGGTAGTGGTTTTGATATAGTAGTATCAAAAGACATCTTTCGTATGGGATACCAGGATGGGCTGCCCAACCGTGTGAGCCGTCCAACCGTTGTTTAGGTTGGGCCGCACTTATGTAATGATATGCGGGGATCATCAAACCGTCTCGGACATATCTTCAACACTGTGACGGTTCTTTCTTGCATGATATCGAACGTTCGAACAGATCCCTGGTCGGCACGATTAATAACTCTCTTCACTTATATATATTGTATTTGGAACTCAGGAAAGTACCCTTTTCTGGCACACACCGTCAGAACCTTGGATCGAGATTATCATCACTATCTAGAACATTAACCATGAACGTCAGCCCGAACCGCTCCATCGTCATCATCGGCGTGGGATTGGCCATGTCCCGCTCGCTTGCCCTCTGGCTCGCAAACGTGGGCTGGAACATTGCCCTCATATCTCGCTCTGAGAAAACCCTGTCCAACATCGCCGATGAGGTCAAAGCCGCTCAGAAAAGCGCAAACGCCAAGGTGATCTACCGTACCGCCGATGCCGGCAACCCCGATAGTTTGACAAGCGCCCTGGACTGGTGTGCTCAACAGTTTGGTGGCAAGCTTGATGTCTTGAATTACAATGCCGCCCATGTCGCTCAGTCACACATTACGGAAGTCACTCCGGAGAGGCTGAATCTCGACCTCCAAGTCTCTGCGGTGGGTACCCTCGTCGCAGGCCAGTGGTTCACCCGCAATGCCAACACCGACCGTGTCTCTAAGGGTGAGTGGCCGCTCTTCCTGGTCACTGGCGGCACGCTTGATAAGGAGCCGCAGGTGGTGGTCTCTTCACTGTGTGCTGCTAAGGCAGCATCGCAAACTCTCAGCCGCCTCTTTGCACAGGCGCTTCCGCAGGAGGCTCAGATTGTGGTCGGCATGCCGCTGATTAGAGCAAGCATTGTTAACCCGGAGACTGGCGGCTATACTGAGGGATATCATCCTGATTATATCATCCAAGCGGTGTTCAAGCCCTTCTTTGAAGTCCGCGAGAAGCTGCAGGATGGACTAGACAAGTGGACAGTGGAACGTGTTATCTGATCATAGCAAGAACACATGTAAGGAAGGGGGTTACCATCAATTGATACAAGATACATTATCGAGAATAATCCTCCGCAGACGTTAATACGCCAACAAATGACTAAATAAATACATGTAGGACCCATAAATTTTAAGCGATCATGTATGGACGTTGCTTGTTGACTCGATAACAAAATGGCGGCGGTGTTTCAAGACCCGTCCCTAGTCGGGCTGAAGGACATCAAGAAATCTTTGGCTGAAGGCAAGGCATCTCACAGTGCTTATCGCAGCGTTTCTCGCACAGTTAGTCGGAGGCGGAGTAAGCGGCGGATAATTACTAGCAAGACTAGCGAGACCTACCTGTCACTTAGATTCATGCTCACTATTTGCTAGATTTAGTTTATGGATCCCTTGTGATCAATCTAACGTAACTACACTTAAAGCATTCTGTATATATATCTTGGTTTAACGATTAATCTGGTACATACGACCACAGGGTGTGGAAAATAGGGCTTCCCGTCCGCTCAGCCGTACTCAAGCCACACGCCGGGAGGTTAGTAGTTGGGTGGGTGACCACCAGCGAATCCCTTCTGTTGTATGTATGATTTTTAATTATTTTTTTTTTTATTTTTATTATCATACATATCTCTTTGTATTGTTCTTATTATTAATTTTCAAGTACGTCTAAATAATATTCTAGCGCCATTGATACCTATCCTGCTGTTGTATTAGTTGATCCACCTCTCTTGGACGGAAATATTGAATAATAAGTACTATATCGAGGCGACTAATGATGGTCAACGGGAAATCTAAATCAGCAAAAGTGATTCATAAATTTTGATTGATAATTCACAGTAACTAGTCAATAATACGAAATATGAAGGATGAGTTACTGACTGTGAGTATGGCGATGAAGCAGCCTGAAGACCATACGATTATGGAAACCATAGCGTCTCCACAGAACTAGTAGCATGGGTTTCCAATAGCAATAACCCAAATCGGTGTTAGACTACTGAAACGTTCCTCGAAGGTATTACCATAGGCTGTAGTATATTATTGAGTGTATGAGTAGATGAGCTTTGCTCCAGTAGCTCCCATAGCAGGTCATCTACTATATATTAGCGTATAAGAAGGTTGCATATAATCCTTTTATTAAGATGTTCTTGGACAGCTAGCCTGTGATAGGATAATGACCATTAATGAGATCCTGGAGCGAGAAACTGGCGGTGTATGAAACTGGTCTCACTTAACAGAGCCTTGCCATTTAAGTGGCTGTTGAACTTGAGGGAAACCGGTTCTGTGTCTTCAGGACCTGAGATACGAGCGATTATTAATCTTGAACAAATTATTAAGTCGGTTGCTGATTCTCATATTGTAGCACTCAACCATATTCGTTGTATAAAACCCTGCGTTCCTAGTTCAATAGAAAGGATACTTTGTATAATATGTTTTACGGTAATAAAACTACAGCAATGAGTAAAAAAAAAGAAAGAAAAAGAAAGAAAAAGAAAGAAAAAGAAAGAAAAAGAAAGAAAAAGAAAGAAAAGGAAAAGAAAAATCGAAAGAAGGAAAGAAAAATGGAGGAAAATGGGGAGAAACATAGAAAAACCTGGGAAAATTGGAAACATGAGTAATAGGAGTAATAGGAGTAATAGGAGTAATAGGAGTAATAGGAGTAATAGGAGTAATAGGAGTAATAGGAGTAATAGGAGTAATAGGAGTAATAGGAGTAATAGGAGTAATAGGAGTATTATGAGTATTATGAGTATTATGTACAATATATGCGTGTATGCGAACTGCAATTTACTAATATAAGTATTATTGACATTACATCAAGACAGCGGATATTACTAATAATAGTAGTTTAGATGCTGTACCATAGCGAGTCAAAGACGGTCCCCTAATTAATGCTCTCATCCTAATCAAAGAACTACGTGATAGGAGTCTTGTACCGTGCTCTTATGGGGTATATGCTGTAGTTGGTGGTTTGTTTGCAAGGGGACATATGCTTAGAATTGAACTGACAATAACCGAAGAACTCTATCGCACAGAGAGAGACAACTCTCTTTGACGTATGAGAATTATTGTAACATGAATTTCAGACAAGACAATAAATCAGATTGAAGTATTGAAGAAACGTATTACTAAGTCTTACTGCAAACCGTCGGTTGAACGACGTTGTAGTCACACAACATTGACATGACCACGTTTCATGTTGAATCAAACAGCGGTCACGAAAAGTAGGCGGGTGTTTCACGGTGCAGAAACCGTAGCATCCTCGGAAAGCTTCTGCTCTTCACAGAGCTTCTTTGCATGCTTCATAAAAGACAGCAGTCGCTGGCGCCGGTAGTAGATGTTTGTCAGGTCGATATGGGCGCTGGCCTCCGCGTCATTCTGACCAGTGATGAGTATGATCATAAAGAATGTCTCGATAATGCTGGGAGGCACGTTCGAAATCAACTGTCCAGTGAGACTCCACTCCATCGCGCTTGAAGCGACAAGACAACCAATGGTGAGGAAGAAGCCAGCGATAACCATTGTAAGATGGGAGCTGACGACATTCATCCAGCGGGAGACGTGCTGGCTCAGAGACGGGCGCTTGGTGCTTCCAGTTGAAGGGATAGCCACTGACAGTCCCGCGAAGAGTCCCAAGTCTCCCTTTTCCACAACCCGAATCTGACGATGGATGTACTGTTGCACCTTGCCTTGGATGTTGCGGAGGACGAAACTGTCGAACAGACCAACCAACCCTGCATACGTGCCGATGAGCAGCCACCAATTACTGTTAAAATGAAAGACAGGTCCGACAGCTGCCCAGGCGATGATTACCAGCACGAGGAAGATCATGCCGACCAAGGTGCCAATGACGTCGGCGTAGTAAAAGATCAACACCTGCAGGGAGTTCTCCTTGGGAGGCAACCAAACCTCCATCTGGTTCGGCAGGTCATCCTCGCTGAGGCGACGAAGCTCCTTCTCGAGAGTCGCATCGAGTCGGAAGATGGCGTCCAGGCAGATATTCGTATGTTCGGCATAACATTCCCGCAGGCAGGCCAGGAACGCAAATACTAGTACCATCAGCGCCGATGTCGCGTCGTTGATGTAGAGTTGCCACCGATTCGACCAACCACAATGCGGGCCGAATCCCAGCCAGATGAAAATGCAGACCCAGTAGAGACCGCCGCTGACAACATGTCCGAATGTCTTGGCCGAGACGATGACGCACCGGGCAAAGAGAGACTGCGTGCGCCCCTGGTCCAGCGCTTCGAGAGGCTCAACATTGCACTTCTCGGAAACACGACGAATCCCTTCCGCTCCCAGCTTCTTCTTGACACTGGCGATCATGCGTTGATGACTGTTACACCGAGACTGAATTTCAATTACGGCTTCGCGCTGCTCAGAGTACTCGCGGAGCAGCTGGCGCATGAGGAAAGAATCGAACACATAACATAAAATAGCTTGAACGTCGGAGATAGCAGCAACCCAGACGTCCGAGTTGCCGAAACGAATGCCCATCAAGGCCCACGTTAACAGGCCAGCGATGATGAATAGAAAGACTGGGGCCGACCCAGCCAGCCTGACTGACGCATCAAGCCAGCGGTCCACCAGTTTCGGGCTCGCCTTGACCCTGTACCCGGAGACATCTTCAGTAGCCACCACGATAGCGGTATCAACTTTTACATCCTTCCCATTTGTCACCCGCTGCGTCTCTGCCGCCCCCTCAAACTCGCATCGAAAGACAGGCCTGAAGTATTTCATCGTGGTCGACCAAAACAATCACTGCTGGATGTTGGATCCAATACGGAGCAATTGTTCGGGCCTTCAGGCTCATTGACCCGCAGGGTAGTTAAGGTGGACGAGTTGCGTTTGCAGACTCGCGAGAAGATTGCAGCCCAGCCAACGTGCCTGGGATCGAAGAGGAGATGATAGAAACAAGAGAGTCCATAGAGCGAAGATCAGCCATTCAGAGCCGAAGACCAGACACTTTGTGTCTTGGGATATTGCAAAACAGTGGGTGAGTGAAAGGACGAGAAGAAAAGAGACGAGAGAAAGACGGAGGAAACAAGATTATATTCGATAAGGGAAAGTGCCAGTAAGTGCCGACACCCAGACCAGGCAGTACACCGGCATGACGGGCAGCGCCATTATTCTTCCTCTTCCCACCAGCACCATCGTGTTTGTCTTGAGACGGTTCGCTTGCGTCTTTTTTGACTGGCCAATGAAAGGGAAAGATTGTTTCCCGGGTAAAAAGCTTAATTGTGCTCACGAGAAAAAAGTCAACTTTAGCGGGGCTAGGCAGCAATCTAAATTTGCTCAATCATATCGTGGTGATATACGCTGAACCGCGTCGAAACAATGCTATTTCCACTCTGCCATTCAATGGAAAGGTGCAATGCAAAATAAGCAACCCTTAGAGGGAGGGGTTCCTGACCCAGAAATGCCCTCCTCTCCAGTAGATACTAGTCCAGATAGATAACCCATCGTGCCCACAATGCCCTTGCTCGAGCCCTAATTGGTTGATTTTTCACGCTCCCGTCGGTGGAAGTGCGTGTCCTGTGTTAGTGTAGTAGTTTGTTGGTTATATAAGAGTAGAATGTGGTTGATATCTTCGAAAATTTGCTTACTATGGATATACCAGACCAATCGAGGAAGCTTTTCTCAGCCATTTCTCTAGAGAGGTATAACACGTCGCATCGCTATGAATTCCTTATATAAGTTCTTAGAAAATTGCCCACACCCCCACCCCAAAACCTTTCTGCTTTCTCTAATTCCATCGATATTAGTATATACTATTCATATATACGGCGGTCTAATTACCTATGGATCTACTTGCCTACTACAGTCCCTTTCATGTATGGACCTGTAAGCCCTGCCAGTACGCGATTACACAAAAGTACCTCAAGAATTGTCTTCACATCCATCAATCATCGCACCCAACCGCAATGACTACTGAGCCCCCACGACAGATTGTCTACTAGAAAATGTCTAAGTAGCCTTGGCGGCACCTGACTTGAGAGCCCGGTATCTACCCCGATTTTGGTAGTCCGGCGATTCCGAACCTGCCTTTATACACCGGTTATTGTTGCATTTTGGCCCGCTACAGAGGAGGAACCCACCATAGAGCGATAGGAAAGGCACTCCCATTCACGTCTGTCGATAGGGTTCTGTTTCCAGCCTTACGCCCGTGGTCAAGCGAGAACAGGATGCAGATATGCTGGAACTAACAGGAAATAGCATGTGAAAGCGCCCGTCCGTATGATCATAGCAAGGCCCTATACGCCCTAAAAAGCGATATCTCCCTACCGAGGTGTGAAAATTGCCTATTAGATATAGTCTCGTGCCTCTATAATTGCCGCACAACAATTTGAGGAGAGGGCCATACAAGACTACTACGGACCAAATTAAGGTTTTGAGAACTAAATGTCTTGATAGGTTTCTTATTAACAGATGCCCATCTTGGTAAACTACCCTAGTGGCCAAAAAAAAAAAAAAAAAAAAAAAAAAAAAAAAAAAAAAAAAAAAAAAAAAAAAAGACTACGACCTGGTCCCCCGCTTTATGAACTGCATTTCATCAATCATATATAGTCTGCCTTGCAAAGTCCATCTTTTGTTCATCTCCGAGCAGCCATCAAGGGGCCCAGCATCAACATAATCCTTCGCAATATACCCCATAATATCAAAATATTGACATACTGTCTGTGACTTGGAGAGACCAATGGACACAAGGAGCTTGAAAGTGCAATTCAATGAAGCATCTTCGCTTCGCAAGGTACCATATTGCCATTGTCGGCCGCCTTTTACGACGTTATCCTTGAGAATGATCGCACTAGCGTTATTTGACTGGATCGACATTAACGAGGGGTTCCGTGGCAGCAAGGGCCGAGTGCCTCATCATCCAGAAGAAAATACCTTGCTTGAGACTTTACCGTGACCTATCCTAGGAAATTTCTGGCCCGCCCAAACGGCTTATATTTTTTTCGATGTGTTCTTATTGATGGTCATCAATTCATCTATATGCCCTTCCCTGGCTGCTTTCTAGCTCCCTACGAGTCCTCGGCCGTTCTCTTCACTCTCTTGAGCCAAGTTCCCAGAAGAAAACTGCCATCGTTCAAGTCCCTACCGTTCTCGAAAATTCTAGTAACTCAAACCAAAGTCATCCACGGGCTCGCTCCCGTCAGTATAGTTGATACGATATGGATCGGGCCGGTAATAGTTTGTTTCATAGCTGGCAAGCCTCTGTCTATGGTTTTCTGTCTCAAGGTGATAAGTAACCCCTTTTCTGGCGCGTCTTGTGAGGCTGGTTACTGGCCCCAGAGCTTTCATTTATAGCAATAGAGGCAGGCCGATGTTGCGGCTTGGTTTGCCAAGCCAAGGATATTGTGAAACATAGAAGGGTCAGGTAAGGTGCCGTAGAATACATACAGCCTGAGTGCGTGCACCATATAGATCCTAATCAGGTGATGGTCTTTGGGGGTAGAAGAAATAGCCTGGAGGAGCAGGCCGCCGCCTCATGATGAACGAGGAGACTTTCAAGTTTGGATCTTCCAGAGGTGTGAGTATTCGTATATTATCGCACCTGTATATATTGCACACGCTACCAAATCATAAGATCAAAAATATGTTCGAAGAGGAAACTGGCACATACGACCACAGGGTGTGGAAAACAGGGCTTCCCGTCCGCTCAGCCGTACTTAAGCCACACGCCGGGAGGTTAGTAGTTGGGTGGGTGACCACCAGCGAATCCCTTCTGTTGTATGTATGGATTTTTGGACTTTTTCCATTTTTATCTTCTTATTCAATCGTATCCAAATACCATTATGTCATACATGCGTTTCTTGCTGAGGTAGTAATTGTTTCTGTCCTTTGGACGGAAATTTCCAGGAGTGAAATGAATGGGTAGAGGATGAAACATCAGGAAGTAGCTGGAAAAGCTTTATGAAGTTGTCAGGAAAGTGTCGAAAAAGTGTCGGGAAACTGTTGGTAAGCTAAGAACAAGTTGCCATAGTTATTGTTAATTATTTGATTACGACCAGCAAATTGTTCGCTGATTATGGCATAATTTCGTAAAGTATCACCATAGGCTGCACAATCGTAGTGTATCACTGTGAATTCGATGAGTCTTAATCTGGTAGCTTCCAAAGCAGGTTATTTACTATCTACTAGCGCATTGGAGAACTACAAATAATTTTTCATTAAGATGCTACGGGACAGCCAGCTGTGATAGAATAGACGGTCATGAATGAGCTTCTGGTGCTAGACAACTGGCGGTATGTGAAACTGGTCTCACTGACTACAGCCTTGTTATTGTGTGTGGCTGTTGAACTTGAGGGAAACACAACCCTGCGTTCAGAGATTAAGAGAAAGGATACTATGTATTAAATGTTGTGGTAATAGAAGTACAATAAGGGTATGTGATGAGTAAAATTAACAAAATATGTGATAGGAGGAAATAGGAGGAAATAGGAGGAAATAGGAGGAAATAGGAGGGAGTAGGAGGGAGTAGGAGGGAGTAGGAGGGAGTAGGAGGGAGTAGGAGGGAGTAGGAGGGAGTAGGAGGGAGTAGGAGGGAGTAGGAGGGAGTAGGAGGGAGTAGGAGGAAGTAGGAGGGAGTAGAAGAGAGTAGAAGGGAGTAAGAGTGAGTAGAAATGAGTAGATATAAATTAGTGTGAGTAGATGCGAGTTGATATGAGTTGATGTGAGTTGATGTGAGTTGATGTGAGTTGATGTGAGTTGATGTGAGTTGATGTGAGTTGATGTGAGTTGATGTGAGTTGATGTGAGTTGATGTGAGTTGATGTGAGCTGGTGTGAGCTGGTGTAACAGGGAAATTAGGGGAACTAGGAAAAATTAGGGGAATTAGGGAGATAGCGGAAATTGAGGAGATAGTGGAGATAGGCGAAATATGTCACATGATTCCTACGCACCTTCCTGTTCTGCATGGTTTTACCACCTGCATAGTATAGCTAGCATCTAGTAGAGGACCTCCGTTCTTCTTACAATCAACTAATCATCATATAAGAACACTTCGTATAGAACGTTGCCACAAAATAGGCGAAACAGGAGAAATAAATAATATGGACAAAATATACCAAATGAGTGTAGTAGAGGAAGAGGAAATATCTAAGGTATATTATACTTAGATGCATGCAATGAGTGAATTAAGTAATAGGAGCAATAACATCAGTCAGTAGTAGAAGTGAGTGATCTACGCATGCCTCCGAGCAGAGCTGTGATCAGTAAGTACTGCATGTGCGAGTTCAGGACAGGTCTACACCCACTGATTAGGATTGTGATGAGCAAGAACTCTACACATAGTATGGATGTTTAAGAGATCAAGGATCAAAGATGTGCATTTTTCAGTTCGATTTTTAGCTTATCATGAATCCCATAGGAGAACCCATATCTCACCAACCGTCTACAATTACCCTATCTTCTCACCAAGCCTGACTTTTATAGATCAAAAGGTCCATGACAAAGACACAAGGAACACTATTATACATATGCACCGCTGAGCTGGAGTGGCATTTTTTCCCCGAATATATACAACAACTCTCTCTCCCAAGAAATAATCATACATCGCCACCGAACATATTAGATCTGGCGAATTTGGCGACAGGCATAGAAGCCCCAATAAGACCAATCCGGACAGTGGCCTCCCTGATAAGAGATCACGGCAGTAGATGTAGAGCTAAGATGCTTGGGTATCAGTAGGATATTTGCTTAGATTGTATCGGTCGGGTTCACCCACGTCTCATGTAAATCTACTCTTCAACATCCCCATCCATGACTGCAGGAAGCCATTTCGATGTCCGCGGTCAGGTCCTCGCATAATGTCAACCTCCTCCAATTGCTTAACAGCTTGGAAAGAAAATATACCCCTGTGAAGTCGATAAAGAAGACTAATCCGTGGATGCATTCTTCTCATTGGATCGGCAACGATGGTGATGGTTAAAAACATGGTCGCAAAGCTGCCAGGTTCTTCGCTAGACAGCAAAGACCGGTTTGGCGAGGTGCGTACGGAGAGAGTGAAAGAAACACGAAGTGAGAGAGAACTCATCATGAGATGATGACTGATCTTGAGGATGATAGAATGGAGCAGTCAATGCTGGACAGTGGCCCTTTATATAACTTTCAGGAAGGCTATGAGGAAGAGATTTACTAGTCAGGTGGACAGAATAATAACCTTGGAATAGATTTTGGAATACAGCTAAGTCTCCCCATTATGCGTAGTCCGGGTCCGATATCTGGTCTAGAGGGCTTGATAGGCATGCGGTAAGCGGACGGTGAGTTGACAACCCACTGTCCATGCATTTGTTTTTCCTTGGTACATCTCTCGGGATGACACGCTTAGCGTCCGTGCGGATGTCTCGCACCCGAGACGATGAGCTCTTAGGACGAGCTAGCTCAGGTACAATATCGCCAGACCGAACACAGGGCTCAGCTGGCTTGGTCCACCCTGCCTCGTGCCCAAAGCGCAGTGGAGATTGGCAAGCTGATACCGCGCGGCACTGGTTAAAAATCGATTCCCGTGGACAAGAAGAACAATATGCTATATCTATACCGTACCGTAAAGACCTGAAGGTTTCCGTCAACATGGCGGTGGGTCTCGTTCACCTTCCATGAATGGGATTTGATCACTCCGGTTTCCATTCTTCTATCTAGTGAAGGAGAAAAACCTTGAGATTACGTATAAATGATATACTATCTAAGTATCTAAACCAAGATCAGAGAGCCTTAAAGGCTCTCTTTACTTGCGAAGGCCACCGTTTAGATCAGCAAAAAAACACCTAAATGAATGGCTTCTTCTATGGTCACTTCAAAAAATTACGCGGTTTTTACAATATCGTAGGGCGTTTTCACTACGGCTCCTCCCAGAACGAGAGACGCCGACCTGTCTTCGGGTGTTTCAGATCCAGGTCTGCGCAGAATGGTAGTAGGTACTCGTCGCTTCGCCTGCCGGCCAAACCGTCCATGAAAGTGTGGTTCCGGAAAGACAGGGAACTACAGTCCTGTGGGAACGTCGGGAAGCTTCCGCACAATCTACCCATCACCACAAGGCTGGCGGCTGGCAGAGTTTCCTAGGAAACGTCGCTAGGGGAAACGCTCCGCCTCATTGATGAATCATGCTAGGGTATGAGTCAAGTTTTTTTTTTGTTATCTTCGTATATTACATATCAGTACTGCCTGAAACAGAAAGATAGGAGAAGGAAGGCGTCATTGAACGATTCGGTCTGCCTACACTAGTTACGTACATGTATCCCTGTGGCTGCTTTAGACTTATGCATAGCTAGATAAATGGAAAGTTGATTACTGCACCTGGGAAGTTTTCTGCAGCAGGCTTTAATGAGGAAGTGGGGAGAGTGGACCCCTGCCAGGTCATTCAGGATCACGATATGAGTCCCGCCCTCGTGCGGCGAAACCCCAGATTTCAACGAGCTATTCGGAGAAGGTGTCAGGATGCTGCTCAGCATTGTCTGACCGTAGATTCGGAAGTATGACCTACTTCTCTACCTTGATTTCATTTCGCAACAATGTCATTGTTTATTTCTTCTTCCTCTTCACCATCTTCTTTCTAAGAAAATTTTGAAACTAGAAAGAATGAAAATAGAACTAAAATGACGATGCTTCGAAAGGACTTCTCAATCAATTACTTTGACTACTAACCAATTGGGTAAAAAAAAAAAAAAAAAAGATTTGAAGAAAATAAAAGAGCCTGTTAGAATGACAAAAGTAGGCATCTCCACCTCAGGTCATATTATGACTTTGAGCGGAGATGAAATGCAGATCAAATTCATATCCTGACTTTGAGGGGGCTTGAACGCAGATCACTTGAGCACCAGAAAGACGGATCTGTGGACTCCGTTAAAGGTGAGCTGGGGTTAGATTTAGCTTGTGCGGACTGGCCCGTCAATCAACTGTGGCACGAGATTGTTCCTGAGCGATGAACCTTGCCTGAATTATCTTACCTCAGGCTTTGCCAAGAGCGAAGATTATGCCGGTCCCATAATTACTCATTTAGCAGATCAACGTGTCCAATATGTGTTCGTCCGTAATATGTTTCTAGCGAGGGATCCAGCCCCTTAACATCAATTGCTCTAGAGGTTCACTGCCAACCAACAAAACCCGGGCGCTGATTAGTATGATTGGCCGTGGCCTTGCCTGCAGTAGACGAAAGGTTAATTTATTGCCTGGCTGAACTGTCCTGGTAACCACTTTTCCTAAGTGTCCCCTTATTGTGAACATGGCTAGTAGATCATGTCATCTCTCCCTAACACTCCCTAACACTCCCTAACACTCCCTAACACTCCCTAACTCTTCCTAACTCTTCCTAACTCTTCCTAACTCTTCCTAACTCTTCCTAACTCTTCCTAACTCTTTCTAACTCTTCCTAACTCTTCCCAACTCTTTCTAGATCTCTCTAACTCTGCCTAACTCCTCTCTAAATCTCCCCAGTATTTCCAGATCCAAATGAATCTGAATCTGAGATTTCCTTGATCTGCCCGAACCACTCCGAAAAGTTCCCTTATCTTATTCCCAGCTCTTGCTTAAACAAACTACATTGGTAGAATGTTATTTCCTATTTGGGAGCATATCCAAGATCTGTGTTTCTTTCCTAATTAGGAGCATATCCTGATTTTGTGCTACTCTCTTCATTTGGCTAAGCCCCGTTCTATAAGCTTTTCACTGGAAATCCTTTCAGAACAGCCGCCGAGCCAGTCAGCTAGGATTGATTTTTCCGTACTTTTTCAATCGCCCCTCGCCTTTTGCCGGACTTTCCGGGCCAGGCCCCCCGGACCACCCTTGGACCTTCTCTTATGCACCGAAATTTCGTACATGTTTCCTCACGATAATTCCCTTGACTATTTTTGATGAACTTATCTTTTTTTTTTTTTTTTTTTTTTTTTTTTTTTTTTTCCATTTTCAGAACATTGATTGTACTTGTCACTTCTGTCGCCAGTTCAAGCCAAACAACAAAACTTAGCTTCTTTTAGTTAGCTTGCTAAATTCTCTCCAGGTCATATGAGAATTGTTTTTTCAATGTATTAGTTGTCTTGATGGCTGCCTATGCGTATCTACTCTGCCTGGTCATGCCCGTTGGGGGGCTGGGCTGCTAGACGCGACACACGCGTGATGAGCTGGACCCCCCTCGGACTCGGAGTTAGGGCCGTGCGAGGGAGCGAAATCCTTGTACCTGACCGGCGTAGAATTTTCTCTGCTGCTCCATACAATCAAACTCTATCCTACAGTCTCCACAACTTAGACAGTCCATCCACGCACACCTCACCTCCCATACAGCAAATCCCCCCGTTCCGCAATCGTCCTCTGACACTTGGCCAAAATCGCAGCCTGACGGCTGACCTCCGCCAAACTGCCCACGACTTTCTGATTCCCATCAACGAACCCATAAAGCGCGTACGGAATGCCCACATCCCGACAGAACTCCAGCACGAGCTTCTGTGTCCTCCTCAGATTATGTCTCGGGACACGGGGGAACAGATGATGAATCGCCTGGAACTGCAACCCGCCGTGGATGAAATCCAACCACTCGGGACAATCAATGTCCATGGTTGTGCGGAGCATGCGCTGGGCGAAGGATTCACTGGGTCCGAGGTCCATCGTTGACATGGCGAAGTGGGATAGGGTGAATTGCACATGCAGCGGCATGGTGACCATATGGCTTATCATGACGAAGAGGAAGCGATCCCAGGCTGTTGGGATACTGCGGTATACGAGGCCGTAGCCGAACCAGAGCCAGAAAAGAAGGTTGCCGACGATTTCGAAGTGGCGGTGCCACCAGGCTGGGCCTTTGCGGGGCCCTTGGCCCTGGATGAGGAAGATCCAGGACTGGGCATAGAGGTTGAAGCGGCCGAACATGAGGACGGGGTAGTAGAGGTAGGCCTGGTAGGCGACGAGACGGCTGGCTGCGCGTGTGTAGGGCATGAGGCGCTCGTGGTAGCTGGAGAAGAGGTTTCCGAGGAAGCGGTGGTTGACGGCGAAGAAGGGGAGGTGTTGGTTGTCTGGGTCGTGTTCGGGGGCGTTCGTTACGATGTGGTGGACGTTGTGGGTGCGTTTCCACCAGCCCAAGGAGAGGCCGCCGATGGGGGCGGCGATTATCATGCCGATGAGGCTGTCGATGGTGAAGTTGTGGGTGATGGCTATGTGGGCAGCGTCGTGGGCGGAGAATACAAGTTGAGACCAGAAGAAGCCGAGGAAGATGGCGCTGGTGCAATACCAGCCGTAGTGGAGGAAGAGAAGCATGGTGCTGAAGATTAGTGAGCAGCGTGCGAATTCTTTGGCGTAGGCTATGTAGTTGCAATTGTAGAGGCCCTCGGCTTGGATTTGGTCGTGGAGACGTTGGTACTTCTTTATGATGTCGCCTTGGGTTGCTTCGTCAAGGGATGGGTAGCGGGTTAGGGTGAGGCTGATTTCTTCCTTGGTTTGACTGTCTAGAAAGGTCATTGCTTCTTTGGTGTTGAGCTCGGTTGCCGCTTGGTGCACTGGATTGAGGCGGCCGTCTTCATTGTCGTTCGGTGAGTTCTCGTCCGTAACAGATGAACTGTGTGCATTTTGCTTGGTGTTGGGAGGTGCCTCCTTGTCCGGATACGGTCTGAACTGTCCACCCTGGATGGGAGGCACAAAGTTCCGCCATCGCCCCTCAACCCGGCCGATCTGGTACCGATCGGCCATTTTGATAGTCTCCTCTGAGTGGAATCTGCCCCACAAGTTAGTTTGAGCTACCTTTCCAAGTTACTGAACATGTGCATACACGGTGAATTCATCTGTTGCGTCCTTGCCGACCATGTGTTGGATGGTTTTGTGACCTCCCGGATGGTATGGGATCCATGAATCAACACGTAGCACTTTCTGATCGACAATCACAATGGATTGTCCTGCAGCAATCAGGCCCTCGATTTCTCGAGATGAGAGGATCTGGTCTTTTCGAGACAGCGCCATCTTGCTGGGGTTTGGTTCAAATGCAGTATGTGCCACTGGTAAGCAGGGAACATCCTCCCAGCGGTAGGCAGAAACATTGGCGAATGGGGGAAATAAGTAAACGGGTGGGTTTATGGGACTGTGCGGCTCGGGATTCGGGAGGCAGACGACGCGTGGTGGATCAGGATCCCGCAAGTGTCAGATTTTAGGCCCGGAGGGTCAGACGATTTGCGGCTTTCCTAGAATTGCTACTGGCTTCTGATCTCTAATTTAGTTGGCTTTCTCTGATTCCTCATGGGCTATCCTGTATCTAGTATGCTAAGATGGCTTAGCTTACTCGTAAATTCACTGATTTTGGAGATTACTTCTGTTACTTAGGTCATCTCTAGCCATTCGCTATATCCGTTATGCCGAACTCTCTTGGAGCTATGATTTGCTTTTGGTGTCGCGAAACACTATACAGGCTTGCACACATATACAGAGAGTTTCAGATAGTCAAAGCAGCTGCGAATTTTTAACCTCTATATAATTTACACCAGCCTCCGGAAAGAACCACATTCCTTCTAGGCTAAGCAAGCAAAGCTTTTCTACCACACTCACAGCTACACACAATGCGGGGGTTTCTGGTATCAGCCGATGGTGATATTTGCCTGCTACAAAGGGTGGCAAATCAAAGGGTGGAATAGATTGCCGATCGATTGATTCATTTGAGTCATTATCAAACCCTAGTAAGCTTGGGCTACGAGGGATTTTACCAAATTTTTTTGGTGCCAAAGAAATTACCGAATAGAGGATAGTGGAATACCGCCTTCCTTGCCGATCTCTACTACAGCCACCATGGTCTGGCCCTCTTTCACTTGACGAACATTCCTAGTAAAATTATTCAAACTAACCTAACATTCAATATCCGAAAGGCCCAATCAAATTCGTGATCACATCACCACTGTATTAAAACAGAATCAAATGGCACGATGCAACAACAATCAAGCTAAGATCGACCAAACTGTCAAAGTCTGTGTCTGGCAATCTCACCAGTTACAGCCACCTCACACTCAATCAAGCTCTCCGACCACCGATCCACCGTCCAGATGTTCAGAATGCAATATCCCGCCTTCCCCAATAGCCGCCGCCACTGAGATTCCGTTCGCTCCATCCCCGCAAAGGCCGCCATTAAGGTCATGTCGAGCGATGTCGTCTGCCAGTGTGCCCCCTGCTCAGCCACAACATACTCATTTATGAGGAGCCGGCTAATTCCGGGGATCATGGCAGGTTTGAGCCGGTCGAGGATTCGATGGCAAGGCTCGTCCGGCCAATCGTGAAGGATGGAGTGGAGGAAGTAGGCACGAGCACCTGTTTCACTTAGTTTTGCAATTAAAGGAACAAGGCATTGGCAGAATTAGAAAGAGGAATGGAGATACCTTTGACTGGCTGCTCCGTGAAAAAGTCATGTGCCATGCACTCGATCGAGGAATGCAAGCCGACAGCCTCAGCCAGAACCGCAGGCTGGTCCTGCAGAATTAATCTTCCTGGAAGGTTTGGCCACTTGGTGCAGAGTTCATTCAGATCATGACCTTTCCCACCACCAATATCAACTAGCAACACGTCATTATTGCCTGTCGAAAACTGGTGCAGTAGTCGATCAACCGGGTAGAAACCCGGATCCATCCAGCTAGCGTGGCCTTGATGGTATACCGACATAAGATTGTTGAACTGCGTGTTGAGGGCAGGATTGTGGGCAAGATGTTCGAAAAATGTATCTGTAGTGTTAAAGGCCATTTGAAGGGGACAATGGCGACCGTCGGTGGGAGTTTGATAGTTGTTTTGGCGAAGGAACTTGGGAATGGTGAGGTTGGGAGAGTACATGGATCCCATACTGTTGTTTTCATCAGATACAGTACAGATTGGAAGGACTGTAGAAACAACTGACGCTGCCGGGAAGGAGTCGGAATACTTGGTATGGGCGAGCGTGAAAGAAAAGCCATTGGTAGTATACTCGCCGTTTTTCGTCTCAATAACGACATTGATGGCTCCCAGATGTCTCATAATGCGCTCTGTAATAATGTTACCTCTAATTGAAGTGTCTAAAACGCTGGTCACGTACGAATCAGGACGAGGTCGGCCCCGGTGGCGCTTACCAGTTCCTGGACGGACTTGGGCTGGCCAGCTTCAGCCAGCAGGCGAAAGATGCCCAGGTCAATTCCTGTCTCGATGGCGGCCCATCCGGTAGACTGTGAAGATGTTCAAATAATTTGCTTATATGAACAGAGGAACTCAAAGCTTACACTTCGTAGGAAGTACCGCCATATCGTCTCTCGTGGGGTTTCGACCGCAGCTAGCAACGATTCCGCAGCATCCACGAGTTTCAGCCGAGCACCGGATTGCCTCAAAGTAAATGCTAGGCCAAAGCTGTTGATCAGCGAGATCAGGTTGGGAACTTGGTCCGGGGTATTAGGAGCGACTGCGATGCGGTCGACCTCGGCCATCGTCTTGTCGTCTTCGTGCAAGCTCATATCTGTATTATAGATGTCGAATGTAGAAAGGTAAGGGAAGTGAAGGAACAGTAAGACTGTGAGTTAGTGTATAACTAAATAGGAACATGAAGATGTACTTCAAAAGATATACGAGGCGATGGCCTGCAGTGTAACAGAACAGAGTTATAGACCCCGCTCCTCTATAGCGTCAGATGCTCCGCTGACATGACGTGTTGAATAAGTCAGATAAAATCATGATAACCATAATCAACCTGGTAAAAGTGATAAACAACAGCGGATGGCTAAATAAATCATCTGCAGAAAAAAGGTCGACATAATAGTCATTATAGGCATCACTGCACAATAGATCTTCTTATCATTGCTCCCACCATAGAATAGTATTCCCTTCGCTATATATCTGATGAACACAAGATATGCGGACATGAATATTCCCTGCGGGGACCTTTGCATACTAATTGCTGAATGTGCAGATGACACTCTCACGAACACGTTAGACAACCAATCCTTTACTAAATACTGTGTAACATAACCCTGTTTGCATAGAACTGACAATGAAGGGTCTTCATGTTTTTTATTTGTTATCTGAGCTTTCCCACTTATCTTTGCTTATGATACCAATCTGTTGCCAGTTCTGTGGGCGCGCACACTACTCGTAAAACTGTAGGTATTCCCCCTGGCTTTAACGTACACCTGATTAGTATATATTCAACTGCCTCAGTAGAATTGTTACCAATGATTATTATTTATGAACATCTTCAGAGAGTAATATATAACAAGTAATTCATAACAACTCTACAATAAGAACATAGAACAAGGCTGGCTAAACGATGAGTCTCCTGTAGCTAAATTATACAAGAGAAATGAAATTTCCAAGTCAGGCCCTTGGCCGTTTCAAACTTCCCAGTAAGCAGAATAACTTCCCTATAAAGGTACGATTTCCGGGTATCCCAAGGTATAATATTCTAGTAAGAATCACAGGGAATGGCAGTCCCTAGAAAAACATCTAGAGCGAGGGAGTCATCAATGAATTCTTCTCAGTTCGTGAGTAGAAATACACTTATTATATAGTTACCGTTGCTTTTGAGAGAGTTCGCCATTATTCTCGATACGTTGGGATATTTGATGTTCGCATTTATGACACCTATTACTGATAAAGTATCATGATTGGACTATCTACTGCAACATTACCTTCGTCAAATCCTGAAGTAGCTGATTGATCTACGACTTTGGGTGAACAATGCATTCCTAGGAACGCGTGCACTGCATTTGGTTGACTTTCCTTTACCTAGTGATTAATGTCTATGATATCGTTGAAAAATCGTTGCCTTCTTGTCTAGTAGTTTCCTTATATATCATATTTCACCTGGACCTTTGCCGCAAAGATAAAGCATCGGGAAGACGACAACACTTAAGGGAATCAGGGCAGAAAGGGAAGCTGCCTACATTACTTACATGAGAGAAACATATTAACAGTCGCTGATATATTCAGCTATCTGGATGCACCTTATAAAAGTTCACAACCAAGGTGCGAGTAGAGAAAGCCCTCTCACAGACACTGGTGGCTGTACCTACTGCTGAACCAACCCCGTAATCCTCGCCTTGACACACAAATTCCCCTTCTCAGGATACGGGGTTCCAAAGTCACGCGCGAACTCAATAGTCTCTCTCGGTGTATCAGCCAGCTCCATATCAAACATGCGCATAAGAGTGGCAATAACAATGAAAAGCTCCGCATAAGCCAGCCTATACATGGCATTTAGCTACCAGACAACCGTCTTATGTCAGGAGGTATTGACTTACTGCATGCCAAGGCAAATCCGAGAACCCTTGGAAAAGTTCACCAGATACCGATCCAATCGCTCCCCCTTTTCAGCAGCTCGGATCCAGCGTTCGGGGTCAAAATCATGAGGGTTGGGAAAGATGTTGGGATCCATAAGAATGAAGACGTGGCTTGAACTGAAGAGACTCTGTTTGTGTGATAATTAGTGGTCTGGTACGGGTTGTCCTGGGGAAGGTAGCACGTACACCAGGGGGAATGACGTGTTCCTTGTAGACTAATGCCTCTGTGGGAGCTACTCTGGGCATGCGGGATGATACACCCGTTGACAGACGCATGGACTCATTGATGACACCGGACTGTATTTAGCAAGAATTAGCGTCCAGTGTCGACCAAGGTATTCGGAATAGGACATGTTACTCACCAGATAGGGCAGCTTCTCCAGCTCCGTGCGACCCATCCGCGTATCTGGTGTAGGCATCACGGTCTTCAGTTCCTCTCTTAATTTGAGCCGAATATCATCCCTCGTAAGCAAGTGATAGGTACCGACAGACAGCGATCGCGCTGTGGTTTCCGTTCCCGCGATGGCCAGAGCAAGCCCCTCGTTCATAAGCCGTACAGGCGTCCGCATATGTGCTGGCATGTGAGGCCCCGCAATGGCATCCAGGATGGCGCCCCTGCTGTTACTGACCTTTTCATCTTGCTGCACGGAAGTCTGGTTCCTCTCTAGGGCAGCCACACTTCGTGCATACAAATCCTCTCGCTCCTTCACTAATGTCACTGCAGGCTCACTTACCAGGCGCAGTAACCCAAGCGGCATTAGGCCCATGATGACCTTGATGAAGGGAAAGAAATTGAGAATATGAATCCCTCTGAAGAATGCGTTGGAGGCATCCCGTACGCTCTCATTAAATCCTTCTGCGTCGAGGTTGCCCGGGTTAAACCCAAAGGCATACTGGTAGATAATGTCTGCGGTTAGGCCTGCAAATCCGGCGTCCAAGTTGACTACGTTGTTGCTCTGGTATGCCTCTTTGTAGGTTTTAATAATCTTGTCCAAGCTATCGTGGATGAGGTACTCAATATTGGAGATGGCCTGCTTCGAGAAAAACTTATCCAGATGAGAGCGACGCTGACGATGCGTTTCAGGTGTGATGCTCGAGAAAACGGCGCCGTCGAGGTCAAACTGGGCTATTTGGACAGGGTCTTTCTCTCGACGGCGAGCACGGGAAGTGTAGATCTCTTCGTAGTTATCTGGGTCATTGATGTGGACTTCATCGGGGTTGATGCGAATGACGGGGCCTGAGTGAAGACATGATCATTAAAGAGAGGTTAATAGGGATAAAGTGGCAACACGTACCGTAGATCTTGTGCAGGCGCTCAATTTCCCAGACAAATTTTCCACCTTTGATAACATTGTAGTAGAACTCGTAACCGTAGGTGATGGCTGCTAATTTGGGGCCAGGGATTTTGTGAAGGGGGTGGAAATATAACAGATATACGCTGCGGAAGACATAGTAAGCTAATAGGCCTATACCTAGCCATGCGTATACAAACATGGTGGTGGTTGAGGAGGAGGAGGGGGGTTGATCGGGGTCGATTACAATGTCAGAATCTCACTCGGGACACAGGATTGAGACAAGCCTTAAGAGAAGGCTATAAATGATGGGAACCTCCCGACTCTTGGACAGCTGTTTGAATCAGACTGCCCTCCCAGAGTGGACTTCATGAGTCGCTTATGCAGAGCATCTGCAACTTGATTGATAGCGCACGAACCATCTGTGCCGCCGTTGCGGGTCCAACTCCCTCTCCCCGCCCGTGTGGTGGAGAGAAGACGCTTGAACAGCCAGCCACGATCAGAGGTATTATTGCTAAGTGGCACATTTGGAAGATTGTCCCGTCATTGGTCCACATCCTATCTTGTTTAGGCAGCGGACTACAAAAGTACTATACAGGGCCGGGCCGTCAGGCTTAACCCGTCCCAGGAAAGACTGAGATATTCTCCGAACCCAATGAACAATTGGCAATTTCGAAGACAGTTATATGGCAAAGTAGCAAGCCCCGAAATTGGACTCCTGTGGGTCGTGCACACCAAGACAGGATGTCCGCTTATCTGCCTTCCAAGTCGTTCGGTTCAGTTCCCTTCGGCCGTGGCTCGTCCATCTCCAGCTCCCGTCCGCCCAATGTTGCGCTTGTGTGCTGCTTATGAACGCATACTGCCTTTCAAACGTCCTGTATTGCAATGGCAAAGGTAACAATGTAGCTTCCTGCAGATAAATAGCTGTCAAAGGCATGGCACCGGTCGGCATCCTCTAGGTCAGCTTGTACCCTCCACTGATTGAGAAGCCAGCTGCTACTACCCTGGTGAGCCCATTGAACACCCGTAATATCTCCGGAATAAACCCGAAACTGCATCGGAAAGAAGGAGGTAGAAGCATGGGAGAGACAGGGAAATCAAAAAGGCTAGCGACCACGTTGAATATGAGCCAACGTGCATTACATTACACCATTAGCTGTGTTCCAGTTTACGGAATCATGTCTCTATAAACTGCACCAGGGTAAACCAAACGACCTAGAAGATAGGATCAATTTAGTTACAAATGTCACTTAGTCCGTTCCTGGAATGAAACCGGGCCTTTCTACGAAAATGTGTTATCAGTCATTCTTGGACTGCTCGGCTGCTCTTGATAGTGTAACTTTCTGTCAGAGGTAATACGGCGCAAGTCTATCGACTCCAGCCGACCTTATAACGATCTTGTTGAATATGGCAAGGTTAATATAAGCTTCAATATTTGAAATTCCTGCACATTCAGGACGAGATACCACATGTTCATCAGAGATCTGAGAAGAGAGAGGAATAATAACGGCTGGAATGCGACTCCTCCACTAGGTTGACGGATCTCGCTGATAATGTTATGTATTAGTTAAATGCTAGGCGCTGTGACACTCAGAGTGGAGAGAAAAGATAGAGACAAAAAATCCATAAAGTTTGTGTCCAGGATAGAGATTTTATACTGTTGGCATTCTTCAGAATGGACTGTAGAAACCCGTCCTATTGAGAGATGCTAGGAATGCTAGGATCTCACAATTACAGAGTCTGGGCAACAACAACCAGTCTAACAGTCATGATTTTGCTTGGTAGCATTGCCTGGCAGTTATCGGTCATGTCATGAGTCTGCGCTTCAAGCAGACTCACACGTGGGTATATCACTGCAGGATTCTCTAATGAATTTACTCATCTACGATGACGGCATTCTGCTTCATCTTCAACGTCATGACAAACGAACTCCTGAACATGATAAGTATCCCCACTTGACATAATTTACATCGAGCTTTATTATAATGAGACGGTGTAGCCTTCTCATGAATGGCTCGTGCTATTCTTATCGAGGAGTTGTCCTTCCCTCAAGTCGCCCAGTTTTCCGTTGGTATCAAAAGCCACCTCGACGGTTGAATGTGGCCATCAGAACCGCCGTGACTTCTACCACCGACGACACTCACGTCTTTCAATATCAGCCTATTGAGGATGTTGAAAAGCTAGAGAGGTACAGAAGAGGAGGGTATCATCCAATATACGTCGGGGGCATGCTGAATAATCGATACAATGTGATAGACAAGCTGGGACATGGGACGTTCTCTACAATTTGGCTTTCACGAGATGAGCAAAAGGCAGCCTGCGTAGTCGTCAAGGTCAGCGCTGGAGATGATCCCATTCACGAAGCGAAGATATTGCGTATGCTTACAGATTGCTGCCTGGCTCATACCAACGGTCGTCCCTTGATCCCCGTCATCCTGGACGGATTCGAAATCGAGGGCCCAGATGGGAATCGTCAATGCATTGTCACAGTACTTGCTCAGAGCAGTGTATCTGCAGTATTATTCTGCTGCTACTTTCAGATAGAAACGGCTCGTGTTTTAGCGGCCGTGCTTGCTCTGGCTGTTGCATAGATTTATGCTCAAGGCTATGTTCATGGAGGTAAGTGAGGAGATATCCATTCCAAGGAAATTGGTAGTATACGAGAGAGGAGCTATGCCATGAAAGGACCGCTAAAGATACACACCAGATATTCATCTCGGAAACATCCTGATATACTTACCTACTAACAGGGACAAGCTTTCAATCGAGGATTTCTATGAACAGTTTAGTAAGCTTTAAATGGAACCAGTTGTGCGACTGGGCGGACAGCCTTTCCCTCCTGGCGTTCTTACTTGTGGGACGATGTCGACCTGATTAGGGAAATCGAGTAAACGACATCCCGCCGGATGAGGCCCAGCTCCTCAGCGACTTTGGTGAGAGCTTCTCCCCTTCCGACCCTGAGCAGCGGCGACGAGGGCAGGACTGTCCCTCGCCGCTTCCAGTCGTACCGCCTGAAGCCTACTGTGAACCCGACAACCTCTTTCATTCCCCTCGGATATCTGGAGTCTTGCATGTGCCATGAATTCCATATTTGGCTTGCGGTGACTGTTCGATGCCACACTCGCCACTTGGCATGACATAGCCTCTCAACAAGTAGATATCATCGGAGAAATTCTATCTGAATGGTGGGATACGTGGAAGAAGCGTCATAAGTACTTTGAAGACATCAAAAGGCCTCGGAAAAATTGCTTTGTATTCCCATCTCTTGAGCAGAATTTTGAGGAGGATATACAGGCAACACGACAAAGAGCGAATGTGTCTTCGTTCGATAAGGAGAAGATGGCCATTTTAAGCATGTTTTGCTCGATGCTAGCAATGAAATCTGAGAACCGGGCAACAGCGACAGATGTACTGAGCTCTGACTGGATGGTGACCTGGTGATTGCCAGCTGTGAAGAGGGCCCGTGATGACCGGCAAACTGGCTGATGCAAGGTCCTCTTGATATTCCTAGCATCGACACTATGACCATCTCTCCATTAGTCTGAATCTCTGCTATAGTCATTAACATTCAACAATCCTGAGAGCATGCGGTGCCATGATTTTCTCCTGAGTTATCTTATTTCTGTAGCTTTTTCAATTATCAAATTCCCTTCAGGGTTGTATCGAAATTTATCATGCGATGGCAAAGAAAGTACATGTGAAAAGTTAGACTTGTCAATCAAACCCCAAGACTAAGGAACAGACTAGACATTAACCCTTAATTGTGAACGTTGAGAATGTAATTGGCAGCACCGCCTAGTAATCCAATCTAATTTGTCGCCCCTCAGCTCTCATGGACTGGCCACAGTGGAAAGCCGCGAGAAGTTGGGACGGGCTGGCCGAGGGACTAAAACGGTCTAGAAGCCAACTCTGAAACAGCCGACAAAGTGACCTGTCATCTTTGCTCCGGTACCAGTGTTCAGATGCGTGTTACTGCAACCCGTTCTCCGATGTGAAAACTCCGATCTCTCGCAGACTAATTTGCACTGCCGGCGATTAATTCTCCATCTTTGCTGCAATATGTAAGACTATGTCTGTACAAATGTTGGGGTGGTCCAAGTGATGTGGAGCCGAGGTGTATTCCGACTTTACATCTTATCATACCACAAATGCAGCCGAATCTAACGCCTCAACTTCCACACACTAATCGCAATATTGACTAGTCCAGGGGCAGCCGTCTGACGGGCTGACAGGTGTGCATACATGGTTTCAGTGAGATTGATTGTAGCAGATTTCAGGGGCGAGAAGTGGCACTGAACGGCAAATCAGCCTTACATCCTTACAAGGTTCACTTTTCGATAAAAACTCGACAATGCCAGAAGGAGTATAGTAAGCGACCGCGTAATTAACTAATTGCACTAAGATCCAGCCACACCATCAGAACCACATCCCCGATATTTTGGTTAGTTTGTGCCTGAATGAAATGTAAGGAATGGGTCAGTGGTAACCAGGGAAAAGATTCAGCCAAGTTGAAAGGATGACAAAGAACTGGCTGGAACCCCCTGAATGGATTGACTGGTTCCAACGGTCGCGGGCCGTGGAAAGTGCGAGAGGAAGAGACACAGAGAGAGACAACCATGCCCTAGACTGGGCCCAAAGGAGGCAATAGGGCTTTGCCGGTATGGCTGTGTGACGCTCCGCGTAACGTGACCGCCACCCTGACTAGTAATCAGACTGGAGAGTATCTACAGTCTCACACACATACACACACAATACTCACTTCAACTTTCCCAATCCAAAACTAGTGCCATGGACTAAAATTCACACCAGTGGGGGCTGTCTTTTACCCTTCAGAATTCAGATCGATCGCCTTCAGGGACGCTGATAGGGCTTAGAGGGCCTATAGTCTTACCTATTATATCATGGCGACGAACATAGGCAGCGTTAGCAGTCGCCAGTCCGACAACAACTATGGGCCCGGGGAATGATCGGCGGATTCCAGCCAGGCCAGCCCCCAAAAAGAGGATGACTCCATTATTGCACGCTGGTGACTTCAGCCAGACTGAAACATGCTCGCGTGGGTTGCTCCCCTCGATTTTCCGTCTGCTTCTGACACTCGCGTCTTTGACATTCCTTCGCCTGGCTTGTCGTGGTCTCTCTCGCTTTCATCGGGCTTCGGCCTCCCCCCCCTTGACAGCGCTCTACGCATTTCATTTCCGATGCCTTTCCCTCTCGTTCCTTTTCTTTTTCTTTCTCTTTTCTCAACTATTCCCGGTTCTTTGAAAAAGAAATATACGTCCGTTCACTGCTGCGCTAATTCACCCACTAACGTCTCAAGTCCTGGTCCAGTCCATGCGGTTTTACTTTCGTTCGACCCACCCGCTCTCCACACGAACCGGTGGACTCCAACACTCATTCACCCAGTGATTGTCAGATCCTGCCTGGACTGTGCAAAGCGATCTTACGTCCCTGGAAGTTCAGCCGACCAATTGCGACATCGCTCGCTAATTGGAGCTGCAGGGCAGCTTCTGGCCTCTTTTTTAGACCGTCTCTTTCCCTAAACCATTCCCAATGCCATTTTCAAAATTCATGTCCGGCAGACCTGGTATCACGGAGAAGCGGCTGTCGGCTCATCGCTTCCAGCAGCTTCCCGACATGGCCCCGGATAATATGATGAATCCCAACGACGTCACTATCGACATCCCCTTGAACCCGGTTCCCAGTCGGAATCAGACCGGCGCTCGCAAGACAAGTAGCAATGTGGGAGGCTCGCCGAATCCGTATCAACCACACGGCGATGACAAAGGCATTGACGGTGAGAAGGAGGGGTTGGTCGCGCCAAACCCTGGCATGCGCCGACGCATCGACGAAAGCACTGGACGTTCACTAGAAGACCCCGAGGATGGCACCGTCACTCGCATGGGCCGCATCTACCAGGCCATCCTGAATTACTCTGTCCTCACCCGCTACTTCATCTATGTGGCCCCGCTCGCAATTCTACTCGCCATCCCCATTATCGTGGGAGCAACGGTCGCGCAGGACGCGACTATCGGCGGAGTTACTCTGCCTTGGTTCTGGTTCTGGATTGAGATCGTCTGGATCAGTCTGTGGTTGTGCAAACTGGCAGCCAAACTCTTGCCGTACATCTTCCAGACCCTTATCGGATTTGTGAGTTCAGGAACTCGGAAATATGCTCTCATTCTACGCAAACTGGAAATGCCAATTGCAACCGTGCTGTGGTGCGTGGTGTGCTTGGTCACTTTTTTGCCTGTAAGTCTCGCTTGATCTTCCTGATACCTGCCCCCGACTAATTTCCATCTAGGTCATGACACAAAATCCCCATCAGAAAGCCAAGGGGGATACCTCTACCAAATCCTGGGAGAAGTCTATCAAGAACATCCTGTTTGCTCTCTTTGTCTGCAGCTTGATTTTCCTGGCCGAGAAAACAATGGTTCATCTCATCTCGATCAGCTACCACCGCAAGCAGTTCGATGCCCGCATCAAAGAATCGAAGCGCAATGTGTATCTAGTGGCTCTGTTGTTCGACGCCTCGCGCCACATGTTCCCCATGTACTGCAAAGAGTTCCAAGAGGAAGACGCTGCCATCTCCGACTCCATTCTTCGCTCCGCCGCCATCAAGACCCGCACTGGTAGCTCATCAGCGCCTTTGCGCCTTATCCGGGGCGTGGGCCAAAATGTTCACCAGTTCGGTAACAAGGTTACGGCGGCTTTCGGTGACGTGGCACATGAATTAACTGGCAAGCAAGTTTTCAACCCCACCTCCACTCGGTCCGTCGTCACCCAGGCTCTGGAACACAGACGGACGTCGGAGGCGCTAGCCCGGAGAATTTGGATGTCTTTCGTCATCGAAGGCCGTGATGCTCTGTATTTTGACGATATCTGTGAGGTCCTAGGAGCTGGCATGGAGGCGGAGGCCGAAGAATGTTTCCACATGCTGGATCGCGACGGCAACGGGGACATCAGCTTGGAGGAGATGATCTTGGCCATCGGGGAAGTCCGCCGGTTGAGAAAGTCCCTGAACAACAGTCTCCACGATGTTGACCAGGCGATCCACGTTCTGGACAACCTCTTGCTGACCGTGGCGGGCATCATCGCTATTTTGGTGTTTGTGTCTTTCGTGACCAGTGGCTTCGGTACCGTTATCGCGGCGGGTGCCACTTCCCTGCTTTCTCTGAGTTTCGTCTTCTCGACCACCGCACAGGAAGTGCTGGGTTCGTGTATCTTCCTCTTCGTCAAGCATCCCTTTGACGTGGGCGACCGTGTGGAAATCAGCGACAAGCCGTACTTTGTCGAGCGCATCTCCTTGTTGTTCACCGTGTTGCCGGAACGTCAACGACCACCGCATCACGCAGGTTCCGAACGTCGTCCTCAACACCCTATGGATTGACAACTTCACCCGTGCCAATGCCATGCATGAGCGCCTCACCGTGCCCGTCAGCTTCGAGACTACCTTCTCCAACGTCCAACTTCTCCAAGAGGAGATGGAGAGCTTCGTACGCGACAAGGACAACTGCCGCGACTTCCAACCAGAGGTCACCATTGATGTGGTGGGCCTGGGCGACATGGACAAGATGGAGCTGAGTGTCTTGATTTGCCACAAATCCAACTGGTCGAACGAAGCTGTCCGTGCTGCCCGTCGCTCGAAGTTCATGTGCGCATTGATTTCTGCTGTGCGCAAGGTCCCTATTCGCGCTCCAGGCGCCAGCGACGACGCCGATGATGACAAAACCGAGAAGGATGACAATAAGTCGGATGCCGGACACGGAGACCAAACCCTACCCGTCCGCCAGGTCTCCATCGCCAGCGAAGGCATGCGACGGGCTAACACTACGGCTGGCGTCTCTTACACCGAATCCCGCTCAACTGGCTTCGACCTCGGCAACTCCCCGCAGTCACTGCAGCGTCGTGGCATGGGTGCCTCCAGCTCCTACAGTGAAGGCCTCACCGCAGAGCACGCAGCCCGGTCGCAGGACGGCTCCCGCGACGGTCATGAAGTCGACCACTACCAGACGCCCGTGGGTTCTCCCGGTCAGGAGCGCCAACTCAACGTGACCTACGGACTCATGACTCGCGAACCGTCAACGGGTCGTCGCAAGGAGGGCCGTAGCTCGTACGTCGAGCCTGAACCCGAGCCCCAGCCCGTGGTCGCCCCTCGAGGCGATGTCCCGGTACTCTCGGAGCCAGTTCCTCCGCGTCATCGCCTGGAGGCGCAGCCCACGCTGCCCCAGGTCGCAGTGCCCCAGCCTCTCGCGGGGGCCGCAGTGTCCCAGCCGCCTCAGCAGCCGCCCGAGTATTACAACTACCCGGGACAGTACTACGACCCATCGGAGGACCCATACGACCCGAACCAGCCGTTCGAGCTTCCATCGATGCACGAGCAGACGCCAGACGGACGGGAGCACCCCTCGACGCACCTGACAGAAACCGAGCCAGGACGGTATGTGCCACGACGGCCGTACGAGGGAGCGGGTAACCAGTAGCCATGAGTGATGATGATTTTTCTTTTTCTCTTTTGCAAAAAAACCGGGACTTAAGACTGTTGCATATGATGTATTATTATTATTATTTTATGAGTGGACTGATCTATTAGCATGTAATTCGCAATGATATCGTACATTTGATCCCATATTATACAGCATTTAGCATCCCATGATCATGATGATATAAGTAGTTCACCGAGATAAAGGCATGGGAAAAGACTACTAAAACTTCGTCTCCTTCCACGGATACCCAACCGTATCATCCTTCCTCACCCAAATCTTCGTCTTCCGTTTATTCACCACATGCTCCACAAACGCCTCCCGCGTATACTGCGCCTTGAACTTCCGAATCCACCTGGGATCCCACAATTCGCTCGCAATCCCCAGATCCTTACAACACCGCACCAATGCATTCGACCGACATCCCTCCGTAGCAGTCGGGATTCCATCGGGAGAGAAGTAATCCTGCTCGCCGCGCGCAACTGAAACCAACCTAGCCGCAACACACAAGTAGTCAGCTTGATTCATCCACACACCTCACACCCTCACACACCCCAAGAGAACTAGGGAAATACTAACCGCCCATTACAAACAAGCGCATACTCCCTCGTCACCATCTTGGGCGTAACAATGCTCTCACTCCGAGGCACCAGACCCCATCCACCGGGTCCGAACGCCTTATTCAGTATCCGTCGGTACTTGATCTCGGGGAGGTAGAGGATGCCGTCGGGCTTGATCTCGACTTCTTCCGGGTCGGTCGGGGCGAGGAGGATGTCGGCGCATTCTTTGGGGAAGGGCGTCGCGCTGAGCCCGTGGAAGGAGCGCGTCCAGTCGATGCGGTCTTCTGTTGGGTTTGCGGGGGAGGGTGGGGTGTCGAGGAGGTCTTTGAGGGTGGGGGTAGTGGTTTTGGGGGTGGAGGTTGAGGAGGAGGAGGAGGTAGTGGTGGGCTTGGGAGTTGTTGATGTTGATGTTGTGGAGGTAGAGGTGGCGGGTTTGTTGTTGTTGGTAGTGGTGGATTGGTAGCGGGTTGTGGTGGTGAGGGAGTGGCGAAGGGTTTTGCTGAGCTGGGGTCCGCGCAGGGAGCGCGTTAAACGTGGGAGGGACATTGTAGAGGGCTGTGGTGTGGTGTTTGGGGTTGGGGAGTGGTGAGAGGTGCTTGCGGGAAGAGAACATGAAGTCAGAGCTGTATAGTGTCACGTGATTGTACGGCGATTGAGAGATCTTTGGAGGTGGAAAGTAATATGGTGAGATAGTGGAGATTCTAGTATTATTCTTATTGTACAGGGATATGTTAAGTGGTGTTCATTAAGCATCCTTGGTCTGTGTGCGCTCGTCGTTGCCCTGGCGTTTCCAGCACTCGCGGAAGGTTTCCATCTGATTCAACATTAGAGTCAGTCAGTCACAGCATAACTGCGAGGATGGATGGAGTATTATACCTCACTCTGGCACTGGCGCCAGTCCTTCTTTTCGAACCAGCAGTCGTTCATTTTCATCTGCTCCGCTGTAATTGTGTTTAGTAGCTATCTGAAATAAGCAATAAAAGATGGTATCGTACCTGCACAGCCGGTGCTGAAGATCCGCTTGTCCCTGGATGGATGGGATGTACCGTCAGCTCAACTAAACTCCCTTCCTCCGATCTTCGCATCCCAACAACTCACCATTCGTCCGGCTCGTCGTCGTCCTCCTCCACCTCCACGGGCGGGTTCTGCCTTTTCTCCTGGTCCGACATTGTGCTTGTTTGCTTGCTTGACTGCTTGATTCCTTGTGTGGTGCTCTGAGAGAGAGTTGCAGGTAGTTGCCGCAAAATGGCGACCCCCAATATGACCGGCAAAAAGGTCAACGTTCTGGTCTATTCCGGTGCGCCACTCTCCCCTCTTCTCCCCGCTCAGCATCAACGATATCCTTCACTTTGCACACAACGAATTATACGTACGATACTCTTCTTCTTACTAAGTCCTATTTGATCTCTAGGCAATGGAACCACCGTCGAATCAGTCCGCCACACCCTCTACTCCCTCCGCCGCCTTCTAGCCCCCCACTACGCCGTCATCCCCGTCACCTCCGATGCCCTCCTCCACGAACCCTGGACCGCTACCTGCGCTCTCCTCGTCATCCCCGGCGGCGCTGATCTAGGCTACGGCCGCGTTCTCAATGGCCCCGGCAACCGCCGCATCGAACAATTCGTCAAGCGCGGCGGCGCTTACCTCGGTTTCTGCGCGGGTGGGTACTACGGTTCCCAACGCTGCGAGTTCGAAGTCGGCGATAAGACACTTCAGGTTATCGGAGAGCGCGAGTTGGCCTTCTACCCTGGTACATGTCGCGGAGGGGCGTTCGCGGGGTTCGTCTATCACAGTGAGGCGGGGGCGAGGGCGGCGGAGATTTCGGTGAATAAAGATATTCTCAATGCGGGGATTGTGCCGGAGCGGTTCAGGTGCTACTATAATGGAGGTGGGGTGTTTGTGGATGCGCCCACGCTGGCTGACAAGGGAGTGGAGGTCCTGGCTAGCTTTGAGGAGGAGTTGAATGTTGACCCTGGGGAGGGGAAGGCCGCAGTGGTGTTTTGTCGCGTTGGCGAAGGGAGGGTTGTTCTTACGGGACCGCATCCGGAGTAAGGCTCTTTACCCTCCGTGGTCTAACTGTCTAGGTGATGTGTGTGCTGATGGTTGGTAGGTTTGCAGCTGCAAATCTGGATAAAAAAGCCGGTGGCCCCGAATATACAAAAGTCATAGAGGCGCTGGAGGCTGACGACAAGGCGCGCACGGACTTCCTCAAGGCATGTCTGGTCAAGCTGGGCCTGCAGGTGACGCAGAGCACGACCACCGTGCCGTCGCTGTCATCGCTGCATCTGTCCTCACAGGAGCCGGCGGAGACGGCCGATCTGGTAGCGTCCTGGCAGGAGATCATCACCAAGGATGGCAACGAAGAGATTATCAAGGACGAGAATGACACATTCCGGATTGAGAGACCCGGCGCATGGAATCTGAGCCAGTTGGAAGATTCACTCCCGGAATCGTCGCAGTCTACGGAGGGTATCGTGGATTACAACGCCATTGTCAAGCGGCTGGTGGTGCACGACGACGTGCCATCGTCGAAACTGACGCCCTACTTCAACCATCATGCCTTCTACTCCAACCTCCACCAGTACCAGTCGCAGTCCCGCGAGGGTGCATCCGAGTTTGGCGCCCACCTCGTGTACGGCGAGGTCGTTACCAGCACGAACACGATCCTGGAAAAGTAAGTGGACCTGTCCGATGACAGAAGCGAAACACAACTGACGGGTCAGAAACCCCAAGCTGCTGCGCAAGCTGCCTAACGGCTTCACCGCCAGCGCCACGACCCAGGTGGCAGGCCGCGGCCGCGGATCGAACGTATGGGTGTCGCCGGCCGGGGCGCTGATTTTCTCGACGGTGCTTCGCCACCCGTTGGAGAAGATTCAGTCAGCACCAGTCGTATTTATCCAGTATTTGGCGGCGATGGCAGTGGTGCAGGGAATCAAGAACTACGATGCGGGGTACTCGGAGCTCCCGGTCAAGCTGAAGTGGCCGAATGACGTGTGTAAGTGATACTTTCTGAAGGATGTGATCAAGGGAATGGGACGGATGCTGACCAGCCGACAGATGCACTGGACCCGGAGCACCCGGAGAAGAAGCAGTACTCGAAAATCTGCGGCATCCTGGTGAACTCGCACTACTGCGCGAACGAGTACATCTCGGTCGTGGGCATTGGCATCAACGCAACGAACGCATCGCCCACCACATCGTTGACGGCGCTGGCGGCGCGGTTCCTGGGACCCCGGGCGGCCCCGATCACGCTGGAGAAGCTGCTGGCGCGCATCCTCACGACCTTCGAGGAGCTGTATACGCGGTTCCTGCGGAGCGGGTTCGATCGGTCGTTTGAAGAAATGTATTACGCGGACTGGCTGCACATGCACCAGGTGGTGACGTTGGAGGAAGAGGGGGGTGTGCGCGCGCGCATCAAGGGGATCACGCGGGATTACGGGCTGCTGCTGGCAGAAGAACTGGGCTGGAATGACCGACCGACGGGCCGGGTGTGGCAGCTGCAGAGCGACAGTAACAGTTTTGACTTCTTTCGCGGATTGGTGCGGCGAAAGGTGTAGTGGGGGAGGCCAATGCAGCCAGTGGATTTTTAGATTTTTAGTGTAGAGCGATTTTAGCAACTAAAGTAGCATAGGACTATAGAGATCGGAAATGTTGCTGGAGAGAGATAAAGTGCCGGAAGGGCGACCGAAATGAGCGACACGCACAGATACCGCATTGGGGAAGTCGAGCGCGGCACAAAACACTTGCATTTGCCTAATTCTGTAGGTGAAACCTGCCTCGGATCTGGCACGGGGGAAACACATGTGGTTGGGTCCTTGGTTCAAGTGCCCCTGGGAACCAGGGAGTGAGTCATTCCGCGGAACATGAAATAGTTAAACCACTTGGACGATCATCTTAATAGAAAGGGGAATCAATCAATGATTGAAGGAATGAATGAATGATGAACACACAATGAGATTATTATGGTTGGGAATGACGCAGTGGAAAGTTGTGCCCTAATCATTACTACTTAGTCTAGTATGGAGCCGGGAACAACCACGTAGGCCGTACCAACCAATGCTATCGAGTCTAATATAGTACTTACTGCACCAGTACATGAAAGTAGATGGAAAGCCGTTGATGTTGGGAACCAACCAGGGTGGCTGCAGACTAATCATCCTCCAGGATGTAGTAGTATATTTCCCGTCAGCCTGGAATCCGGTTGGCTCTGCTCCTCTGAAGAGAAGGCATAGTGCTAGTGCACTATAGGCCAGGGGAATGCTTATGCAGACCCGGCGGTAATAAGAATGAACAGAGGGCGATGAAACCAGGCAAAGTCCGGTTCAACCAAGATACTTCCTTTCTCCACCCCTGAAGCCTGTCATGGCGGGCCTCCTGCTTCCATCCAGTTGGAAGCCCCGAGGCCTTCAGACTAGGGGTCGCCGGGACTCCACTGCGACGACTAATCATCTCAAGACTCTTTCCAACGGTCCATACTGCTCTTCTTTTTTTACTCTGTACTATCATGAGGATGGTTCGATCTGCCTCGGTTGCCGGTCATTCGGTTTGCTGGCAATCCTGATACTCCATCGAATTCACTTTCGTAGTCAAAACATAAATGAATCTAACTTCCCGCCCGGTACATTTATTTACCTTCATCAACCCCTCTTCTCGCCACTGGTTTGGCTCTTCTTTTCTCCTCACACACGCACTTTCTTGGGTTTCTCTTCTTCCCCCTCCCCCACTTCAACCTTCGCCATGTCGACACTTTTGTTTGTCGCAACGGCCTCCCCCATCCTCTACCTGCTATATGTGCTGCTCTCTCGCTGGCAACATGCCCAAAATGCCCGTAAATGGAACTGTGGGAGTGTGCCCTCTTACCCCGGTGATCTGCTGGGCATCAACACCCTGAAGGAGGCGCTGGCCATGGACAAGGCTCGCCAGGTGCCCACTGTGACCCGCCGGCGTGTTGAGACCATGTCCGCCCGCGAGAATCGCTATACCACCACTTTCCAATTCCGTCAACTGGGCACCGATGTCATCAGCACCTGCGATCCCAAGAACGTCCAGGCCTTGCTGGCCACCCAGTTCAAGGACTTTGAATTGGGTCAGTCCCGTCGCAACGCTCTGCACTGGCTGCTCGGCCGCGGCATCGTACGTCCACTACTACTACCTTTCCTATCCAAACCATCCCTCTTCTAACTCGTATCCAGTTCACTGCCGATGGCGACCACTGGTCTCGGTCTCGCGCTCTCCTCCGTCCTCAATTCACCCGCGACCAGATCAGCGACCTCGATCTCGAGGAGCGTCACGTCCAAGTCGCCATGAAAGCCATGCCCGTCGACGCCACCGGCTGGACCCCCGCCACCGACATCCAGACCATCTTCTTCCGCCTGACCATGGACACCGCGACTGAGTTCCTCTTCGGCGAGAGCGTCCAGAGCCAAGCCGCCGCCCTCAGCAATGGCGCCATTCCCCAAGACGACTTCCCTGCCCAGTTCGACCGCGGCCAATGGTACTCTGCCCAGCGCGCCCGTTTCGAGAAGCTCTACTGGATCATCAACAACAAGGAAAGCCGCGCGATCAACAAGGCCGTCCACGCCTACGTCGACCGCTTCGTCACCGCCGCCCTCAACTCCGACCCCGAGAAGAAACCCACCGGCCACTATGTCTTCCTGCACGGTCTGGCCGAGGCCACCCGCGACCCCGTCGAACTGCGCTCCCAGCTCCTCAACATCCTCCTCGCCGGTCGCGATACCACTGCCTCCCTCCTCTCCTGGTGCGTCCTCTTCCTCGCCCGCCACCCGGCCTACTTCTCCTCCCTGCGCGCCACCATTCTCGCGGAATTCGGCTCCTACTCGTCCCCCCGTGACATCACCTTTGCCAATCTCAAGTCCTGCCGTCCCCTGCAGAACTTCCTCAACGAGGTCCTCCGTCTCTACCCTATTGTCCCTGGTAACCGTCGCACGGCTGTCCGCAAACACCAACCCTCCCCACGGGCGGTGGTCCCGCGGGCACCGACCCCATCTACGTCAAGAAGGGCCAGCCCGTCTTCTACAGCACCTACGTGATGCACCGTCGGCCTGATCTGTGGGGCGCTGATGCGGATGAGTTCCGTCCGGATCGCTGGAACGAGCGCAAGGCCGGATGGGAGTACTTGCCGTTCAACGGTGGGCCGCGGATCTGCATTGGGCAGCAGTTCGCACTTACGGAGACGGGGTATGTCCTGGTCAGACTGTTGCAGCGCTTCGATGTGATTGAGGGCGTGGGCAAGACCAAGGAAGGGGAGATCAATATGCAGATGAGTTTGACGAATGCGCCGGGAGATAATGTGACGGTGCGGTTGCATGAGGACACTTCTAACTAGTTTCTTTGTTACTGTTACTGCTGATGATTGATTGGGATACCCAATGTCCATATGTGTGTTAGCGTATATAGATTGTGATTGGCACATTGCATTGCATTACATACATCTTTCTACATCTCATACTGTATACGTACAGAGTAGACTTCAGCACAAAGCAAGGATTCAAACAAAGTTACAAAGTTATTTTTCTTCACCGCCTACGACATTCTTCTCCACTTTGACAGGGGCGCAGTGGGGAACTCGGACAACACCGATAGGCCAATCACAGCTCATCAAATCGATTCAAATCTGCCTGTCAAGGTTGGTTATGAGCTGATTCTCAATCCGGTGAATTTTCCGTGGTTCAGGTTCACATTCACATTGACTTTGCCTCAATGTATTATGTAATATCCATACTTTTCGTGAAGAGGCGACTTATTCGTCTATAATCATTGTGTATAGTATTTCTATATGTATATACCATCTGATTCGATGTATATACATAAATAAAAGCCAAGAATCACGAAGGATCGATAGATCTAGACTTATCGGCCTCGCCGACGGTAAGCCCCGGATGCAGTCCAGTTGTCCTCGAGTGTCTCAGATTTGAGTTTACTTTTGCGAGCAAAGCGGTGTTTGTTTGTTCAGTTCGTGTTAGGTTCCAAGATTTGCTTTTGCTTTGCTTCTCTTTCATCATGATCCTTGGTTCTGGTTCGGGTTGTTAGTTCTACCATTGGTTTTCATGGACTTTTCGTCAACGGGAGCTATTTCCGCTAAAGTAAGTAGTTGCTTTTGCTTGCTTGCTTGTGGTTGGGAAGTGGACATGTCATATGCATTGCTTTAATTGGAATTTGATTCGATTGGTGTTCTAGAAAGTTTGATACGAGGAATATGGGGGAATCTTGAGTTTAGAGGGTGTGTAAGGGGCTTGCTTGCTTGCTTGCTGGCTTTTGCTGAGGGTAGACTAGAAGCTGGGGTTTCAGCTATATTTGTGCTATATTGTATATATTGGCCGTAGTGAATGGGATACTTACTTTGCGACTGTATGGTAGGGATACGAGTCAGGTGCTGTTGGCGGGCAATTGAGTAAGGACTTGAGCATGGTCATCTCGTCCAGGGATCCTTGTCATGGAGATGCCCGGACTGCTCCAGCTGGAAGCTGTTCTTGACAGCTTACCCCCCCTGCAAGTGTGAGCTTACCCCGCAGTCAGCTGCATGGATAATAGGCTTATCGTGAGGTTCAGATGATCTTTGGATTACTGTGGTCGGTGAGATTCTTGTTTGGGGGTGTACTTGGATGGCGAATCATTGTCTGGGGGGCTTATGTACATATCTCTCATGTAATACTGGCTATGCGATGGGGATAATCTGTGCACAATAGTAAGTAGTAGTACTCTATGTAACCATGGTTATATTTAGTGTTGGCATGCTGGGGTGCCTCCACCACCCACCCCCGCCAAGAAGTCTACAGCTCTGTACAATATAACTTAGGGTAGGGGTCACACACTGTAGTGTATCAAGTATAATATCAGCACAGTATTTTGGCTTTATTATTTATTCTATAGTCGGGATACGAAAGTCTGCGAGTCTGGTCCTTTATAGGAAGCGTAGCCCCTTGTATACGGTGGAAGGTGTCATGCCATACCACGTGACCACTGCGTACCAGGGAAGATAAAAAGAAGAAATATATATTTTGGGGAAATAATTTATATATGTATCCTGTACCACTCAGTAATTGATTTCTGCATTAAAGGCTCTAGGATCTAGCCTATAGGCAGGAATTGGCTAGTGAAAGTCCCGATGACCGAAGCCAGTTCGGTGTTCTCAGAAGAAAAGGACGCACTGTGTCGGAGGTACGGAGTGCCGATGACCGAACCATTGGGGGAATATTGCCCTGAATTGGCCCTTAGGTTAGTGAGGGTCATCTTGGCCGTCGCGATCGACGTATCTTCACAACATATATCTTCATGCCTATTTCTTCCTTTGTCCTGCTGCAACCTGTGTTTCCATGACGGATGATGGACCCGTTGGGTAATAGAGTAACAGGGCACCGTCGCGCGCTGAAATGCACCTACTGTGCACGGTCGTTTGCGCGGACTGAACATCTTACACGGCATGAGCGCTCTCGTTAGTCAATTATTCCGCCAGACCCTCTGCACCAGCGGCACTGACTCTACCAGACCGAAACGAAAAGCCGTTCAGCTGCAATTACTGTAGCGCAACCTTCACGCGGAAGGACGTGATTAAGCGTCACCACCTCCGATACCACCCCACTATCCCTGAAACGGTTGGAGCAACTACAGCCTCTCGTGTGCTGGATAGCTCGCAGCTGGCGCCGTTGGCGATTAACTCACCTCAGGAGCTAATCCTCAATTGTTCGGAAGATGTTGGTTCCGCCGATACGGCTCTGAACAACGATGAACATTCCCCAGGCCTGTTTATGGATAACTACACTCTCGACGCTATTCTCGCGGACTTTGACTTCCAGCCAGCTCCGAATGTAGAGTTTACTAGCAACCCCCCTGGTTAGGCAGACGTGTGACCCCGCGGGCCTTGCCGAACTGACGGTAAATTCTAGGCACTGTCACGTCCAGTCGCCTCCCAGCCCAGGCGCGGGACCAGCTATCCTGGAGAGGTTCTTTGGAACTGTCGGAGAAGAAGAGAATGCAAGTATATACTGAAGCAGAATCCGTATTAAAATCCGTAGGTGCCAATGCTACCACAATGTTCAGCCTCACTAACATATTGCCACAGGCAGGATTCAAGCATCTTGGCGATTTCCCTTCTCGATTGAGGTTGGAGCGGTTTCTCGTGGCTTTCTTCGAATTTTTCCTTGATTACCATCCGTTTCTTCATGTCCCGACTTGGCGGGCTGAAGAGGCCCATTCTTGTCTTCTGCTGGCCATGCTGGTGATAGGCGCGGGCTGCTACAAAGACTATGATATGGCTCATGCCCTGTACTGCGCCGGAAGGCACTCCGTCATGACGCATGTATGTCTGTGATGTACACACTACTCAAGCTTTCTTGCTAATTGAGTTGAGATTCTTACTTCGTCCACATCCGAAACACCTCTCTGGGCCACACAATCGCTGGCTATTCTGATATCCTACGGCACTCGTAGCGGAGATCAAGAACTTTTCCACAACGCAGTGTCGTGGACGTCAACTCTAGCAAATGTATGATAGATCCCGCAACATATCACGGAATCTATCTTAAACATGACATGGACATTTAGGTTATCCGCTGTACGGGCCCACAAAGGAAGCACCGCGACTGGGAGCATGAATCCGAAGAACTGTGGGAGGATTGGGTTAACAACGAAATGGCCTTACGGTAAAAATCCGCAACCGCTGGTTGTCGCAGTTTCCATCCAATACTTATTGGATCTTATAGGACTAAATGGGCCGCTTTTACAGCCTTAAATGTTTTGACTGTTTGTTTCCATGTCCCTCCCGCACTCCTGGTGCATGAAATGAGCAACGTCCCGTTACCGTGCAAAGAGCCTGAGTGGGCAAGCCCTACTATGGAGTCGTGGCTAAGGGCGAGGCTGGCCCGCATTCAGAGTCGTCCGTGTTTGGGTGACGCGCTGGCTGCTCTCCTGTCCCCGTCCCCTCTGCCGACGGATGCTGTCAGCGTCTTCGGAACATATGTACTTTTGCATGCGGTTCTGCAGAAAGCATGGGAATTCCGGCAAAATATTTGGCTAGAGTCAGCAGAGCTCACGAAATTTTAGAAAAGTTCGAAGTCACACTTCGAAGATGGCACACCTGCTGGGAAGGCAACGTGGAATCCTCCGTCTCACCACGAAATCCGTACAGTGCCGTCACGGCTAACCCTGCCGCACTGTTTCGCCTGGCTTATACGTGGATTGGAGTCGACTTTACCCCAGTGAGGACCGCTATCGCCTCCCATAGCTCAGAGACTATAGAGTTGAGCTTCAAGCAGCTGGTGATCCCAATTTCGCAGTCGGATCTTACGATGAGAATTGTCGCACACGCAATCGGCGCGCTGAGCACCCGCGTCAAATTAGGAATGGCGCTGCCGGAGCAACGGCTGTCGTGTTTTCAGAGTTTTGAAGTTCATCTCTTCTCTATAGAATGCTGTGAGTGAATATATATCCCCCCCTCAGTCAAGTCAACCCACCAGGTCATACACCCGGCTGACGACAATTGCGCTTAGGCCTATTTTCCTACCACTGGTTGAAAGAGACACAGAACCGTCTCGAACTTGAGTGGTCACCTGAGGAGACAGCAAGGATCAAACAGGTCCGTGAGATCTTGTCGGAGGTAGATCTACCTGCAAGCCATGCTCAGAAGTCTGATGCTGTTCGTTTAATATACGCGTGGGCGTTGATCTTAAGTCGTCGGGCTGTATGGAAATTGCAGAAGATCGTGGCAGACTCGCTGGAGCGGTATGCAGATAGCTTATAGCATTCGGAAACCTCGGCATTAAGCAAAGGTCTATCGAAGTTTCCATATTGACGGTGGGGTCCGGCTTGGGGGTTTCTTCGGTGGGGTTTCTTCGGTGGGGAATGGCTTAGGGACTGTTTAGCTGGCGGGGTACTGGTTGAAGGGTCTCCTAACGACCTAACTAACTGCCTGGCGATTATTCATTGGGCATTACTTCTCATTGCAATATGCTATGTGCTTCATCTTACAGCACAATAGCTCATTTACACAAGTAACGTTAGTGCGAGGCTCTCTAATGACTAATCCGCTCCGTAGGTGTCTTCTCTGGGCTCAATGCTCTCAGCTACTACCTACCGCATTGCTGTAACCTGGTCATTAATGCGGTGGATTTACCACCAGCCAATAAAAAAGAGATTATGTCCGCTCCACTGTGCCCTAGTAGGTAATTTTTGACCCCAAATGCCAGATATAAAACGTCCGACTCCAGCTCTAGTATCGCCCATTCTAGCCATCCTTGTCTCACGCAACCTTGCAGTTCACCCCGGACGGTCCCTACTAGCCTCCCGCTCATGACACTCTCTGGCCGTGTAGTCGTCGTCACCGGCGCCTCCAAGGGCATCGGGAAAGAAATCGCCCTGCGAGCTGCTGCCGAAGGCGCCAATGTCGTCATCAATTACCTGTCGGATATCAAAGCTGCAAATGCCCTGGTTATGCAATTAGGACACGACCGTGCTCTGGCAGTGCGGGCTGATACTTCCAATATCAACGAGGTAGACAGCTTGATCGAGGCCACTGTGTCTCGCTTCGGAAGAATCGACATCCTAGTTCCCAACGCGGCTTACGTTCCGGATCGAACCCTGCAGAACGTCTCCGAAGAAGATTTTGACCGCGCCTTCGCGGTCAACGTCAAAGGACCTTGCTTCCTAGTACAGGTGCGCTATTCCATTACACCGACCGTATTGCCCTGGGGTGAGTATGTTGGGGGAGCAAAAAGCGGTGCTGACGGTTCTCAGAGAGCACTACCTCACATGACGTCCGGTGGCACGATTATTTTTATCTCCACTGACATGACCGACGCGTCCACTGTGATGCCCCAATTCCTCCTCTATGTGTCGACCAAGGCGGCATTAAATCAAATGGTTAAGGTGCTTGCACGCGACCTTGCCGCTACGGGTATCCGAGTGAATGCGGTCTCTCCGGGTGCAACAAGCACCGAGTCATTCCACAAGGCTATGGATGAGAACAAGGCCAAGATGCTTGCAAGTCACCATCCTTTCAACCGCATTGGGCGCGCGGACGAGATTGCCGCAGCTGTGAGTCTTCTGTGGAGGAAGGACAGCGGCTGGATCACTGGCCAAGTTCTGCGAGTAAACGGGGGCAGTGTTGTCTGACCGGAGAGGGGGGGAGGTCATTGGCAGTGGGAGCGCATGGAAAGATAGAACTGAGAGCGACTTGCCTACAGTATTCTGACAACTATCATCTATATCACATACCCTTTAGCTATGTAAAAAACTGTGCCTCTCAAGTAACTTGCATCTTCCGACTTCAATCCACCTGGTAGTGTAAAGTACACCCTATATTCCATGTAAAAAGAATAAAAATTGAGTGGCCTGCGTAAGGTCACCGGTGGCAGCATTGATCTAATGGGGCACCCGGAACTCTCCCACCTCGATAACGGAATTTCATATAGGGTCGCTCCCCTCCATCCACCGCCAACCCCCAATTCCCCACCCCCCTCTGGAATGGTAGGGTCAAGTGGGGTATCGGAGATATGCCTTTGTCGAATATCCGAGACCCGAGCTGCGCCAATTGCCTGTCGTAATGGAATCCAGTATGAACAACGCCATGGTTTCCAAGTTGATAGCGTGGTCCCGTTATATGCTTGTATTATAGGAGACCCAATAGTGGACGGTATATATATAAGCGTGTTGCTGACCATGATAGTCAACCATCCGAATCCAAAGAACCGCCTGTCAAACCTCTGGAAGTCTCTCCCGATATCTATCTTTGTCATCTTGCGACGATGTCCATCAACGCCAGTAACTCTGGACAAAACCCTGTCCAACTTCCGCCTCCGTCCCAACTCAGGGACCTGCCACCAGCCCCTATCTACGATGTGACCAAGTTCCCCGACGAGAGAAGTCAAAAACTACGTGCTCTACTTCAAGCCGGTCATGTCAAAGTGGCTCCGCTACGCGACCCTGAATTGATCCTCCATAGCCATCTCCTCCATGTATGTTGACGTCGCGCGCCTGCTGCATCATTCAGTCACCACGAAGTGATGGCACCTAACACAGCCTGCAGTTCTTGGGTTCAGCATATGGTCTTGGAGCCAGCAGCGACCAGCTAGAGAAATCGTACGAGCATGAGATCACCCAGCTTGTGCCTATTGCCCGTGGCTTTATCCGCGGAGATGTGATCACCAAGGACAATTGGAAGGATTTCCTAGCCCAAAAACAGTACGTGGAAAGACCTAGAGAACCCTGGCGACAAAAGAGCGAGGCAACTCTTGGCTGATCACCCTGAGCATAGGTATACGGTTGCGTATCAGGACTTTTTCGATCGTGAAGTCGAAGAAAGACAGGGCGATTGGGGTAAGGTCCTAGAAGAGTACCTGTATACCGGGCCTCAACCGCTCATTAATGGCTGCACTGGAGGACGTGAGTAGCCTAGTCTTGTTCAAATCGGACCACCACATGCATCTCAATACGCTAACCTGCACGCAGTCGGCCATTCTTTGATCCATCTGGCGTATGCGTACGAATTCCGCAGTAAGGAGGTGGCAACTCAGGCCTTGAGCCAGGGCTGCACGGAGTACAACCCACTGCATTATCTACTGGATCAGCCTCCATCAGACAGTGCGACGTACAAAACAACCTCACTGTCCGCCGTGTTCGAAAGGATACGCACCGATGTGCGGCTGGACGGGCTCTTCTCGGAGCCTGGGATTGCGAACCTGGAAGTCTTACAGAAACCGGACCACCTCGCTATTGTGCTGGAACACTGGACTGCTTGGGAGGTGAATGATCCGTTGCGGTGTTTTGAGGAGTGTTGTGACCTATCGGTCATCCTTGCACTAAGCAACGGTAACCCTCATGATTCTTTCGATTTCTACAACGCACATATCATGACGGTAGCGCATGCGCTACGTATCTTGTGGCACTATTTTCCACTGCAACAACGCGTTTCCGTCTTGCGGCAGTATGCCCTCTTCGGGATCATGACCTATATCTGCCAGCAGCGTCCACGCTTTGACTTTGAGATTATAGAAGCCGTTAAGCTAGACGGCCGTGATTGGGACTGGGTGATCGATACAGCATTGCCTCATAAGTGGGCTTTAGATGTGCACTTTTTCAAGGTGATCCGTGCCGCCAAGGCCTTTGAGGAGACCTTTGGCCGCAAAGATAATTTCTATCTGAAGGCTGCGGTTAAATATGTGACGGAGTTTCGAGGGTGGGAGGGATACGGCAAGGGCGTGGCTGGATTTATTCCGAGCCGGGATGGATACAAGCCCGAATAAAGTCATGCAGTCTCATGACTTGTGAACAACAGTGAAGATGTAACTACTGTGAGTGATGAGAGTACAGTAACAGAATATAGAGAACACGTTGATGTACGGACGCGACGACCTTTCCTTCTCGAGGATTGTGAAGAACATAAATCCCAAAATCTTAGCTCCAGATTGTTGTCGAGGTCTCTGTTCTAAGCCCATGCATCGATGTCTTGCGCATCTAACCCGCCTTGTCCGGATAATTGTAGGTCATCTCGCGAATCAAACAAGGGTCCGCGAATAATTTGATATAAGGCTATAACTAACATAACTCCCGGTTGCGCCGGCCACCCGCCCGGGTCAGCCACCTGTGTAGTTCTATACAAAGGGACAAGTCTTTCTTAAATTGATATATCTGGACCAGTGTAAGAGATGTTACTCGACAACTACTTATATATATATATATATATATATATATATAGATATATCAGATTAAAAAATATTCATTAGATATCGTCTTGAAAATTTTCTAATTATGATAGGTTACTGTTTCGCTATTAAAAAATTTGTATTTTATTCTCATCATAATCAGCGCGCTCTGAAAATATGAAACAATACTAATAATAATATTTATTATCTTTAATTAATATACTATATAAGTTAGTAACTATTTTTGGAGAAACTTCTGTATATATAAAAACTGTAGCTGTAGTATATCTTATTTTATCTTTCTAAGTAGCGCCAGTAATATAAACATGCCAATGACTTAAATCTAGTTTGAGTAGTGAAATATAGTTATAGATTATAGAATGATATGTGGAAGTAACATAGCCTCCAGAGAGCTCAACTTTGCGAGACTTGTGAAATTTGTGGCACGCGAAGCCCGAAGCAAGAGACAAACACTAGTTTGCAATGGCAAAGGTTGTGGGAAGACTGAGATTATAGGGAACAATGAGACGCCTTGAGAAATCCAATGGGGAACTGTGTGCAGATCATCTTCGGAGTGCTGTGGCGATGGGCGGGATTCCTTCGGATGACTGCCGTTACCTAACGGTGACCTTACCCCACCGTTAGTGCCTGTTTGTGTCGGTTGGATTGGGGTTCTCACTATAGACGTTTTCGAGCTGTTTTCGGCGGGAGAAATGGGGTGGTTCCACTTCAACGTACTTCCGAGTCTGGGCATGAGCAGGCAGGCAGTATGGACCACCAACCTTAAAAAGAACAACGACCGTTGATGTAAGGGGGTGCACCCCGATTGCAAACCCTTTCTGCAGCAACCAACAATCTCTTCCACGATGGCTTTTCCATACAAAAAGATACTCCTTATCGGAGCCACTTCGGGTAAGCAATGAAGTCGTCATGCTTCTATGCCCCCTCTGGAACGCCGGGACGACGAGCAAGTATCTTTTCATGGTTAACGGAGTTTCCCAGGCATCGGTCGTGCCTTAGGTGCCAGTCTGATCCAACATGGCCGCTTTGTAATTGCAGTCGGTCGGCGGCAGGAAAATCTTGATCGCTTTGTCCAAGAACATGGCACGGAGAATGCAGCCGGCATTCAGTTTGATATCAACAAGCTGAATGAAATCCCACAGTTCGTGAAAAGGTAACTTCCCCGTCCGTCTCGGAAGTCACTCCCATAACGACCTGCGGCGTGCTGAGTATGCTCCCCATTGTCTGGCTAGTGTCACTTCGTCCCATCCGGATCTGGACTGCGTCTTCGTCAACTCGGGAATGCAACGGCGGTCGGTCTTCACAGAACCGGAATCAATCTCTATCGATGAGATCCAGGCCGAGATGACTGTGAGTGAGAGCAATGGCATTCAACTACGGTGTATTCTTATACCAAGTGATTCTCTTGCCAGGTCAATTATATCTCTTACGTCTCACTGACGAAAGAGTTCCTGCCGTTTTTCATGGCTAAAGAGAACTCACCGACTTCGTTTATATTGTATGTCCCTGCCTTCATCTCGGCACCCGTTTATTAACTCGGAGACTTCAAAGCACCTCGTCGAATCTTGCCCTGGTTCCGATCCTTCGCTGCTCCAACTACTGCGCTTCAAAGGCTGCACTTCACCAGTGGGTCTTGTGCCTACGAGAACAGCTCAGGGACACCAACATCAGAGTAGTTGAGATTTTTCCGCCAATCGTACAAAGTATGCATTATCTGACGGGGACTGTTTCTTGACTCAACGCGGGACAAACAAGGCAAATCACTAATCGTGGGTTTTCTGTAGCCGAACTACATGATGAAAAGAACCAACCTGATATGGCCCACATGCGTGGTCGGGCCTTTGGTATCCCCGTCGACCAATTCACTACAGAGGTATGTTCCTCCGGAGCCGGTTTCTCCCTGTCCTGGCCTCCCTGTGACTGATCTCTAAATCGATGGCTCAGGCGATGAAGAAGCTTTTGGCCGGCGACGACCAGATCCCCGTAGGATTATCTACCATTGCTTTCGACAGCTGGGAGCAGCAGCGCCAGCAAGCTTTCCATAGGGTGGTGGAAATGATGAGGAAGGGCGAGTCCTGACGTTTCCCTACTGTCAAATGTCGGCCTTCATTGTTAGGAGTTTTACATGTGTTTTCTCCATCATAATTAGAGTCCAGAATGCTTAGTCGATCCCCACTATTGGCCTATCCGCGCATTAAGTGTCATACGTCGCCGACCTAGTTGTATTGAGCGGTGTCTGGACAGGGCCTTGAAGTTATGTAGGCACACGTTTCCGGTTCACCTTGTCCATTCGAGGTTGGTGGGGTCGAACCCCACTCCCGGGATATGCGCGCGCCCCCGGGCCCCTATGTATGTCGTAAGTTATATGCCTGAGTTATTGCTGTAAGGCTCAATTATGCCTCATCGCTTCGGTTTCCCGCAGGAAAAGTGGTTTCTCGAGGTATATACCCCGTCTACACTCAAGCACCATGCGCATGAAGACGTAATCTAGGCCCCTTGTTGCCCTATCGCCCTTGGAATTTTCGGAAGGAAAGTAGCGAAGGAGTACATATGAAATTTTGGATAGGATGGTTTATACCCAGCTGTAGAGCGAACGCACGATGACGCCTTGTGCGCCTGATGAGGGGGGGAGATGGTTTATAAAGACTTGGCGGGGTTCTCTTACTCTCTTTCTCTTGATCTAGATCAAACTCCCCAAGAACAAGTACGCCCTGAACTGCGTAAATAACTACGTGTAGTTGCTCATACGATTGGGCTAGCTTTCAATATTGAACGTCCGGGCTCCTTTCCATGCGGAGTTGAAGGGCTTCGTCCGAGATCAATTTGCAAGACGGGTGAAAACAGACCGGTATGCTCTACTGGGGAAACTCAATTACATCAGGTGGAACTGCTCAGTGGGGTTGAAATTCGCAGTCACATATACTGGAGAGCGCTCCGCCTTTCCTGGCATATTCTTGAGAGAGTGCTTATTAAAGGCCCTGCAACATTTCCACCGCCGTAAAGTTGACTCAAAGCTCATTTGATTGTCTAATGTCGGTGCAGGGTTACTCCAACTGACATATTGCCTCGCCAGGCAAGAGCCCTCACACACACCAATTGTATGGAGCCTCGCTCCCCTTGGGCTTCTGGATGGTCATCTCCGATTGATAGGCTTGCTGTACATAGCGTCCCTCATCTAATCAGCCTCTTTGATGGAGACCCGCTTCCGGAAATGCTCCTCCACCGTCATCGGCTTTCGACCAATCAACCATTCCAGCACATTAGGATTGCCTTTGATACCATAAATGTCATAGTAAAGCTGCAGTCGATGGATACCGTCCCGTGTGGTATGATGGCAACCACCAGCATCCTTAGACACCAAGGACTGCAGCCGCTCAGCGGTCTCGTAGAACTCCTGCGTCACAATACCGATGCGTGTACCTGTTATATGACCGAGCGTGGCGACGATATCTCGATATGAGGTGGGCCTGGTTGAACAGATCATGTACTCGGCGAGATAATGCCTTTCTCTTTCCTCAATCACCTTGGCAAAAGCCTCTGCTAGGTCCTGTAAAATGGTGAACGAGAAGGCCGTGTCTGGATTAAAACTTGCGCGGAAGAGAGGTTCCGCTTGATGCAGCAACGTTTCGACCGGGAACATGTCGAGAAAATGGCTGGGCTGAAGAATCGTGTAGTTGAGCCCTGATTCAATGAGGTATTCCTCAACGTAGCGCTTGCAGTCATGGTTCATCAACTTCCGAAGCTGCGGGTGCAGCACAGAGGAGTAGATGAAGTGCTTAAAAGTCCCGTTCCGGGCCTCATGACGCGCGGCTTCAATCATGGCATAGCCAATTTCTGCTTCCTGCGGATGAAATGCTGGGGCAATATATACGACGACTGTAGCACCGGCCAAAATCTGGTCTCTGTATTCTGGCTTGGCTATATCGCCCTGCACCACCTCGGCCTCCGGATAGCGCGACTTCAGATCCCTCTCGGAATGAACGCTGTGAACAGCGAGGCGGAGCTTCCTCCACCTACGGTAGAGGAGCGGGATCAGATGGGAACATTGCTTACCACTTGCGCAAGTGAGAAGGACAATGTCATTTTCAAGGTCGATAGCCATGGTCGTTTAGCCGCTCAACATTCGGTCGTTGAAGGGACAATGGAAAGAGAGTGAATGCCAGTTTCCTTGTAACAGAGCTAGGCTGAAATATATAGCCCTGCAGAATAGCGGTAACGTAACTCCCGCCCGCGCCGACCACCCAGTACACCGCCCAACGCGTTTCTACATGCAACCACTCTTTCTATCAAAGGCAGTGAATGAGCAATGAGTAGTACAGTGATTCTAAGGCGGTGTGCTAGGGGTGGCCGGTGCGGCCGGGAGTTACGTTAAACGAACATTCACTGCGTCATCCACCCCGATGAAGTCATGGAGCCTATGTTCACGCGGCTGGTGGGGTGGTGGGGTAGGGCCCGTTAATGCGTGCCTACTTCCACATCTCCCCACTCCTTGACCCCAGCACCCTTAGGTCACTCTACTAGCCAATGAGGGTAGTTAGATGGTACAAGACTGGCTCTCTTCACGACTAACCCTGATGGTATTCACTAGGTTATTGCCCCTGGATGTGCCTCGGAAATATCCTGTCCCCATCCGGAAGCTGACAACTACCTCGTACATATTCAAGACGCGCAAGGTCCCCGTCCAATAATGTAGAATGTCAACCAAGAGACCGCAGAGTCGGGCATAGCCTCTCAGCACTTTTGAAAGTACATTCTTATTCCGTAATAAGCGTTACATCTACATTGACTGGCGTACGATTAGTCGTTTATTTCTCTCTTGAACAGGGAAGAACCACCAGGGCATTGTTCGAATGGAAGTCCAGATGGAACAAGGCCTCAACCCCCCTCAGCCCTAGAATTGTCGCATTCTGAACGACTTGTGCATGTTTTCCTCGTCAGTGCCTTGACGCTGGTAATGTACATCTAGTCTATCTGCCCAGGTGACGTAGGCGCTATTATGGATATTAGCACATTGCTTCCACTAGGCATCAAACAGGTTTATCTTTACAACTGTTTCTACACATGCATGGCTTATATGAGGGTCTGGACAGAGGTATAGAATATCTTTCGCCACGTTACTTGAGACGCAATCTATTCAACCATAATCAGTTCTGTTTTCCTTTGCTTATGCAGCCAGTGACGGAACCAAAGAACAGCAGCATCCTTCGCCCTTTCTGCACCCAGCATTTCCTCCCTGTCATTGAGGTTCCCGCGCGTTGCAAATCCATGGGTTAATGACGGAAAATACTGGTAGTCGTAAGGGATGCCTAACGTCGGCAAGACCTCATTGCTGAATGCCTTCAGCTCCTGCGTAAACTGAGGGTCATGTTCTGGTGCCATGATCTGGACAGGAACGTCAACCTGCCGGATCTCCTCCGGCTCTAGGAACGTAGGATGTGCTGTGGAAATGCAGTCAACCAGTCGAACATCTTTAGCTCCGAGCCGAAAGACCGCCCAGCCACCGAAGCAGAACCCGATCGCGCCAAGAGATGTATACCCGTGCTCAATACGTAGAGCTGTGGCACAGGCGAAGATCTCCGGCTCTCTGATAAGCTTCGTATTGCGGCTCAAGAAGCCAGGGAGGTCGAGTTCGTTCCATCTTGTCTCGTCGAGGAGGATGTCAAGGGGCAGAGCCTCGCCTCCGAAGCTAGCATGGATAGAAATCATGCGTGAGAAGAGTTTCTCCCATTGTGCGAGTGGCTATAAGGAAATACTCACAAATCAGGGACGAAGACCGTCGCACCAACCTCTTCCGCCAGATGGTCCGCCAATATGCGAGTATTGGTGAACGTCCACCCGAAAAGGTCGTGAATCAGTAGGATAGCAACATTGGATTCCGTTCCAGTCCTGTAACAATTCCTGCCAGCGAGTATAACCTCTTGGCCTCGAGGTGTGCCATTCCAGCGAAACCCCCTCAAGCAACAGTCACTCATCCTCGTGGCCTGCGATGGCTGACGATCAGTTTGACAGGAATTGAAAGCAGCCCTTGTAACAGAGGGAAGTACTTTGCAATGAGCCCGGGGTATCACTAGGTACTCCCGGAGTGATATTGTAGGTCCCCCAAAGAGTGACAAGCACTTCTCGGCTACTCGCAGAAGCCGAGCCTCCGCTTACAAACCGGGCAGAGTCTCAGATTGCTGGGGACGGCGCGGGTAGATTACGCTGATACAAAATCCGTGATGACCCAAGATATAGAGCTCGGTCTTCCGACACAAGCTATCTCCGTCATCCTCCCGGAGATAGGATGGCTTTTGGACGAACTGTGAAGTTGGATATACAGGTATGCCGTCACCAAAACCATGAGAGTGTAAGAGGTGTGTAATGACAGACAACAACATCATGCCATTAAGCTATTGTATTTTCCAAAGTCCGAAGGCCCGAAGGCCGATGGTTCAGCCAAACTAGAGCAACGGGCCAGTCAGTACCCCTAACTCTCAGCCGTAGCATTAAGGAGTCCAGAGATCGAAAACATCACGCGGTTGCAGCCCTTCATAGAATTCGCTATTCATCCAAGCCCGCGCTTTTGAATTTGCATTCCGTTCTGGTCTCTTCGGTTCCGTTAACCCTTGACGTTGCAAGAATTACTATTTCAATATGACTGTGAATGGCCCCACGACCACATTCCAAGGCGTTGTCGTCGTTGGTGCCGGTCCGGTGGGACTTCTGATTGCTCTTCGACTTGCGCAAGCTGGCATCCGTGTCCAAGTCCTCGAAAAAAATCCCGATTTGAACGACGCTCCACGGGCATCTGGTTATTTCGGAGGCGCTTTATTGGCTCTGAAGAAGGCAGGAATACTGGACAAGGCGCTTTCCCTTGGTTTTGCGGGGCGAGGGATTGCTTGGAGAAAGCCTTTGGCCGACGATGGCCTTGGGAATAAGCGTATGGGAGACATCCTTGCTCACCTCAGTTTTCCGAGAGACAGTACCACTCTAGATGGAACAGATGCTATTCTGTATCTCCGTCAGTCTGTACTCTCAGAATTGATCTTCAATGAGGCGATGCGCTCTGGATTGGTCGAAGTCCACTTCAATATGGAACTAGTGGGCTTGGAAAATCAGCCGGATTCTGTGGTAGCTACGGCGCGAGGAAGTGATGGCACTACTCGCCTGTTCCGTGGGTCGTTCCTGGTGGGGGCAGACGGTGGGAAATCCGCGGTTCGTAAACATCTGGGAATCCCCTTCAAAGGCCACACGTGGCCAGAGAAACTCGTGGCGATAGATGTCCTCACAGAGGGCGCGGCTCCTGATCCTCAATTTCCAACCTCTATGATCATTCATCCAATTCATTTCGGCGTCATCACCCCGCTGGAGAAGCCCCAAGGGGGTGAAAAGACCCTGTTTCGCTGTGCAGTGGCTTTGGATTCAAAGGATACCCGTTCTGACGAGGAGCTATTGTCAGAGGACAGCCTATCCTCTCTACTGGGGGAGATGATGCCTGGGCCGAGACCATTGCCTGCCCGGGTGGTTCGCTCTTCCCCATACCGGATCCATCAACTCTGTGCCTCGACATTTCATCGAGGCCGATGCATCTTGGCCGGTGACGCAGCTCACCTGAACAATGTAAGCGGCTTGCTCCCATGCCATCCTACCATGTCGTCTGGATAATTGACTCGTAGGGTAGCCAGTTGGCGCGCTCGGCTTGACAACCGGTATCCTCGATGCTGAAGCTGCTGCAGATGCTTTAGAGCTTATCATCAATGAAGGGAAGCAGTTGGAAGCGCTGCGCATATACTCGCACGCCCGTCAGAAAGCCTTCCAGACTTTCGTGAATCCTGTCTCTACGGCCAACAAATTGCGTATCGCCAATGATCCTGAGGCCGCCACTGAGGACTGGTTTTTGCGGGCAATGCTCGACCCTACTCCTGAAACTATCGAGGAGTTTACCAAACCCTTTTTCGGCATCTGGAGAACGAACATGCGCGAGGAGATGCGGCGCAGACAACTCTAGACTTGATACAATGTGTCCACTGGGTCGAAACCAATTAGTGTGCTTTAGTCGTGTTGGCAAAAAGACTAGTTCACCCTGTTCTATCTTATATCAATGGGCGAACGCCGAACCTGAATCCTCAGAGGTATCCTTGACATACACGATAACAGCTCGGGGGCTGGGCCAGGTATGTAAGTGGCAGCCAGAGCGAAGTGGGTTGGCGAGCTAGTGATAGAAAGAACAAGATTCACCTGCTAAATATTGATAGCGATCCAGCGCTAAACAATAATGTACTTAGTTCTGTATTACCAGTAGCCTGAAAAATAATAAGCCACTCGTTCAACACTCACGCCTGGGTGAAAAGCATCAGTGATTAAAGCTAGCCTTTTTTTCTCGCTGCAGGACGAAACGCGCAGAGGAATTCTACTTAAAGGATAACGCTTTTGGTTCGCACTCCGCGTATTTCACTGATAGGTGCGTACGGGCCCGTAAGGGGCGCAACCGGTGAAAGAATATGAAATCAACATAAATAATTCGGAAACTTCTTTGACCTCCACTGAAGAATAACTATATCGATTTCTACCGCCCAATATATTCCAAATATGGATCCATCCCCTCGTTGTTCCCTTGAAACTGTGCCCGAAGACATCACGCCTGCAGACCATGAGATCCTACTGCGCGGCGGCACATCTTCTAGCATTTAATGATTTCCTTCACGCTTGCAAAGATCAAAACGCGCATCTACAGATCTGTATCACCAGTTAAAGGATCTAACGTACGAAGTCAGCTACCTTAAGTCCGAGCTTCAGTGGGAGAAAGAATCGAAGTAGATCCTCTTGTGTTTCCAGGACGACATGTTCCGTCTCTTCCATCAGCTGGAAATGTCTCTGGCTCAAGTCAGCGCAAGATTGGAGGACTGTAAAAAGTGTTATTATGAAGCATAGGGCTTTTCCACTACCCCAACTGAAGAAGGAATGATCTAGGTAGCTCAGGACTATCGAGTACCGTACGACTTGTACCCGATGATATGGTATGCAAGCGAATACATCACTGGCAGTAAGCTAAATATCGAATACTTAGCCCCCATAGAAGAACCGCAGCTGCGTTCAGTCTATTGGAAGACCATAGTGTCTGGTGAAAGGACGATTAAATCCGAATAACTGCCCAGTAACATAGAGAGTGGCCTATATTGGTCAAACATCTGAAGAGGAGCCTTCTATGCTTGCGGCCTCATTTGATGTCAAGCTTAGCACGGATAAAAGCGTGTTTAGTATGTGTAGGCTGTTTCTTCCCCTAGTCTAATTTGAAGTGCTATGTTCTTCGTTCTATCTCGTGCTAGTGTCATCATACTCTTAGAAGACTCTAATTATTCTATATCCTCCCATATCTAGATCTGGACTATATAGGCGTCAATTGAGTGGCATGGTGATTATTGGCAGTATAAAGATATTTGTCTACATTATAAGCGACTGATGGCAACGCGCCCACCTGACTATTTCGGTAGACTTGAATTAGCAGGATACTGTATCTTACGGTTAATATATAATTAGCGCAAGAATCAGCGATATAACAACGCGGAATAGCTATCCCTGGCTGAAGTTCTGCCCTTCAATCTTCGAGGTGTAATCCAGCGGCAACATCCGCTGAACACGTGCGGGAAGGAAGTCCCCGACGAACTTGTCGACGCGACGAACTCTGTATGTTTTCAGAGTAACCTCAAGTATCCGCGCCTTCCGGGTTGACAGCATAAGATGATATCAGTGTAATATAATAAGTAAGCAAGTAAGCAGGATCTGACGAAAAATGTTCCTATCCCGTGATACACTAACAGAGAAGCCAATCATGTTTCCGCCGAAACCGGCACTTTCGAGGTACCACCACCACTATAACATCATCCCACTTATATACCTCACAACAATATAAATACTGAAGTTCCTATACATCGTCAACACCAACAACTCATCCATCTACAACCGCCAGCTATTAAACATCAATGTTCCGTCCTCGCCTACCACTCTCTCCTCACCGCTTCTCCCATCTTCGCTCCCACCCCGCCAAAACGTCCGACTGGAGCGCAACCCAATACCTCAAATTCGCCGACGAGCGCGCCATCCCCACCCAAGATCTCCTATCACACATCCCCCTGCAATCTCCCTCCCACATCGTTGATCTTGGCTGCGGCCCCGGAAACTCCACCGCCATGCTTTCCGCCCGCTACCCATCCTGTCCGAGCATCTCCGGCATCGACTCCTCCCCGAACATGATCGCCCGCGCTAAAGAATCATCTAACAACAATACGACCTTCGCCGTGGCGGACGTGGAAACCTACTCTCCCCCGCCCAACCAACCCGTAGATCTCTTCTTCTCCAACGCTGTCCTGCACTGGCTTCCCCGTTCTACTCGTCTCCCTACTATCCGCAGACTCCTACTTGCTCTTCCCCCGGGCGGGGTCTTCGCCTTCCAGGTCCCGGATACCTTGAACGAGCCATCGCATACATCCATGCGGGAGGTCGCGAGGACGGGGCCCTGGGCGGAACATCTACGGGGTACGTTGGTAGAGAGGGATGAGTTGGATTCACCCGGGGAGATTTATGATGCGTTGGTGGACTGTTGTGAGAGTTTGAGGATTTGGGAGTCGGTATATTATCATTCCCTTGGGAGTTGGGGGGAGATTGTGGAGTGGGTGAAGGGAACGGGGTTGAGACCGTATTTGGATGGGTTGAGGGGAGAGGAGGAACGGGGGGAGTTTTTGAAGGTGTATGAGGAGAAATTGAGGGAGAAGTATGAGAAGAGGGCTGATGGGAGGGTATTGTTGAGGTATCCCAGGTTGTTTGCTGTTGCTGTTCGGAAGTGATTTTCTTCTGTTGTTTATTTACGAGGTTGGGTTTGGAGGTGTAGTGTATAGGTAGAGGACAGAATGTAGGATGCTCTGATCATGTCATACAAGCTTCCGGTGTATATGGCATGCATGCATGTTGGTATAATCCTAAGTTTATAGTTCGCATATGGAATAGATCGTCAGGTCCATGTAAGCCGTCACGCAGGTACATAGCTTGGCCTAGCAAGCTTATAGCTGGACTAAACCACCTCAATTGATCCTGTGATACATATTAAAATGCATGACTCAAACAGTTTCACCAGAAATCTCGCCAGCGCTCGATCATTCCCCGGACGCCATCAAGATAGAATGCTGAGATTGAAAGCGGGACACGAACAAGGAACACAGTTACACAGAACCACATTACCACCTAGTTCAATGCCAATTACATAATTGCAAAATGGGACAGATCGTCAATCCATGCATAATAGCATTGTCTATACCCCAGCTTCATCGAAATAGATCTCACTTACTGCAGACTCCCTCCTTCACAGCATACCCGACGGCCATCCCGATCAAGGGGACCGAATGCCCCGGAATCATCAACCCACATTCCACGCCCCCTTATATTACCACAAATCTCCACTACAATCCCCGCGTTCAAGGAACGCCCCTTAGCTAACCCAAACAAGGGCGCGTCAACAAACCGACCGCCATACGGCGTAACATGCCTCATTCCGCCCTGAAGAACTGATTCCCCACCAATACCTTACTGCGGAAATCATTTACCCGGAGTATCCAGGCACAATCCAATCAAGCCATGCATGCACCCACGCAGCTGTACACAGGAATGCCTTGAAGATGCCAACGCGTTCGCTTATTTCCTCCTTCTCTCCTCTCCCTTGAAGAATCGAATATAAAATCCAGCTTGATATCCACGACTGATTCTCTTTTTCATCCATCAGCAACAATCACAGCAGCAGTCTAGCAGCCAATACTTTCTCTTCCACGACAACAATCAAAATGCAATTCACCACCTTCCTTTCCCTGGCCATCGCGGCCGTCGTTCCCGCTCTGGCTGCGGACAACGCTGCTCAGGAGAACATCGAGGTAATACCACCTCTGCACCAATCCAGCTCGAAGGAACGATGATACTAAGACTGAATAGGGCTCCGTCTACCCCCTCGAGTTCTTCCACGGCCCCCCTACCTTCAACGACGGTGATGCCTCTTGCTTCACTTCGTGAGTTACCACCCCAACCTCCATACACTCCTAATCAATATCTAATGTCCATCTACAGCGTCACCGGCGAGATCCACTCCGTCAGGCAGGCTCATGGCATTACCTGCCACATCTACTTGTAAGTGCTTAATCTCAGCAGGTTTCCTTCTGAAAGGAATAAATGTCTAACAAAAAATGACAGCGACCACAACTGCGGCGGTGACAGCATCCCCGTCACGGTCGACATCCCCGATGTCATTCACGACCACCACAAGCCCGCTCTCAGCGCTCGCTGCTACCGGTAGATGGCTGGTACATATGGGTAGCGTATCAGAGTAATGGGGGGCATGGGCTTAAAGGTGTCTTTCTTCTGAGACAATTGGTCCTATCTGCGGAGAAAGATATAGCATAGCGATTCAAAAGTTCTACAGCGGTGACTGGTTTATGGACTGGTCGGACAACTTAATTATTAGTAGTTAATGAGAACTTGAGTTGCGATGTATTTCCTCCATCTTTGATGGTAATAAAGTAGTAGTAGTTGGGGCATTGGGGAGTGGATGTAAGATTTGTAGTCGTAGAAGATTCATTCACTGGTCGGTATCTGGTGATAGTATTTTGCTAAGGAGATTATATAGACGGTCGCATACTAGCCTCGGTCCTATCTGTTAGGCTGATTTCAGCAATGTGTCGTAGATATGGAGGTTTCGTTATATGAGTGCTTTTGATGTAGGACATCCTATTAAACAGAGAAATCTATCCTATTGGGATAATCAGTACTAATAACCTTCCTATATTAGTACCCAATACATCAACAACTATACTGCTATTGACTGAAGTGAGTGTAGGGACAAGAAACAGTCAACAAGTTCTGATTTGGCACTATTGTACTAGAGTCAGATATATATTTTTGTACTACTCGCCCGCTTTACATCATTAGTTCGACGGCCATGCTAAAAGCAGCCGAAAGAGAAATAGAATCATTTTTACTTGAACTTCCTAGACTGATAATAGGGTAATTGAATATTCAAGTAGCTACAGAATAGTCTCATTGGAGTCTACAAGTCTTCATGCTGTGCACTGTACCATAACATCTCGATGCGCGATTTCTACTTACACGCAACTGCACTAGACGTGCATCGGGCCGCTGCAACCCGCAGGGAGCATAACATCTCACCCCTTACGTTCATTACATAAGCACTGAGCAAAAATACGCACATCGTAATTCAGAATAAACCGAAAGGGATGAAAATTGTCTTGCACCTGCGCGAGTCATGCTCATATTCTGTCCCGACGCGTTCATAGCCGAAAAGCCCTCTGCTAAAGTCCCATTCGTGAAGATTACACAAGGTCTCAACTTTTGCGCAACAAGTGTGTCTAAGCTTGACTTCCCCTAATCACGCTCTTCCTCTGTCCACTAGACTTCAACTCCGGGCTATGCGACGCGAACCTCCCCTCTATCATCTCCGAAATTGAGTATATCAGCCCATGCCGAAGAGAAGGCCAAGACGTGTGACTCGACAGGGCGAGTCTAAAGCCTTTGAGAACACGGGTCGCACTCTCCGGGCCGCTCAAAATACCCCCTCCTTTGACATAGATAGGAGCTTCTAGCGTGCCTTGGATCCAGGACTCTTTCATATCATCGGGGACTGTTTTATCAGGCCGAAGGGGTGGCTGACTGATTTTCCATACTTGGTTCGCTCCCGTACTGCCATCTTCTCCGCCCACGATGCAATAAGCCCAGATATAGAGACCCGCGACGAGAAAGGCGAGGTGGTGACAGCCTGGTCCTGTAGTCTCGTCATAGAGAACTCCAAACAATGTAGTTGCTTGTAGAAGAGTTTCTCGGGCTAGTGTTGGATTTTGCTGCATCCAATGTGACAGGGATGTAGCGGCGGCGGTCATCTGGTTCACGGTGACTTGCCATCCGCTCAAAGTATATAAACAGCGCAGTGGCATGCGCCGGAGTATGTTGGTGACGTGAAACATCACCTTTAGGAAGGTAGGTGCATTGTTCGATATGGATTTGAGCACGGAGAAACGTTTGATTGTAGGGTCGCATTTATCGTCCAGCGCTGTTCGGAAGGATGCTAGTTCGTCGGGCCATTTATATAGCTTCCGCTCGTTGAGACCTGTGGCCATGTCGGCTGCGAACCATGGCTGTGTGGATCGCAAGAGACGTCTTTCTTCGATGTTGAATGTTAGGAGTATTACAAGATTGCTGAGGTTGGAGTTATCGTTGAGTAGATCATTCAGTAAGTCTGGGTTAGAGAACGCAGTTTTTAGACTTGGCGTGTTTTCTGGTTCTAAGTTAGATTAGATCAGTCCAAAAAAGCATTGAAGTCGTGATGGCTTCTTACCTGGATTGGCAAGGCTATGTTTCTGTGACATTTCGAAATCAGATGTCCATAAAATATCTTTGCAAGGTAGAGCTATCTTGAGATCGTCAAGGGTCATTGATGAGGGCACATCCTTGAATATCCAATAGCAGCATTCAATTACTGTACCGTTAAGATAAGCTTTGTGGTTTTGTGGTATATAAGGAGTGTTCTCACCATATATACAGTAGATGATTCTTCTCTGAGACTCTGACTCCACCCACCGACGCCACTGTTCATATGTGTCCAGATTATTTGAAGAAGGTATATTGTCTGCAACGTTGGCAGAGACTGATTTAGCGACCGAAGTGAGCATATTCCTCTGGTACTGAGACGTAAGGATCTCATCTTCGTAACCGCTAAATAAGAGACCTGTATTGCGTAGAAGAAGACACTGCGCAAGAGTGGTTTGGTCAAAAGAGATAGTTTCCGTGGCCTAGCGAGTCAGTTAAACTGAAACAGATACTGAAGTTATAGCGACTTACATCCTTCGGAAGCGCCTTCTGTAGAAGGTCCTGTAGACCTAGGATATAGAGCTCCGAGCCCTCCACATTAGAGTATTGACACCCGACAGATGCCACCGCTAGAATGAGAACCCAGGAGACACCTTCCTTGTCGAAAGAGAATCGATGAACAAAAGGCATCCAGGGGTCATGGTGTTCGAAGTAGAGCTGGACCATTGCGTTCAGGAAGGAAAGGCTGATGAAAGGTGATGCACACGAGGGACATTGCTGACTTTTCCAATAGCCAAAGATTTGTAGATATTGCTTGTGCGGTATGGGCCTAACATGCCCATAATTCTCAGCTGCAATTACGTCTTCATCTGGCTGAGTTTCTGGGAACCGAGTGCAGCAGTGACGGTGAGCCTGAGACTCTTCTGGCGTGAAGAAATCACTTTGCGACGAAGGGATATCATCGTTGTCTTCCCTAGTGGAGACTGAGGAGACTGATCCACCTGATGGTAGACTTATATTCATGTCCACTGCCATAGCGTCGCCTAAACCTTGGCTAGGTAGTGATAACACATGTGGATGAATAGCATTTTCACTGGGGTGACCCATAGGGTACATGCTATAGTCTTCTCGATGTTGCTCGCCAGATCCCGAAGAAGCTGCCAAGTCTTCGAATGGAAAGTGACCAACTTGTACAGGCTGTTCGTTGAAAGTCACATGATCACCACTGCCAGTTGAAATGAACGCAGGGTTGTCATTCAGGAGGAGCGTAGAATGGACAAATTCCGGCGTCTCTATTAGTGGAGGATCCTCCGTTGCGGGGATTGGCTTTGGAAATGCACATTGTATGTTTCGCTTAACACACCTACGACATGGCGACTTGCCATTGCAGCGTTGCTTTGCCTTGGCACAATTCAGGCACGCTTTCTGGGACCGCCGACGTCCGCGGGTGCAAGGTGGTTCTTCCCCATCACTTTCTCTGGAATGGGTGGCTTGGTGTTTTCTCAAAGTATCCCTGTAATCGTTAGTCTTCTTACTACACAGCTAGCGATATAAGTTGATCATATGTTGGGCATCTAAACCTTCTAGAAAACATGCGAGAACACACATCGCACCGAAACGGCTTCAATCCGAGATGGCTGAATTCATGGCGCTGGAGATGCTCTTTCCGAGCAAAGCTCTCTGGGCAGAATTCGCATGTCCATTTTCCTGACGGGCCTGGCCCATTTGTTGACGATGTCATACTCAGATATAGCTTCCTGGGTTGGTGAAGTAGGACCGGTCGCAAACTCGGAAACCACGAGCCGTACGTACAATTTCGGGATTCAGTGACGCAAGCCCCCACATCCCGCCACCCCACACATCACATCCCCTTATTCCTCACTTGCAACCGAGGTAATATGGCCTTGTTCGATCATCATCGATCTCTATGTAACGAAGCTTCCATTATTCTTATTGAAGGGCCTGGAATCTATTCTAACTATCTGGAGTCGTAAAACCCGATTGAGATGTTTCGGATGCCTAATTGCAACTCTACTGCAGTGGATGCTTCAACGCCAGCTTCCCAAACCTTCCTCCATCTGCTATCGCTTTCAACTCCTCCAACGCCTCTTCTGCCGTTCCTTCGAATACACCGACAGAAGGCAATCGGAAATTCACACCATAATGCTCCACAGCCCAGCTCAGCGCACGCCACGCACGCTGATAATCAGCCGGTCTTGCAGGGATCGTGATCGGGAACGGCACATCCTGGACCTTGATAACCACGTCACTGTTAGGTGTGGCGATAGGCATTTTGAATTTCAAATCACTTTGAACAACAACAGATACAAGCGTTGCATCTTCCGAACAGCACTCAGCCACTAGCTTCGCGGAGCTGACACCACCCCTCTGGCTTCCAACTGCATCGAATCCGCATGTCAGTGGACCCCATTGAGAGTCTTTTATGGTCGCTTTGATATCCGAAACAACACTTGAAGACTTGTAGTCGAAACAGTGAGTGGCTCCGAGCTCCTGTAGTAGGGAATGTCTTTCCGGGGAGGCAGTGACAATGATCGGATGGATACCACTCGCACGGGCGAGCTGGACAGCACAGAGGCCAACGCTGGATGAGGCGCCCCAGATCAACAAAGATTTGGTAGTTTTCCCTTGATCGTCATACTCTTGTGGCAGAGGGAGATTGAAGATATTATACAAAGCATCTGCAGCAGTCATAGCCACCACAGTCAGACTCGCAGCATGGTGTGGTGGAAGTGCTGCAGGGACTGAGAAGACCATGTCTTCGGGACACGCCAAGTATCGCTGGTGGGTACCGTATTTGGGCGGTCGGTTTATCCCAGTAGGTGTGTATCCAGCAACTAGATCTCCTGGATGAAATGTCGAACCGGTAGGAGCCTTGAGCACTGTGCCGCAAAAGTCATATCCAAGGATAGCGGGATAAATGCCGAGGAGTGTGGCATGTTTGAGATCGGCGGGATTCGTTCCAGAAAATTGCGTCTCAATGAGAAGTTCACCGTCGCCAGGGGAAGGGATCTCCTGGTGTCGACGGACCGAAAACTTCACATCCTCATCCACATACAGTGCTGCATTCTTGTCTTCGAGAGGCATTGTAAGATATCAGGGCTCAAAGCTAGGTGAATTGTGGCAAAGATGAATGTAGATGATATGAAGAGGTATATTCAAGACGCTCTCATGTCCTACAGCTGTGGACTTTAGGAGTTGATAAAACTGAGCTAGTACTCGACTTATGAGATTGTCGACAGAGTAGACCAGGAATTGTAAATGTGCAAGTCGAGGATATGGCGTTCTTTTCCTTGAGATTTCATCGCACTACCCCATCCGATGGAGTTGGTGGGGTATCGACCGACCCCCATCGGCAAGCCGGAGCAATATCCCCAGCGGCTCCATCGGAAGCGTCCACTGAAGTAACGTTCGTAGACCATAGATCTCCCTTTCCTTATTACTATGACAGAACTAACAATCGAACAGCCCGAAAAGTGTAACAGATAAATATCAGTCGCCTACAGAGTAGTTAGACAGCCAAATTCAGAAATTTTTGCCACAAAACCCCATCATCCAAGAGTACCAAAATGCCCATCATCAAACAACTAATCACTCTACGGCGAAAAGCCGGAATGACAAAAGATGAATTCTTCAACTACCACTACCAAGTACATGGAGCCCTAAGCACAGGTCCTAGTCCATCTGAAACGCCTTTGTATGTCACTATCAGTATCACCAAGTACACAGAAATTACACCTTACTAACACCAGAACTAGGAAATACTTCCAAACCCACTTCCTCGACACTGCATACCACCCCGACCCCGCCCAAAACATACCAAACGCCCACCCAGCATGGGCCTTCAGCGACGGCCTCACAGAACTCTATTTCTCGTCGGAGGACCACATGGTCCAGAACTTTGCTTCCGAGTGGGTTTCAAAGAAAGTAGGACCTGATGGGGCGAACTTTTCGGATTTTAGTGCTGTGATGCCTATGTTTGTTAGGGAGGAGGTGGTTCCGTTGGCATCTACGGCGTCTGAAACCTCAACGTGGGAGCGTGCTTTCGTCGCTATGTATTTTCTCGCTTTGCGAGAGTCCGAGCTTCCGGGGGAGAAAAACGAAAAATTAGTCACCAAATTTTCATCTCTTCTCCAACAGCATGCCTCTCATGATGTACTAGGTTTGGTCGCCAATGCCCCTACAGAAGTGGGCTTTGATCTTAGTGCTTACTTTGGTGGTGGGCGGTCGTTTCCTACTTATTATGTGTTTATGGTTGTTCTACGTGGGAAGGAGTCGGTGGGTGCTGTGCGGAAGGTTCAGGGGATCTTTGAAGAAGAGTATGCTGGGGCCTTGGATCTACCAGCGACCTGGATTGGGTTTGGTGAGCGTGCGGTAGTGTTGGATCAGAGTGTGGGGGTGGAGGTAAGTTGTTGCGTTGCTTTGAGGATCTAGTTGTGAGGAAGATGGCTGACATTTTGCAGTTTGATCCGAAAAGACAGCCGTATAAGATGGGATGAAGACTGGGCTAATGATAGATGTGTGTATCGTGCAGTATGCTGCTCTGGACCGACACCATGTTATGCTTGCAGCGTGGAATGAATCGTGGTGTTATCTAGTGACAATAATACTAGCTATCGTCTTTTTCTTCTCCATTTGCCATTCCTCATTCAGAGCAGAAGGGCTCACGCGGCTGATTACCGTGATCTCTAAGAGGTCTCTGCACATCTAGATTCTTGACAAACGTCGGAAAGCGAAGTATTGCCTTTCAGAATGGACTACGTAAATAATCTTCGCAGGTTAAGCTACCATCAAATAATAGACAACCCGCCTAGTACTATCTACCCATTTGTACACTTAGGCGAATAACTCACAATGACACATATTACCGCCTGACCCGAGGAAGAACCAGCTTTCCATGGGAGATAATAACATTATCGCCAGCAAATCTCTCCCGAACTCTATCCCCGCCCTCATGTCGCATAGGACCAATAGTACTGGCGGTATCCACCGAACCAATCTCAATGCTGATTGACTGGCCTTGGTCAAACAGGAATGCAGCAGGATACAGAGGGACAATCACAGAGTAAACTTGGCCCGGAACGATCTCCGACTCGGCCACAGCTGGTTGAGAAATGACTTTATCCTCGAAACCATTGGCAACTTCATCACGGTGGGAAAGACGGAAGTAACCTCTTGCGAAACTGTCCATCGGTTCGCCGTGGTTGCCATGTAGAATGATATTCTCGCCATCTGCATTGACTGCGCGAAGGTATATGAAAAGGTCCATGTCTTTGGCTGTGGTGCTGACCTCAAGCTCTAGATATGGTGACCCTAGTAGCTCGAAGGACTCGGGGAACGAGTTTTCGAGGGAGAAGTGGAGGTTCTCACTGTAGCCCTGGTATGAGAAGGGGGTCTTTGGGCCGGCTGGCTTGCTCAGGGAGAGCTTTTTCTCAGGAGTGAGGTAGAAGGACACGTATTCCGCGTCAGCTGGAGGAAATGATGTTTCGTCCTCACGATAAAAAGTCTCCATACCGTGGTGCTGGAGAAGTCTAATGCGAGGAACATCAAGCATGCCGTTATCCTTGCCCAAAAGGAAGAAGTCCAAGAAATGCCTCTGCATTTGCAGATGCGCGGGTTCATAAAACGCACCCAGATGGTTCCCAGTATGCATCTCAAGCCACTTATACTCCGATGAGATGGCATTGAACGCCCGAATATTGCCAGGGAGATGGAGCTCAGCATCTGTCCAATTTCCAGCAAGGTAGAATGGAACCTCGATATCTGAAAGATTGCGAACTCTATTCAGAACTTCCCATACACCCTTGGTGGGATACTCGGTTTCCGCGAGCAGCTTCGGAAAGTCTACCCTGTTGGCCGCAAGCTCTGCTTCCTCCAAGTGACCATCTTTCTTCCCTCCTTGGTAGGGAATTACGAGATTCCGATACCAGTGAGATTGGAAATTGTCGCTGTAGATACCGCCTCGTCTTACCGCTTGGTAAATATCGCATGCAGACTCGTACGATACAACGCAGCTCAAGTGGGGTGGCTTTTGCATCGCAGCCCAGTATCCTACCATTCCGTAGTAACTGATTCCGGAGTATGCCACCTTGCCGGATGACCATGGCTGAATGGCGGCCCATTCGACGATATCATAGAGATCTGTACGAAGAAAATGATATCAATCATTTTATTTCTTTCTATGTTGACGAATGTAAGGGAGTACCTTGTCCCTCTGCATCTGCCTGAATCTGCACTGATCTTTCCAAGCCGAAAGGATCAAGCTTCCCTTGGCTGCCGCAAATGCCACGGCTATCAACACGAATCAACGCATAATTGTACTCTTTGCACTATAGGGTAGGGAATAAGCACAAAAAAAGCTTAGTCTAGTAATGGGTTGTCTCGTACCCAGATAGATGGATCACATAATTCAAAGCAAGCATCGGGACCCAATGGCTTGATATGCTTATACATTTCTGCATAGATAGGCGACTGAGGTAGTCCGAACGTAGCAGCATGGTTATCTTTCCCATAAGGACCCATGCTGCAAATCACAGGTACCTTCTCTCCATCTTTCGATGCAGACAGAGGGAGAAACACATCAGCGCAAAGCTCAACCCCATCGCGCATGGGTATGTATATGTTTTTGATCCGGGTATATCCGTCGACATCGGTCTCGGTTGTCTGATACTTCGGTCTAGTAGCGCTCATTCTGAAAAGAGGGGGGTATAGATCTGAGTTTTCAGGAACTATAAGGGAAAGGGGTGTATGTGAAGATTCACGTAGCAGTTACAGATACGGATGTCACTGATATGCCTAGTCCAAGTATAGGTAGTACATATCTTATAGTCTTGATTTTTGGGTAAAATAGGGAACAAGGTGGCGAGATCCTATGCAGCCGGCGGAGCCGATGGGGCCGTTGGAGATGCGGCAAGCTGTACGCCGGTTGCAAGGGATTGTGGGTCCGGTGCTCTCGGGAAGTGAGCGGGAGAGGACATCTACTCTTGGATAAGATATTACTGAAATGGTTGTTGATTGTTGATCCTAGGGCATCTCACTCGACGTATAATGGCTCTAATTAGAGCTTAAGTTATCTTTCCCTGATCTCGTTGCAGTGACTGCTAGTTGTTGCACACCATACGGGTTCACAATAAGCACTTAATCAGCATAAAGACATACTCATAAAATTCATAACGAGCGTTTCAAATAGGACAAGAAGCTGGCGCCATTAACCTCTTGCCTCGTAACATACATAAAATCATAAAAGACATTTGCATCATAGACATCAAACCCCGGGCATGCCCTCAATCACATCCTGACCTCACTCAGTTCCCTCCGTACCACCACGAGACCAATCTCCTAGAAACTCTGGGGGGCTCCTCTGGCTCAGATCATAAATCAGATCTAGCTTAAGCTTTTCCGGGGCAAACAATGTGTCTAGGACCACCGAGGTTGTCGTCCCAGCAGGAGGCGCCATCGCCACCTCCACTCTGCTTAGTGCACTGTACCATTAAAAAAGAATAATCAGTAAAGAAACATCCATGTTAAGATGGGATGTGAAAGCTCGTAGCTGGTAGATGTAAGGCTGGGATCGGTAAGGTGCAAAGGGTTATAAATAACATACACTGCCCTCATTGCAGGAGCTATATGCGGACCACTACCGTCAGTGTGTGCTTCCAATACGATACACCGTTATCAAAGGTGCAAGTCGGGTGATGGAGCTTACTAGTTTTCAAATCCGATTCGGCAGCTGGTGCCGTTGCAGCTCTGATGATATATCAGTATATGAATCTTGCTGTCTTGGGAAATGTGAGCATGGAAGGTATTGAGTATATGACTTACTCCGCAGTGAATCTTGGCGCCATCTGGGCAGCTCTGTGCAGCGTCTTCTGCTGGAGCAGGAGCGGCAAAGGCAGCCAGAGGGCCGGCGGCGAGGGCAGCAAAGACAAGAGTTATGAAGCGCATGTTGATGAGTTTTCTTCAATGGGGTATTTGAAATAAGTGGCAAGAGTTCTTTAGATGTATAAGATAGTTGTTGTCAAGGCTTGAAGACTTGTGTTGAGATTCGAACTTGATGTCCAGGAATGATGGCTATACTTATAGATTTCGAAGCTCCTACTGATCATGCAACGAGGTGGTCTTCCCAATAGAGGTTCAAGTGTAGCATCCTGGTACGCATGCCCCATGACTGCTTCTGATCGACACACGTAGGATCAGGCTGTGTGTTCCTTCTCTCCAATTGCGAGAAGTAAGGCATCCAATATCACCCGCTATACGATCTACCTAGGTGCATTGATTAAATCTCTCATCATCATCTGCCCTGGATAGCGCGGCTGTCCATTAATCATAGTCAGGGTTTTTGGTATGCCAGATCAGCTAATGGAAGAGTATCTAGCCATCCTTGACCACTGTGATGAATGTTCAGAAGCTGTCAGCATGTAGCGTATGTGCTGAGCATATGAGGCTCACTTGGGTTTTTCATACGAGACAGCATCCGAACTCAATCAGATTTACATTATCGAAACTTGCAATGCATCGGACAGGAACTGCACACCGAGTATACCCTGAAAGGTCTATCTTTTACCTCCTTCTTTGCACAGGCAAGTTACGAGCCAGGGACCTCTTGGCTCTGAGGCGTGGCTCCTATCACGATATCCGAGCTAGGTACCGCATCAAGAATGTATCTATGTACCCCATGCCACCAATACGTCCTTCTACTAGGGGCATGTGGGGTTCGTTGAACCTAAGCTAAAACAACCCACCAATGCGTTAATTTGTATCAACCAAGAATATGGTATCCCCTAAAAGGACGGCTTTTCATTGAGATCCCTACTGAGGCACGCTTCCACTAAGCCATCACCATAGATAAGAAGTTCAAGGACTAAAGCGCAACATTAGAATTATTCTAGAGGAGAAAGTAATCTGTCACACCTATCAGTATGAGGCCCGGATTTTCGCGGATATGCGCAACAATTTACTATCATGTGAGATTGGTATCACATACATGATAAGATTACTGATTATTTCACAGGGTTCAGCTGCAATCTATTCTTCGCTCGTGCGAAAGAGCGACATTGGTTGATCCTCAGTCGTTGACTTTTACGATTGGATAAAGTTTGGTTATATTCTAGAAATGTACGTTGGCTGTACCTCACGAGACTAGAGAGGCTGTTCAGTGTGTAGTGAGTGGTAGACATTTGATCCAACTCAAACCAGTACGGCCAGTTGTCTGTACGGCATCAGCACCTGCAGAATCAGATGCCATCCCGTACTACCCACCAAATGGCCGCTGTCTACACCGAAAAAAGCAACGTTACAGCGTACTCTAATGAGTGGCCGATCAACGTTATCGTCTATCCGGGACAATCCGAAAGGACTATCACCTTCAGCCTCGTGCAAGTCATAGCTCTGGAGGCTACAAATGAGGTTATTAAGGCACAACTGCAAGGGTCCACCAAGGTATCTGATCGTCGTGCGGAGAGGGGTGTTTGAGGCTGAGGCAGGGCGTACAAGAAAGGATAACCCCGACTCCGCACTGCACTCTGAGAGCTGTATGGTCGCTCGGCATTTGCTTACAACCCCTAGGAGGTCATTCATAGCTCCACCGCGTCGATCACTGATTGCCTAACTAACTAGCCTTTCTATGCAGGGTTAACGGCCCGGACCCGGAATCCTCGGACGCCTCTCGGAGGTCCGGAATGCAGCCTGATTGCATCGTTTGGGTACCGACTCATGCCTTTTTTGCTAGCATCTACCAAGAATGGTTGTCTCTACTCGCACGGATAGCAAGCGACGCTACGATACGCTGTGTGCCTGTTTTCCCTGCGCCGGAAGGGTCTTCGGGACTGCTTCTTTAGGTTAGCTCGACTATTCCACGGATACCAGTGCAGCTAACGGATTTCACTATTAACACTTTACTGCACCTCAAAGTCCAGTCTAAATCTAAGGCTGCCAAGTTTGTCATGACATCAGGTCTGGTGCGGGGAGGGGGGCCTGAGGATAGTCGCTGCTGTGCGACCTTACCGCTATCGAACGAACGAACAGTCACAATAAGAAAGTATTGCCGCTTTCCCGATGAGGTATTTGTCAATGTTGGCTCAGCAATTTGTACTATTACAAGTAAAGCCGCTGGGCTCACTGATTCAATTCACAGTTGTAGTTGAGGGCTCAGCCTCGCTCCAAATATGCCAAGACTGCAGCTCGGGCGGGGTATTGACATCTGGTCTGGAGTGTGTCGGGCCTGAAGGATGGCTGCTATCCGAGCTTACAGTCAAACTGACAAATACCAGCTGTTCCTGCTATCTTTACGGGTCGTATTAGTAAGTATTGCTCTTGAAGAGTAACTCCTGGGCTTATGGAAGGCATAGGTAAGAGAAGTGGCGGGGACAAGCTCTTAGAGAAGTGATTGAGGAAAGCTATGCGGTAGGCGATGAAGTATCTTCATGCTACATAGAAGTTCTGGCAGAAACGTTCACAAACTACGGTTCTTATTAGAAGAGGCTCGCGATGCCTTGGCTTCGAGGCCCCGCTGGTGGGCTCTGGGCTAAGAATACGGCTTGAGTCTCACAACGCATGGTATTGGGAGTTATAGTAAGGAGGGTGGACATCGATCAGAATACCATATAGTTCACATGTCGACCGAGGATATAATCCATCACCACCGATACTATGAGCGGCTGACTTCATTCAGTTGTCGGAGGGAAGGAAATGATGACATAAGATATCTAATTGATCTACACAGTTGGGTTGGTTGTCCGAATCAGACAATCGAGTCAACCTTTTAGAATCAATATGGAACGCAATACGTCTCCCATTATCGACAAGCTCTTCTATGCTATTAGATAATGAAAACTGCAGCATGGAAGCGGCATGATGCGATGGAAGATCGGACGGAAGTTTCTGTCCGCTATAGACACGAACAACACATATGAGGGGAATACAGCGTAGATCTCTGTGCTGTCCCCAACCTAAATGCGATGTGATTGGCTTCTTTTCATCTGAGCCACTCTCGTGATAAGTATAAAGAATAACCTAGACTAGTACACATATCCCGCAAAAGGGTCCAAATTGGAGGCAGATGCGGCTCAAAATGGTCTTGGTAGCGGTCTCCCACTCTTCCCCGAGGAAACCAAACAGCCAGCCATTCTGCTCCCGTAAGACTTCCTTGACCCTCAGGATTCGAGCGGGCCCGGAACCTAATGTATAGCTTGCATACGAAAATCAGAGATCAAAGCGCGAGAAGAGTAGAAAGGGGGTCGCCTAGCAGTTCCTCATACAGCTGTGTGCAAAAATGGCCGCAAATGTTTATACTCTTCAAGTTCCACAAAAGATTCCTAGCTAAACTGCATCAAGTAAAGACTGGGAACTACTATAATCAGTGTATTCAACAAAAACACAACGTGGCGGTAAGATAGAATGATGCTGGACAGGTGATCGGTACCACGTACAAGCCAGGCTCGTACAACTGGCACTCTAGAAGCTTCTATGCAAACTACTATATCTTGAATTCATCACGGCTCTCTGTCGACTGCTTCTCAAACGCAATGCTTGTTTCCTCCAAGCTTTTCTGTGAAGTTTCTGGCAGCCAGACAATGCCCCATACAAGACCTATCGATGCAACAGCAAAGAAGAACCAAAACGTCCCCTTGGGCTGCAAAGCATCATCAAGCATCATACTTGGAAGGGCCTTGTAATCATTAGCCTCGTCAACAACAGCTCATTTATAGCGAAATATAGTAAGCTTACCTTCACCAGTGCAAACTTATTGGCATAATGAACACACATGAGGAGACTTGTCCCAAGTGTACGTACTTCTGAAGGAAGAATCTCAGCATTAATCAGATATTGGATGCAATTCCATCCGAAAGCATAGCCGACACCCGTAACGTATAGGGCAGCCACGGAACCGACAGCTGCTCTAAGCGCATTACTGGAGTCTGGCTTGCCAGCTGCATCCCAGGTTGTTATGAAGATTGCAATGTAGAGCAAAGCGAGGATCTGAAGTACGATTCCTCCTAAGAGAGTGCGTTTTCTTCCAAAGCGATCAACGAAGAAGAATGCGCTAATGAGCGCAGAGACCAATTTTACTACTCCGAAAATAGCTGTTTTGAACAGTTTTTCGGAATTCCCGGCCACATTCAACAGCGCGAAAAACTTAGGCGCGTAAGCTATGCCACTGATGTCAGCCTTATGCTTAGAGGAGTAAGGGGGTAGAAGTAATGAACCCACTTGTGATAGCATTTGTTCCGGACCATTGACTGAGAAGTTGCGCAGACAAAAGAAACATCCATCGCTGGAGATTGGCTCTTGCAAAAAGTGCTTTCCATGGCCCTACAAAGGACCACTTGGACTTGCCTGTGGCTTTCTCTGGGGAAACCTCACGCTGAATACTTTGCACCTCTTCAATGATACGGGGATCCTCTGGGCTAAAACCCCGCAGCTTAGCAAGATTTCTTGTAGCCCTTGATACGTGACCACTGTAGACCAAATATCTGGGACTCTCAACGCAGCCGATTGAGAAAAGTAGTAACACCCCGGCCATCATGATATGGATACTTTCTGGTAGAATCCATTGTGTGTTGCTATCGCCGGATATATGAAGCGAGGCTCCCCACCCGGAAAAGTACTATGTTCATCAAACCATGGTATTAGCGAACGAATATTCCTCAGTTAACTTCAGACACTGACACACCCCGATTAAAACACCGACATATTCCGATGATGCATAGAGACCGACCAATAGGCCTCGAGAAGCCGTTGGTGCCACTTCGGCTAGGTAAATAGGTCCAACAACACCAGCCTGGCCGACACCCATACCCATGATAAACCGACCAGCAATGAGTTGACCCATATTGCCAGCCGATGTAATGAAAACAACCACGCCGATGATCCAGAGCAGGCATAACTGCCGCATGGTCCATAGTGGGCCAATCCAGTAAGTTGAGACAAAAGCTAAAAAGCCCCCAGGCAAGCTGCCAAGGTGCATCATTGAAGTGACATTGGATAACCTGCTTGCTCTTGCTGCAGCACTAAGGTAACTTGCATGAAGCTGGTACTCCTTGATGAAAGAGGGCAGGTCAACAACCGTTGCGATAATACTTTCATCCAAACCCTTGGCTGAGCCCAAGAGGCCGAAGGCCACTGCAGCGCAGATAATGTGGATATTGAAGTATTTCATGGTTAAAATATTCCACGGATTATCATAATGCTTGATAGGTCTCAACTACAGCGAATCAAATCTTATATATGTTTGGGACGCGACCTCTGAATTCACCTCCATAGTGCTAAGTTGGAAGTGACCCCAAGGTCCTCATTCATTTAGGCACTAAGAAGCCTAGCTGGTCTTCGTTGAGAACCAACTTTTATACCTAGCCGATAGGGCTAGACGTCGCGTATGTGTGTCATCTCAGCTTATTGGCCTTCATAATGATACACTGATACTTCCCAGATAGTTGAATCGCGCACTTTTTGTACCTAAATTCGCCGATTCTCAGTCCAACCTCCAAGGATTCTCATCAATGAGAAATCCCTATCTCTTTTTCTCAACAAAAGAAGCTTTCCCGCAGCCGACATGCCCTCCCGTCGGACCCACGTCTGTGGCAAAATTTGAACGCAGTAGCGTTATTGCAGTGGGTCTTTCCATAGGGCTGAGGCCTCTAACTCATCGAACAGAGAGACATGCAGATGCACTATAGTTGCCGCATACCCGATAACCACTACTATGTCCACGGGTTGTTGTGGGCTCAAGCTTTTTCAAACCAGGTTTTTGCGTAAGCCTTAAGAGCCCTCTCCGGCAGTCTCAAATCCCGAACTCAACCAATCGGAAACACGTTTTAAATGGTAGCCTGGGACTTTTTTGGACACTATATCCTCCATATATCGCCGAGCTTGTCTGCACCCTTGCCTGCGTCCTATTAAAATGCCGGCTACTGAGGCCGCCAGCACCGTTCATTCCCCACCGGTCTCTCATTCGATTCCTCCACCAATGAGTATGCCCGCCTTGAGTCTCCTCGGATCCCATTTAACTCATATTTCGAATAAAATAGATTAATGCGTGGAGAATACCAGCGAGCTTAGGGGTACGCTAAGATGCGCAGACCTGGTTCTTCACGGTTTTAGCTCCGTTCCCGGGCTGGTCGCCGGCAACGGCCATGACTGCCATTTTCCCATTCACGCCACCCCTGCTTGCCCTCTGGCAGATTATAGATGCCTGCATGGGCGGCCTTCTTACACGTGCTCCTGTCTGAATTTCTGCCAGACTGAACTCTCCACCCAGCTCTTTCGCCATATTCGTTCATCTTCTGCTGGCGGCGCTGCCGATTCTATCCCATGCCGCGCTCACCTATCGCGGGGCGGACATTTCTTCTCTTTTGAGCTAGAAGATGAAGGTTATAGCTACAAGAACCTTAAAGGTCAATCCCAAGCACTCGAGACTATCCTCGCTGAAGCCGGCATCAATTCCGTTCGCCAGCGTGTGTGGGGTCAATTCCAGTCATGGCATTTACAATTTGGATTACAACTTGGAGCTGGCAAGCGGGTCAAGGCGGCTGGTATGAGTATCTATCTGGACCTTCATCTGAGTGATACATGGGCGGATCCTAGCGATTAGGTGAGTTGATTCCGTTCGAGAGATAATAGTCAAGTCAAGAAGAAGCCTAAGCTGAATTATCCGGGGTAATAGACAACCCTTCCTGATGGCCCACCACCGATTTCAGCACTCTGAAGTGGCAACTATACAACTACACTGTTGAGGTTTGCAACACGTTTGCAGATAACAACATTGATATTGAGATCATCTCAATCGGTAATGAGATCCGCGCCGGTCTTCTCTGGCCTCTTGGTGAGACGAGCAGCTACTCAAACATCGGTGCACTGCTGTACTCGGGCGCTTGGGGAGTCAAGGACTCCAATTTAGCAACACTACCCAAGATTATAATCCATCTGGATGACGGCTGGAGCTGGGATCAGCAGAGTTACTTTTATAAGACGGTTCTGTCTACGGGCGAGCTACTGAACACAGACTTCGACTACTTCGGCGTTTTATACTACCTGTTCTACAGCGCATCAGTAAATATAGCATCTCTGAAGACCAGCCTGGCGAATCTGCAGTCGATCTACAACAAGCCTGTAGTAGTGGTGGAGATGAACTGGCCAGTTCCGTGCCCAAATCCTGAGTACTCTTGTTTCTCAGATCCGAGATTGATTTCTTTCTCGGTCGCGGGCCAGCAGCAGTTCCTCGAGAAACTGGCAGCTGTGGTCGAGGCCACTACCGATGGTCAGGGGGTGTACTACTGGGAGCCGGCCTGGATCACCAATGCTGGGGTGGGGTCGAGCTGCGATGAAAACCTTATGGTGGATAGGTCCACGGATGAGGTTTATGCGAGCTTTGATATTCTCGGGAAGCTTTGACACTCTGTAGAATGGAATTTTACTGAGGGCGTAGATATTAATGCGTGGACAACTAGCAAAGGCCTAGTTGCTACTTTCTTACTCATTGAATGATTAGATTGAATAATACTGTGTCAAAATAGAAGCAATAACTAATGATATTTAGTAATCCGGTTTCCGGAGACGCTCGCTACATTACCCAGTCTCAATAATCAAAAGATGTGCTAACTACAATTACACAGAAATATGCCAGGACAAGTGAAGTTTACTTTCAATACTACTTAAGCAAAGAAATAACCTAAAGGATAAATAGCACCTTAATCTCAGAAAAAAGCCACGTAAGAGCTATAATAGCACTAATTAGCCTAGTCTTCTTTAGCGTTTTCCAGGCTATATTTTCAATCGCAGTTAACTACTGTTAAACAGATTACACGGACTAAGCACATACAATTAACTTGGTATATTTTGACTTCGATTCAGCCTGGTGACGGTGAAAGATTTGATTGACCCAGCGATCGCTGATAAACGTGTGTTTTTTATGTTTTCTAACATCAAATTTGAGGATAGAAGGAACTCTGCAAGATATTATACTTTCACGACTATAAGTGGATAGACTCGTGAATCTAATTCAAGTATCCTGCGCTTCGACACTAACTCATTATTGTTAAATAGCTTTCTTAAATTTGCCTTTATTTCAGTGCGAGGTTTGACTCCTTTCAACCGTCCCTTTAGAGTGCTTATCTTGACAGCAAATGCTGCAGCGCACGACTGCTTGGAGGGAAGTTGACCTCGATCTGAGGCCTCTCAGGCAAGTTTTAGTCTCCTATATGTAGAAAGGCCCTCCATACGCCTGATTAGCCACATTCTTAAATTAATTGAGCAAAGTTGAATATGGCGTGTTGTGGAGGTTTGTAGCTGTGAGGGTCGCCGGCGGCTCGTTGTCCGATTACATTAACAAGTGGTAACGTAATCGGACAACGAGCCGGCGGACAACGAGCCGCCGCTCTGCCTACTAAAAATGCAACAATCGATTCAGATTAAAGTAATTCAACACTATATAGATAAATATATATAAATAAATTAAATATTGATTTTATCTATATATTTGAACTGATTATAGTATAATCTTTCGTAATTAATATAGTATAATAGCTAGCATTAAGTATTTTTTAGTATGGTAGTATCTACTTCTCTTAGTATCAAATACTGCAGTATACATCTTTATCGTGGCAAATTAACTGTAACTAAAGGCTTAACAGATAAGTCATAGTATTCCATCTTAGTAAAACTCTCTCTATATATTCAAATAGCTTTATTTTTGACTGAATTAAGTAAGATTAAATATTGTATATCTTGGAGATATAAGGCGGTGAGGGTCCACACCGACGGCTCGTTGTCGCGACGCTTCGTTGTCCGGTTACGTTACTTGCTTCTCTGGACTAAACTACCGAAGGACTTGACAGAAGCGGCTTAGCGTACTTTGGATGAAGTGTCCGGGACAAGTTATAGACCATAAACATTTGCGCTATTTTTTCCAAACAGCTGTAATGCGTATATCGATGTGAATATCTAGAAAATAGTCACTGCGATAGACTGGTGCGGTGAAAGAAAAGGTCAGCTAGCAGCCCTGGACCTGATTGTCCTCGCATTAAATAGTACACAGCAAATTCACCATGCATATTTGTATTGAATCTTGGGGTCTATATAAAAGCGGTCATCTACAGTACTTCCTCGATTCTCTTTCTCTTCTTTTCCTTTCCATCTCTCATGTCCCAAAAGCAGCAGCGGTCATCAGCCCAGATGGCCCAACATCGATAAATTATTCCATTGGAAGATTATATTAGTCTTTAGATCTTTTAATAATATTATTTAAAATCAATTGCCTCAACCAGGATCAACTACTAATTGTATACATCAAGAGATGATTGACGTGCCATATTACAAATTTTCAAATGACGATATTCGTGAGCGAAGACTTACATGCCTCTTGTGTCATCATTTCCAAAAGCATGGCCCACAAATGGCGACCCCAGTTTTAGGCTGAGCATCTTTTCTTGTCAAGCTCTTCTTATCAAGAGTTCTGTATGAATATGTCTTCTTCGTTGCCTGAAATCAGGACCGCGTACCCTGAGCTCAGAATGCCGGAGAGGGCGAAACTCATCGAGCAGTTAAGTAATGAATGCGATGTTGAATTTGTTGATCCCGCGTCCGCCGCGTGCCTATGGCTGGCCGACACTGAATGTCTCGAATCACTGATCCGAAAATCGGACGACAATATGTTTGCCTTCCTGCTTCGTAAATTGCTAGATGACACATTGGGTGACTCAATAGCGGCAATTTCCCTAAGGGCCTGTAAGTACATAGTCTCATAACCCATTAGCGTCAAGCCAAAATTGACATGACAATAGGGGCCGGTAGGGGTCGGTCTGCTGCCGCGAAGAAGAGGAAGCTAGATACCGGAGTAGAGCAAGCAGCCGATCCGGAGACCGAGGACAAGCATACGAGATCGCTAGATGCTAAAAGTCTGGTAAGCTAACAGTCCCTTTAATATCACTATGTTCAATTCAATGCTAACTTCTGTTAAGTGCAAGGAGAGAGACAACGATATGTGTCTTATTACAAGAGCTGGTGTTCCCGTCGAGATGGCTCATATATTTCCGTATTCTCTGGGGCAACCGAACAGCGCTGAGACCTTGAAGGATGTCTGGGATACGGCAAGGTTTTTTTGGTCTATAGAAAAAGTCTCGAAGTGGGAAGAGGCGGTGTCAGGTCCCAATGGGACAGAGTGTTGCTCGAACCTGATGGCCCTGTGGTCCAGCGTACATGGCCTATGGGAGAGGGCCTGTTTTGCGTTAAAGCCACTCGATATCAGCGATGACCGGGAAAAGCTGAGAGTAGAATTCTTCTGGCTTTCTGTACCATCGGTGTACCCCGAGAGGGTAGAAATAAGAACGCCTCCATCTACGTCCTGCCTCATCGACCACGGTCCTCATAATACTCGCTTATGGAATTGCGAGACTTTGGCACCAATTCGGAGTGGCGATGTTCTCACCTTCACGACCAGAGACCCAGACCAATTGCCCCTCCCCTCGGTCGATATTCTATGGATGCAATGGACCCTGACTAGGGCGTTCGCCTTGAGTGGCGCTGGAGAAGCCCGTGAAGGCTTCGACTCCGATGATGATGATGAAGGTCATGAAGACGTCGTGGTGGGACAAAGATTAACACCCGCCAAAATTACCGTGGCCTAAAATTACCGAGGCCTAAATAATACGACCGTAAGTTTTCTGATAGGGACCAAGAAGTGCTCAGGGACTAAAGGGAAATACTCTACTAGATTTCTACTGCGCATAGCTGGATAGTTGCTCCAAAGCAGTCAGGCATATATAGATAACACTCAAGAAAGTGAACTTCGCTGCGTTAAGAAAGCATCGCTTACAAGAGACTCTCTGCATCAATCTTTCCATGTTGGTTCAGCTCCTGTGGTCTGACTCGTGACACTGGGTACATATTCCAAATGCATAAGCACATAAGACGTATTAACTAGTTCGCTATTCCAAGACGCGTCTCGTAGGCCAACGTAGTATGGGTTTCTTGGCTTGGGGTAACCCGATTTACAATCAGGCCATCCGGTTTGAGTTCCACCCGACATGACAACTGGTTGAGGAATGATTCATCAAGACAGGTGGCTTAGACTAAAACTCCTCAGGTTACTTTTCTGGGAAACCCTCTCACAGTGAATTTGTATTGAGGGGTTCTGTTTAACTTGCCCTTGTCACTTGTCACACCTGATTACTAAGCGGTAGCTATCCAGTCTCCGACTAACCGGGGCTTCGGAAGTAAATACTCCCGTAATGCCATATACAATCAGATGAGAAGTGGAGTTAAGGATAAGTTGTCCTTATAGGTAGTATATTTATTTCTCTAAAGGAATATCAGCAAAACTGGGCTGCCAGGCTCACCAGTGGCAGTATCCTGTTAAAAATTGATTCAATCGCAAAGTATTAACCTAATAATAACTCATCCCGGATATTCCCCCCCGGGTTCACTAGTCTAAGCCCCGTTGGCATTTTCCACGTGCATCACGGCATCGAACTCCTTTATTTCCTCCGCGGTTGCGTTAAAGTAGTTTACGGCAACAGGATCGCCAAACCCGGCATTAATATCCTCCAAGGAACGGCCGGCAGTTTCCGGAAATAGGCTGGCATCCGAGTTAGCCCATTGGTAGACATCAGGTGTGGGGAGGGTAAGTACTGACAAGTAGATGGCGAACCAATAGCAACAGGTCGGAACTGCGAAGACCAGCATGAACCTCCAGCCAATGTTGTCCATCGCAATAGGACCGGCGACAAGCAAAATAATTGAGGCCGCAAAGTAGCTGAACATGCCAACGGCAACCCCCTGCGACCGTAGATGTGTTGGGAAAATCTCACTGAGGTATACGAATTGAGTTGCGTCCATGCAAGTGCTCCAGAAGAAGATGTAGAGGAAAATAAAAAAGATGGCCGCGCGTTTGCCGGCATCGTTGGTGCTATCCATGTAGAGACCTTGCATCAGCGTCTCCAGAACAAGACAAAGACCGATACCCCCAGTACCAATTAGGAGAAATGTTCGACGTCCGAGTCGGTCTAGATATAAGGCGGTGATGGTGTTTCCGGGGATAGTGATCGTAACGTAGATGCCAAGGCATAGCAAGGGCATATAACCGCTTAGCCCAAGCTCACCGAATAGAATGACACCGTAGTTAGCAATAACAAGTGAACCCATGAACATGTCTCCCCACATCAAAAGAGACGCGATGAGTGCTCGCCTTCTGTTGGCCGGCGTCCGGACAACCTCATACCAGCACCGTTTATCCACCACCTCCCGGTCCAAGTCCACCTGCCTCACTAGCTGATGGTACTCCCGTAGGGCATCCGTGTTTTCAGTCTCGCCTTTCTTCGCATGAAGTCTCTTCATTACCTCCAAGGCTTCTTCTTTCCGTCCCTTCATCAAGAGCCATCGAGGAGAATAAGGAACCCAGGGAGAGCCTACTAGAAGCAACAACACTGGTGCGATCTGAAAGGCCAAGGGAAATCTCCAAGGGAAGGTTGACGTCGAGCCACTAGCTGTGATGAAGTAGACACCAAAACCGATCCACCCGGAAAGAGTATAACCGATAGCGATCATGATACCTAGTATGCCACCTGGATGAGAATCACGAGATTTATAAAGGAACTCTCACCCGTTGTGACGGTGCTTACCATGGATCGATACCATAAATCCCCTTGCTTCAGGAGTAGAAATTTCAGATTGGTACCTGCCGCAGAACGTTAGGGCGTTGATAGATGGTGATGTTCAAGAGAGGATCCGAACATAGGAATGACAGAGATGAGAATCCCAATACCCCAACCACTGATAAAGCGGCCTGCCATAAACATGGATACATTGACTGCTCCTGCACAAAGAGCGGCGCCAATGATCTGCAGAATAGCCCCAATTGATATGGTTCTTTTGCGAGACAAGAGGTCGGCGATAAAGGCATTGGTGATTGTTCCGACGGCCGCACCCGCAGCGTTCAAACCTGGTCTGTTTTTAAGCCATCCGGTCGACAAAGCAGGTACTTGAAATAAATTACCGTTGAATGCACCCAGGTACCGTGTGGTTCGGGAATAACCTGGTTCGCCTGACTGGGCAAGACCCATACTACTGTAGAAGCTGGGTTGGGCGACAGTAGTTCTGATTTTACAAGTTAGCTCCGTGGTATTGTTTCGGGCAGACTAATACAGTGAGTGACCAACCCGATGACAGCAAGGCCATAGGAGCAGGCCGTGGACCCCAAGGCCACATAGATGACCAGTAACAGGTTAAACAAGTTTGGGATGCGTTTCGACATGACGAATGGTTTCGTTTGATTGCCTGGAGAAGGTGAAGAGACAAGCAAACCAAATATCTACCATATTGTTATAATAAATGCAGCTAGACGACTTAAGGCGGAGATAAGCTAATGGTATTCTGGGGTTCTCCAAGATGGCCCTACCGAGAGCTCGGGTGTTGATCCGAAACCGGGCCCCGGAATCAATTACCCCAGAAACCTTGTTGTCATGTCACTCCTCCCCCGAAATCAATGGAACTATTTCCCTCCGCTTGGCTCTCTCCCTCACAGGACCAAGTCATGTGCCACCCCAATGCTCTCAGCCAGCTGCACCACAATAATTGCATCCAGCGCCAAAAGAATTAGCTTGTCGCCAGCCAGCGCGAAGTTGGCCATTTCTGTCATTGGAGTTTGTCTGCCCATAAAAACTTCTTTATTGAATATTCCAATGACTTTACCCGCCATATTCCGCACAACCACACCTTCGGCTTCCCCAGTCCATACCCGGCCCATGGCATCCACTTTAAGTCCGTCAGCGACCCCATGGCGGGGGAACCCGAATAGCTGTTTATTGGAGGGAATGAACCCATTCTCAGAGGAGAGTGTGTAGCGAAAGATGGCTGGAAATCCAGTGCCAGTGGGATGGATATGGTCGGGCGTATCAGTGACGTACAGATACGAGTTCTTCCCATCGATGGAAACTCCATTTGGTCCCAGAACGTCGGATCGAGGAATAACAGGTCTCAGGGTCTCGGTATCGGGGGTAAAACTCCAAAATGCGTTGGGCAGCTGGATAGTCACGTTGCTAGCGTGGGCTGATATCGGTGGCCCAAAGGGGACCAAATCGAGAGTGCTGAAAAAAATATGAGTTTGTTTCGTCTCTTTATCCCGCATGATTGAAACGTCATCGACGCTAGGCAGGCCGAGGCCGTAGTATGAATTAAGAACTGTCGAAGTCTCAAGAGTCCTCGGGTTGATCTTGACGAGTCCCGCCACATGGGTTGCATCCCCCAACATGGTGATGTAGACATAGCCGTCGTAGTAAAACCCGCCATTGGGGTTGGAGAGCACAAAACTTTCCGAGCCGTGAGGTTTAACCAGATTGGGCTGTGTCACTTCATTTGTTTTCAGGTCCAAAACAGAGAGGTAGGTCGGTCCAGACGAGATCGCCGACGTAAACCACATCTGTGGTAGATTAGCCACACTTCTTCCCCCTAGAATCTCTCCAGTCGCCCCTACCTGGTTGAGATCATGCACCCATATGCCCGCTTCATAGGCGTATCCGTACGTTCCCCTCGATACTATCTGGGCAGAAGGCTCTTGCCCGATTACCTCATCGAACTCCTTGTCGTATGAAATGAATGCCGCCCGCTGTGCTTCTTTTAATGCCGAATTAAGGCTCAACTGAGCAGACTCTGTTCCAGACACGAAATCTTCCGATAGGTTTCCATGAAATAGTGGTGGAAGGAGATATTGGTAGCTGGCGGGAATTGACGCAGTTTGTGCGTAGCTTCCACCTATTAAAGCAGCCAGCAAGACTGGTAGCGCACACGAGAGAATCGTTGGGGACTTCATTGACTCGAGGAAGTAGAGTTGTTCATGTGGTGATCAAAGTATACGGAATAGATTAGTTTATATTGGGTCAACACTGTGAATCCAGTATCGTGTCTACATCCACTGACTTAATTATATAGTTATCATAGGCTATAGGCTCTGACGGGAATATTCTGTTAGAGGCGAGCCAGCCCCGTATCTCATGTGTTGGAGAATTCGTCAAATTACGATTGATTGTATCGGGCACCCGTCAAAGAATTTCTTGGTCGTAGGAATTACTTCCGGGTGAAGAAGGATTGACTCGGCCACGCTATGAAGTTCGCCTGGATAACCTACAGTGCATTAAATTTGTCATCAGAGACAGCATCTGGAGGTGATAGGCAACGATAGGGCTCTAAAAGTTAACTAGGTGTATCTCCAGACTCCTTTTATCCGAATTGGAAACCGATCAAATGGACCGTGGCTCCGTCGGTTACCTTTTACCACAGCGACCGGAAGCAAATATCCGATTCGTGCCCCTGCCTGTGCGGTGCCCGATAGATATTGCTGTTTTTCAAACCGTAGTTTTACATTTGCTCGTGTACGCTAGTCAACCTTGGGTCGGTTCGGAACTATAGTGGAGACATGGCTGGGAGCAGAGTCGCGCTCGGATCCCGGTCCGGTCCTCGATAATGAAGCCATTTGGCTAACAACCGATTGGTGGGGCCCGCAAATCCACTTCGCTATGTCTGGAAGGCCTTAATTTATTATTTGGGGGCAACAGATAACTTGCATAAGTGTGACCTACCCATGCCAGAAACTGTTCCAAAGCAAAGAAACTCATTCTTGTACATAAAAGTCATGGAGTCTAGGGGAATGGTTGCTATCATAACAGGTAAGGGCTCCTGGCTCTTCCTCTGACAACTGGAGGAGAAACAAAAAAGAAGCATCTAATAACAAGAAATCTAGGCGGTGTTTCTGGCATTGGACTTGCCATTACCCGACTTGTTGCCAGTGCGCCAGGTACACACGTATACCTTCTCGACCTCAATGTGACTACCGGATCGAAAGCGATAAACCAATTAAGAACAGAGTTTCCTGAGTCAACCTTTTCTTTCCAGGAATGCAATGTTGCATCTTGGGAATGTCAGCTTGCTGCTTTCGATCAGGCTTACGCAGAACATGGCCGTATTGACTTGGTCGTGGCGAATGCGGGTATTTCCGAACAAGAGTCTCTCGCCAAAGTCCAAGGAATGGCGATACAAAAGCCCAATCTTAGCGTCATCGATGTCAATATTTCGGGGACGATCTATTGTGAGTTATTATGGCGCATCTCCCTCTCTATATATACTGACTCGTATACTTAGCTGTCAAGCTTGGGATCCACTACTTGGCCAAGAACAAGCCCACCAAACGCTCTGGAATCGATAGCCGGGGTAGCATCATCTGCACAGCATCCTGCGCTGGTATCTATCCTTTTCCCACCGCGCCACTTTATGCTGCGTCTAAGCACGCTGTTGTGGGCCTTGTACGCTCACTTGCACGCTCACTTGCAGAAGAGGATCTACAAATTCAAATAAACGCTATCGCACCTGGTCCTGTAAAGACTGGGCTTTCTCAGGACTCAACATATTATGACATGCTCGCGGTAACCCCTATGGAAACTGTGCTAAAGGCCACTGCGACCTTTATCAATGATGCAAGTCTGTCTGGTCAAATAGCGGAATTACACAAGGAAAGCATCACCTACCAGGCTGCACCGCCGTTTCAGCACGACGAAACCAGACAGAACATCGAAACCTATTGGAAGCTTGGAAATGTATAATTGCATTCCTCGGTTCCACATGTCATATCAGTCAGCGTGTATCACTGGACAATGAAAGCTTCCCAAAAAATCACTTATCCCAAGGCGTGGTCTAACCATCTTTTCACAACCATGCCAACACTTTTCTGCGAGTTCGAGAACCTCGTGTACAGGTACTGAGATTTCAACATATATGGTATAGAATATGTATTTAGAAAAGGGAGACACCGATGCATTTCAAGTGGTATAAACGCTTTCCCGTGGATTCTGGTTCTTACTACGTGACAAAAGAGTATAGGTCCCAAAGACAGCCATCCTTCGCCTTTCATATCTCGTAATACTATCTTGAAGTCTTTTCACTTCACCACCCATACTACAAGACATCTTACAAGGTGTTTTGTGTTGGACAATATACCTCAGAATAGTTACGATTGCAGACGTTAATCTGTCAACTCTATGGCGCGCGTGTGGTTGGTCCGTTGATATATTTCAATTCCGCAGGACAGCCATCAGCACGACGAAAAGTGTAACAGTATAACAAAAATTGATATTCTACAATATTCATTCACTACACTTTCTCTGGGTAGATAACGATTTAATTCTACGGGGCTGAATTTAGTGTACTTGTTCTTTTTCGGAATGAATACTGATTGTTATCTCAGTCTAACAAGTTGATTCGCCACAGCAGTACTTGGCGATATTAGACCTATTCTATCTCTGGTTAAGCTCCTTAATTATAGAAGAACTAGGAGAGTCCTCATACCTAGGCAGGATTATGCAGAATAGAGCAACTGACAGATCCTCTAAGGAGCTCGACCTTTGCGTAAGTTATTAGCATGGTACGTAAAGGTCATAGCCCCCGTTGGTCGCTGGAAGGCTGGAATGGAAAACAGCTCAGCCGGGACATATCCTCTGGGTCAAGTTGTAGAGTAGTCGGTTCTAATATATTGGGAAAGCTCGCCGTATTTGTATGGGAATATGACATCACGGAAGAAGACAGAGGAGGGGAAAACGGGTGGGTATTGTTTGGGAGTCCGAGTTCGAAATCGAGAACTTGGCGGTCGCGTAGTGCATGAGGCTCTTGCGCATAGTAAGGCATCTGCGTACTTTCCTCGCTTTCTTGGTCATTGGCTTGTGCTACGGCCGAACCTCGTTCATGACTCGGCTTCTGGGGGTGAGAGCTATGTGGTCGTTGGTACTGGTGGGGAAGATGGCGTCCATTGTGAGCAATTCGTTGACACGACATGTGGTCTTGCCGCTGGCTCAGATGCGGCACTTGGCCAAATAGCACATTGAGTGCTGTTGCACATCGTGTGGCTTGCTTGGTTAAGGGGGCTAAGAACTGGAATATATCCATTGCTGCACCCCAGGTACGTATGATAACCTCCTCGCCGATTTCTTGGTTCACTGCTGCATGTAGCCGAGCCGCTACTAGGACTGTCGCGGCAGTATAGAGATAAAACACACAATACCACCACGCAGGTAGTGCCTCATCCACTTCTTCCTGGGTCTTTCCTTCAAACTGGGACTGGAGGAACTGAACTGTCGCCAGAGCTGCCCTAGTGCATGAAATGCAGCACTGGAACGCGAGCTTCGATGGCAATGCGTCTTCAAGAGAACTAGTTTCATCGGAACTGCTAGCCTTGGAACACAATCGGGACATGACTGGCCGGTATAGAAGGATTCTAACATGACAATACCTCAGCCAAAGCGTATTAGTCTGTCGCAGGCTTGCTGCATCTCTCTTGAATGCTGGGTCGTACCTAAGATGAATAGGCAAGTCTCGCTTCCATGAAGAGAGCTTGCTATCCATCTCCAGGATGTTACCAGCCACTCTGGGCCCAGAGCTCCCAAAATAAACATTGTAATAGTCCTCACTTGTCCCTAGTTTGTCTTCACTATTTTCCTTTCGCCCGGATGACGCCACACCGTATACGGTGTGAAGCACAGCGCTGGTGAGCTCGTAGAGCTTAAGGGATTCAATAAAAAAATGAGTATCAAGATCAGTGGCGGTCTGTTGATGCGGGATGGTGTAACAGGTACAAATGGCAGAGTTTGGGTGGGCTACTGGATAGGGTATCTCAGTGGCAGCTAGGGATGTGATCATAAATGGTCGCCCGAAGGTCATTGAGAGTGCTCTATCCATCAGAACACAGCCATGCCACACTTTCCTAATCAGGTTTTGATTAGAGGACGTCTGTACGCTCGTTGATGGTACGTCCAGGCACAGGCTTTGCGCCATACGAATCGCGAAGCCGACAAACGTCCAACATTCCTGCGCATCATCTGTACTCCGGAGGTACTCAGCGAGCAAGAGGAAGCATTGAACTGTGGGAATGGATCGATGGCGTATCAAGTCTAGTGTGACCAAATCCCTGGCCCTCTTATAGAATTCCACGCCCTGGGTCTCTCGGTCTTGCGGCCTCGTCGACGAATCCAGCAAACATGCGATGCTGAAACAAGTATTCAGAAGGCAGGTAAACACTCTGCTCTCGATGCCTAGATCTTCCCCCCTCCATATGCTGTGGTAGGTTGCCTCAAAGTCGTCCTTATCCAAGAATGGATACAGGGGGTCCACCAGGCGCCAGTAGCATCGCAGCAGATGATCCGCTCTCTGCCGTGATGGGAGAGTATACTCGAAAGTCTGGAGACGTTCTTTCATCTGGGCCGCCGGGATCAGTGGCAGCGATGCCACCGATGTTGTGGACCGACCATGAGAAGAGGCGGGAGAAATTTGCCGATCAATTATGTTCCTGATCTGGTTCACGAAACTCCGCGCACTCGAGTCTCCGAAGTTGTTTGACATGCTTCGGTGGGTATCTTCTACTAGGCCCATCATTGCATTTGCCTCTGCATTACATTCGTTGCTTGATGGAGGCAGAGTGGCTGGTTTGTCCACATTCCGTCTCGCATCTTGTGCAGCTTCTTCTAGCTCGTGGACTCGACGTTGCAATGATAATAGTTCATCATGGGCAATCCCAGGGCCACGTCCCCTCCGTACTACCCAGGTACATGTAGAACGCTGCCCGAATCGTTTTAAACAGGGCTCGCATACTGGAGAATCAGATGTGGATCAGCATCCTGCGGCTCCTCTCTCCCGACACTATCGACCGGGATTTTCGGAAGACTTACCGGGTCGATTGCCGTCACATTTCACTTTCCTCAATCGGCATTCCTCGCACGCGGCCGACGCCCGGTGTCTTTTACGGGGCCGCTTGTCCTCATTGGCATAGTCTAGTGGCACCTCTGTCGCGACGCGTGGGTTTGCCCTATGGGACAGCGACACGTTCATTGTGGGTATATGACCACATGCCTCCGTGCTTGGAAGAAGGAACGAGGGCAAGGGAAACAGGATGAACTTTAAGGCGCCAATAATGTCATTACTGGAAAGACGGTGGTAGGGGCGCAAGAGAAGGGGGGGGAAGCTCCTCGAAATTAGTTAACTCCCCGCAGCTGAGTAAGAGGGACGTGGGGGATATGCAGGTGTACAGAAGTGTTCCCCAGAAGCTGCTATGTCGTAGCCACGACTTGAGTTCGACTTGTTACGCTAATGGCAAAGCTAAAAATCCAAATGAGTTCTGCCTCGGTAAACTGAAATGGGGCAGGTCCAGCATTGAGGTGGAGAGTATCCCGGGAAAGGTGGTGCTAGTCACAGTAACTAAGGGCTGTCGTTAGTTAAGTTTAATTTGGTAACTAGTTACGGTCCCAAAGACTTGGTCATCAGGTTCACGAACTCGCCATCGGCGCTTGGCTACTGTCGTTACTTTGTCTAGAGAAATTAATGGATCATCATAATAATAATAATAATGGCCCCGCAGACAACGTTCCAAAGTACTAATGTACTGTATCACGATTCAGGCCCTTCTTTCGTCATTGACCAACAAGAGCAACGGAAATTCTGCCGAGGCTCCGAATCTCCGCATCTCCGCATCACTGGCCAGACCCCCACACTTCGGACTTCAACTTCTCTCTTCCGAACGCACCGGCTTCCGAAGCCGTTTAATACCCGGTGACGGTGCTTCATCTTTCCCATTCTTCAGGCGGCTTTGGATTAACATTCTTTTTCGTTTGGCGTCAGATTTTGCTCGATGTTTGAGTGTTTTGACTGTGGAAAGAAATATGTGCGCCGGAACTCCCTTTTGCGCCATTTCCAGACTCATCAGAAGACAAAGAGACATACCTGCAAGGAATGTAATGTGGCTTTCTACCGGCAAGACTTGCTGTCACGCCACATGAAGCTGCATGCTCAATCAATCCCGAATGGGCGAGCCGGCTCTGACGATTCTGGCTCACGAAATGGCCAGGACGGGAGCCGTAAACGATGTCATACAGCTTGTACTCGATGCCGCAGTTTGAGGATTAAGTGTAGTGGGACATTTCCATGCGGACGTTGCTTGAGTGCATCCCGACGGTGTAACTACAAGCACTCCACTGGACGAGTCAGCCACCCCCTGAGTGAGCCCGATGCCACTCCTTTCGACTCGGCGGTAAATTATCCCCCGGACCCCAGGAATGACGAGGTTCTATCGCTTGATAGGCCCCCAAGTCAAACTCAGATACACAAAGGGCTGCCGACGCCGAACAGCGTGCCACCTGCTTCCGTCGTTCACACAGACCGACCGTTAGACACTTTGTCTGCCGAGCTCGAAGCTCCTGGGATCCCTCCCTTTCATAATGTCTTGGCTGTGGACAACAATAGTATCTCGCAATCGAAGGCAGCCGTTGATCAACCAGATTCCTGTGCTGATTCCCAGGTTTTTGATTTCGATGCTATTTCATGGCCGTTACTACATGAGAGTCTCGAGCTAGCCACAGAGTTTGATTTTACAACAACCAGCTCTATGTTTGGTCTGCAGCCGGCTCAATCAGAGCCAATCTCCCCTCAAGTACTCCTGGAGGAGGGGGGGTCCGAAACACCTGACTCTCCGATGGGAGCAAATATAACGCCATGGACTTCATATATTGAGTCGGGATTGGATGGCCATTCGAGAGGTATACTTACCACTTCACTCTTTTCCCTATTGATATTTTCCGTCTCCCAATGCCCTCAAGGCGCTTGTCTAATTCCTTCTCCTTCTCCTTCTTCTTATCGTTGTTGTTCTAACGAAAACAGACTATATGACTAGCGCCACCTTAGATTGCCCTTCTCCTCAACAGACTGTCCAGGACCTTATCGCCTATGGAATGAGACAGCAACAGAAGACTGGTCGGATCAATGTGGCTATAGATCATTCCTCCTTTTGGCACGATATGTCACCGCAGGTTGCAAGTGCATTCCGGATTTCCTGTTTCCGTGACCAGTCCAATTTACTCCACCGCCTTATCGACTTGTACTTCGACAACTTCGAGCCTTTGTGGCCTCTTTTCAGCCCCCAGGACCTACAAATTAACCGGATGCATCCGCTTTTGTTCCTTGTGCTAACCTCCATTGGGGCCATGTACGGAGACAAAGCCTGCAGCCAGTATGGAATGCTCATGCATAATCAAATCCGAATTTGCCTGGTGCAGCCACTAGAGCTCGACGACACAGATGGCGATTTTCTTTGGCTAATGCAAGCTCGATCGCATACAATGGGGGCAGCGTTGTACTTTGGACAACCCAAAGCGTTCTCATTTGCCCAACACCTCGGTGCCCTGCTAGTAGGCCAAGCTAGACGAATGGATCTCTTCACGTCTACAGACTCTTGTCTACGTCGTTTGTATCAACCAGGAAGCTCAATATCTGATACTGATCGGCAAGCACTATGGCTTCATGTGGAAGGTAAGCGGAGAGTGGCGTTCGCCGTCTTCCGCGCCGAAACCTACACAAGTGTCCTCCTTCAAAGAAAGCCACTGCTTACAATGAAAGACATCAACTTGATGTTGCCATCCTGTGATACTGTCTGGGCGAGCGAGAGGCTTCCTGCTCATCTTTGCCTTCAGATGATTAAGCATGATCGAACTCCCAGTCGCCATCTGAAAGCATCCGATCTTATACATATTGCACTTGATCAAGCTGAACCACTTCCACCTCTTGATCCTACTGCTTTTGAACTGCTTTTACTAGGCCTGCAGTCCTGCATTTGGAGGTTTGCCTCAGACCCTGGCCTGTTTAATCGACTGACGGGGAGAACAAGACACGGGGAGACATGTAACAGTTCGCCCCAGGATCTTGATGTCTCATCCACAACACAACATGTACATCTGGGAGGCCCAGTGGACGATCGACTTCTACCGGAGACTCTTGATCCATCAGAAGTCGATCATTTGGAAAGCACATCTCGAAAAATGCGCGACCTGTCTCACGACCACACTCGGCTATTATTCGCGTTGCAAAAATGCGAGTCTTCACTTCCTTTAGTAAAGGCTTTCGTTCACTCAGACCGTGATCGCACGTACTTGATGAGTGGCTTGGTTCTTCTTCATCTTGGACATCTGTTGTTATCTGCACCAGTAAACAGCCTCCACCAAATCCAGTACGTTCTTGCAGATGGCAAGACTCCCGACAACGAGCTCCTAGGATCAGCCTGCCAGTGGGCAAACTCACCGCAAGCCATTTTGGCGGCGAAAAGGGCTATTTCCATTTGGTCGCTGATCGCGAATACCTCATTAGAGCGGGATGGTCAAATCCTCAAATTCAATCTCGTGGCCATTTTAGGACTGCACCATGCCGTTGTTGTTCTTTGGGCGTTCGCTGGGGCATGTAAGGCTGCTAACACGGCGACTGAGGGTGTATCTGCATTATCTCTACATGCCACTCAGTCGCCCGCCAACTTGCCGATTCTGGTAAACCGAGAAAATACACCGAGGATAATCCACTGCTTTATACGGGCTTATGGTTTAATCAGCTCATCCCGGTGGTCTTCGTTTTCCAGAGTAGCGCAAACCTTAGCGCTGCTGACTTTTCCTAGCAACGGGAATCAGTAACCCTTCGCGGCTGAATCATTGCTGGAGGTTCGCCGGAGTACATTGAAGGTTTATACTAACGGACGTCCGGTGATCTAAGACCATGGCAGTACATGTACCTCGTCGCCGGGATTTTTATTATTCTCTGGTCTTTCCTTCTTCTCTTGTACTTCCCTCCCTCCAGACCCTATCCGTGCGACAGAATACACCGATCGAGAGAGAAATACAGCAGTGACTCGTCTTCAGCCAAATAATTCCGGAGTTCGAAATACGCATTTTGAAAAGGAACATCTCTTTGAACTCTTACTTGATATCAAATTCTGGATTTTGTTTGCCATTGCATTCCTCGGCATGATTCCGAACGCGCCTGGGTCCACCTTCATCCCGATAATTATCAACGGTTTCGGATCCAGTACGTTGAACAGCCCGCTTTGATACATTCCGTATGGCTTCATCTCAGGAATGGCAACCTTTGTTGTCACGTACCTGGCATACAGAGTGCCTAAGCTGCGATTTTATATCATATTTCTGGGTCATCTCACGACTGTTATATCATCTCTACTTCTCTAGCGTTTGCCACGGTCTGAAAATGGATGGCTGCTCTTTAGCTGCTACATATTACCCTTCTGGGGATTGAGATTTGCTCTTATTATGGGGTAAAATCTCTACGCCTGAAAAGTCGCGATGCTCAAAAAATGCATGATATTTTACTAACACTGCATATCGTCCGCAGGCTGTCTACAGCGAATACTGCAGGTTACACGAAGCGTTCACTTGCTTCGTCGGGTTTATTTCTGGGATACTGCATCGGTAACTTTGTTGCGCCTCTGTTATTCAAGTCAGCGGATGCCCCGGAATATGCTTCTGGTTTCATCGCTGTTGAGTCCTGCTCCGTCGCTGCGGGGCCCTTGACCATTATATACCGGCTCGTTTGCGTCTGGGAAAAAGAGCCATCGGAGGGATCAGGCTGGTGTGATGGAGGCGTTTGATCACGCCTACGACGACGATTCGACAGGTTTGAAAAATAAGCATTTTCGTTACACATACTGATCGCGATAGGAGTTGTGGGATATCATATAGACAAGGGACGACGCCCGGTAATGATGTCGAATGTCTGGGGCGAACTGATCATTTGTGTGAGGCTGGAAGATTGGAAGCCAATTTACTCAAGGAGAAATTCCAGTAAATCTTCCGAATCGAACATTGTGTATAAAGGCCACTTACATGACCTCCACCTCCTATCTGATATACGTCAGTAAAGAATATTACACGAGCTACAGAGCAATAACCCCATCGGCCAGCCTCTTAGTTCCGAGTGCGCAATCATAAATGACGTTTTAATTTCCGAATCGAGCATCATCTCTTCTCTACAACATCGATCACTTCCTCGCTCATTTCATGCTCTTAGAATCTAGACAGGGCTCTGGGCAGCTACGTGAATGGCCGTTTACTCGTGGCGTGTGGTAGTCAAAAACTGCACGCCGTGTGTGGATAAGTTCCTGGAAATCACTTTCCACATTGCGTAGAGGTAGCAGTTTCTCAGGCATTCGAATTTTTCGGGAGGTCTGTCAATACCAGGATTGGTGACTGGTAAAATATTACCCAGGTCAATGCTAAAACATATACAAAAAGTTCAAGCTTATTGGACGCCAAGTCTTTGGGAGAAAGCAAAGTCGGAGTTCCCGAAATTTCCGCCATTTTCCCCCCACCCGTAATGCGGGGAGGACTGCTGCCACTTTAGCCGCGCGCCACTATATCCCAAAATCCCGCACAGCTGGACGGACGTGCTGAGACTAGTACATACATAATCTGATCGAACTCCCCCGATCCCCGATATATTATGAGAACAGTGAAAATGGGGAATCCAACGCAGGGTCTACTATATGTAGCCTCCAGGATTAGATCTCTAGCGCGAATATCACCAGATGTGTATAACGCCTGGTACGATGAGATCCATGTGCCTCATGTTCTGGAGACCCCTGGAATCAAACAAGCATTTCGTTATGAGTCTACTGCAACCTCACTCGACAGCACACCGTGGCCATTTCTTGCTCTCTACCCGATTCAAGATATTCAGGTTTTTAACACTGAGGAATTTACAAGCATTCCGTTGTGCAGTGATGCGCTACCTGGGCCGACGCACAGTTGCCTGGATATAGCCGAGTTTGATAACAGGCGATATCGATTGGTGGGGAAGATACAAGACGCCGACACGTACATACCAATAGGTTAGTTTACAAAGAAGAGCATGCGATCCACTTGACTGATGGGGTTGGCTAGGTTCGAAATCACATCTCCTACTCGTGGAATTTGACCTACCTTCACAAATTGATGGCTCTGACGATCAGGCTACACTGGACTGGTTCAGTGATATATATAGTGGCAATGTATATCAATGGGTCAGCATTTACAAGATCTTCTGGTCTAGCTTGTACAAAGACGAGCAGCTGGCAGACCTGCCAGCTTACCTGGCTTTGGTAAGCTCACCCCGCGCCAATTTCTGGTGGTTCACCTTCCGTCCTTTTGACTTTGACTAATATAAATTTCATAGCTTCAATTAAACGGTGACAAGAATACATATCAACAAGCTAGCCAGGAACTTCAGGAACTTCAGTTTGCTGCAAAAGTTGACCAGTGGAAACTACGAAGGGCATTCCATTGCTGACTGTGTACAAGCCGGTGGACTTTACTCAGATGGGCACTTCGTTGTGATAAGTCAACCGGGACTATATTTTGGCGGTGTACACAGATGGCAATGGGTTTCGAAATGGCGTGGTTCCGGCTCCGGTCCAAAGTCAAGAATCTCGAACCCTGATTGCAGAATTTTGCGAAGAATTTCTCTTTTTAGAGGACTTAAGGCAATAACGTTAACTGAGGTTGATTATTGCCTGTTACAGCCTTATCTCTGAGCTAGTACCCAAATATAGTAGAACATTAAACCTCATATTGTAGCTACACTACTGTTTTTCGTTTCCATTTAATTGCCTCCGTTGATCAACCCATTTATACTTTTTTACTGTTAGCGAATGATTTCCTTTCATGCTGCTTGATCGCGTTTGACCCGAGACTTTCAAGTCATTGGAATCGAAATACCTTAGCGTACTAGTTCGTCCTCACCTCTCGCTGCATGACCGGAATCATTAGCAATGGTACTCGGCGACCTTGTCAAGCCTACCAGCCGTTAGATTACCCAATACAGCATCAGGATTTTGAATCTTCACCGTTATTGGCTCATTGCTAGTCTGCTCTGTTGTTGTACCTGACAGCACCGCTAAATTTTCCATTTCGGGGCTAATTCTGGACTGACGAACCTTGCGCTCTTCAATTCTCGCCTGTCCGAAATAGCGACTTCTAAAGGTTCCCCTAGACGACGCATCATGCAGCGCTAAGAATTCAATGTTGAGAGAGTTGGATGTTTTCCCTCTTCTGCTGAAACATAAGAGGTCATTTAGCCAGGCGGGTTATGGATTAGGGGAGAAGTTTTCCGCCGGCCGCGTGGTTGCATGCCGGCCGGAGAGACAAGGCATCCCTGACCCACGCGGGCTTAGGATAGAATAGGTTCAGGATTTCAGGGCGGGTTGTACATGTCTAGGTTAGGCTTCATCAGAACCAACACAACCCGCACCCAACCCAAAATAGGTTTGGGGTTAATTTCCCTGAACTAATACTAGGTTTTAGGTTATTCTTAATAATAGGTAACCTATTAGTAGACATGCATAACCCAGCCCGACCACGAACGGGTAGAACCCGCAGAAACCGAAATAATGTCATATCTCTTAAATAGGACTCTTTTCTATCATCTTTGTACAGATTATAGCATATTAATATTTGAATATCCTATTATCTCTAATTAGAATCTTAAATATTTATTATTAGATTAATTAAGGTTTTGGAAGATATCTTAACACCTAGATCCAAAACATATATTCTGACATAGAACCACCATAGACCGCCCAAAACCATTCTATATTAGATATATCAACATTTAAAATACCGCTATTTTTAGATGAATTTCGGGCTCTATACCCCAAAAGATGATCCTAAACCCTTAGTAGACCACTGCCTAGTTTAAGAACTTCGGGTAGAACCCGCTTCGGACCTGCACAGTCGGGTTCTGATTGGTTAAACATACGTAGGGTCATTGAAGGGCTAGGGAGTAGATCGCAGCGATGGCGGGTCGCCGTAAGGACAAACTTGACTGCGGGAGCCCATCAACACAAGAAATATATTTCTATGGTTATCACTGTAGAGGTCGAGAATATATACACAAGATAATGGAAGTGTACTTTCACTCAACCCTCTTCAAAGACCAAATAATCCGTGCTTCATGGTGATAAGCCCTTCGGCTTCAATACTGGGCGCTCCTCAACAATGAATCGCATGCTAGAACCACATAGGAATTTCCGTTCGTCCTGTCGAATAGTCTCCAAATAGTCTGGTAGGTTGAACGCGGTTTCCAAATCTTCGATTGAGTCGAAGTAAAGTTCAACAACTCCAGAAAAAGTCTCAGAACTTCCCTCCTCACTCATTGCTCGATGCAGTTTGAGCAACCCATGATGCTGGACATATCGCCGAACGAGCTTGTAGAATGACTCGACACTCTTAACTAGGGGTGCGTGTTGAGTAAGCCAATAGCTAAGAAAAGTCTCTTGGTCCAGACTCTCTGATCGGCGCAAGAATGACAGGTATTTTACCCCAGATGTTGGGCCATCCTTGATGATGTGTTCCGTGCCATATATCGAGGTACAAGAATGTATAGAAAGGAATTTCAACTCATCCTCTCGCACGATAGTCAAATAGGAGGGATCCGTGAAAAAGTCCTGTCTGTTCATGTCGTCCCGAGGGGTCTGATATGTCTTGGCAATGCCATCAAATGGCACGTCCGCATCGCCGGCCAGCGAGGCCGGCATTGGCAGAAGGTGGTTCTGTACATAGGATTCGCTGTATTTCCAGAACGCCGGCAGAGAGGCGAGTACATGAGCGTGTGTAGTATGCCAATGTTCGTTATACTCGTCGTGGGTAAGATCTGACCGTCTTTTCAACAAGGTAAACTTCGAGATGCGAGTCGCCATTATGATCGTGTATCTCGTGATGCCAATGGGTGAAGATTATCCTTGCGTGGAGGATGGGTTTATATAGCTCAATTCCGTTGGCCACTCTGTCACACCGAAGGTACAAAGCACAAAATCAATTTTGACCCTCTCAATGAAAGAAATCTCATTGTGCCAAGCCAGCAGTCGCGGCGGTTAAAGTGGCGGCTTGCCTGGAGTGAGGAAATAAAACTGATTGTCTCTCAATGGAAGCCGCTCCGTGGCTGCAGGCCGGTAGTCACGGCGGTTAAAGTGGCGGTTGGCTGGACCGACTGCGATGGTCTGCTCGGGGTGGAGAACTCAGTTTTGCGTCACTTATTGGATTACTCGTAAGTATTTCCAGTCAAGCTCGACCATCGAGGTCGATCCCGGACAAGACTGTCCCAGGATAATGGAAAAGTCGATACCGAGTCTGGCGCGAGATCATCTAATCATTTAGTCGCCTTTCTTCCAGGGACCCCTCATAGTTTTGTTGCTTTTCTGGTCAGTGTCGGTGCCATCTGGAATACTGGTCGCAGGACTGATGTGCCTCGGACCTCGGAAAGTAACCAATGCAGGGCAACGCACCACATAATTCGGCCAGCTAAAGCCCTGCTTTCTGCTGTAGACACTGCCTGGCTTCTTGAGTCATCGGCAAATAAGCACTCGTACCTTGGTTGTTCGACCTGTTGTAGTTGACGATGGATTCGCACGTGCAACTCCACAGCTTTAACAGCGTCTTTCGCTTAGATTGAAAGGTGGCTCTGGTCATTGGCAGCTCACGACCTAGGCCTCGCATTGTATGCAGCAATTGGGTAGATGCTTTCCCAGCCATGATATAGCTCTACTCAATGCTGGTCGGCTGTTCAGTCTACTCGAATCAGGACATTATCAAGTTTATATTGTCTCACGTAGTGCGAAGGTTTATGGGGAAATAGGCTTATCCGATAGCGATTTCAGTTGAAACAACAAATAAATAATGCAGAAAAGGGCTGGCATGATCCATTCGAAACTCATCTGAAGCACGCGTTCAAGAAAGTGGTGATCCTGAATCTGACTTCCGTTTTCTTCAACGCACAGGCGTTTGCTCCTTGACTCTACAAAAACCGCGTCATTGGGTAATTCGGCGAGTATCATAGTGACTGGTAACGTCACTGGGCTGGGATTGGAACTCGGGTAATTCATGGCGCCGCTGGTAGTACCCCGAGGCTCGCAAGAAAATACTAATTAGGAATAGCGGCGATATGCAGACTATCTTGGGAGTGACGACAAAGAGAGTCCTCCAAAGGTATACTGCATATTATTATGGCGCGAGAACTGGAAGATAGGAAACCGAGGTCTACGTGTTTAGTGATCTTAGTAGCAGATCCTCGGCCTTGCATTAAAGATAAAGGGCAGCACAATTCCAGGTTATTTTCCCTTATCAATTATTATCTTTGTCTCGATTTGATTGCCTCGAAATGTTGTCAGCCGCCCCAGTTCAAGTTCAAAGGTCAAACACCGACATAATGGAACAAGACAAGAAAGCGAACAATGACTTTGTGCCTGTGTACAAAAGAACTGTTCAAGTGATAGTGATATCGATGGTTATTTTCTTTGCTCCGTTATCATTCACATACTTCTTTGATGAGACACATACGTCCAACCTGAGCGACAAAGTTCTGGCCATCCTAGTGAACCCTGAATTTGCGTATGGGGAGGGCTCCGCGACTTTATCTGATATCAACGGAGGTCAAATGCGAATATTTCTGCGAAATCTTACTGCGATGGTCTCTCACACGATTGCTGGTTCTATAGCCATCGTCCTTGGCCTGCCCCAATTCAACACGACCCTGCAGTTCAGATACCCTGCGATCCATCGGTTTCTCGGGAGGCTATATATCCTATGCGCCTTAACAATCTCCTGGTCTTCAAGGACCTTCTTAGCGGATGCTATGCCAAAACATGAGGTTTTCTCCGGGGACCTCTTTGCATATATGCTATGGTCGTTATCACATGGTGTCCTGGGGACACTTGCCCTTGCAATATATGCCATTTGGAACCGCGACATTGGCTCTCATCGAGAATTCATGGTCCTGAATTATGCATTCATGCTGTCAGCACCAGTTCTGAGAGTTGCATGGGTGATACTGGGCCAACTTTGGGGGGAAACAAAATACATCATCAACTTATATTCCTCTATATTCAGTGGGCCATTCTTGGTCGCTGCCTCCATATTCTACCTTCGTCAACAGCATGTGCGCCCTTCGAGTTCGCTTCTCATCAGCTCGAAATTCCGCCTGGCAGCGATAGCATCCGGACTGCTCGGTCTCCTGTTCCAGATAACTAAGGGCCCAAGCTTCAACGGAGGACCTTATCCAAAGGCGTTTTTGTTGGCACTAGGTCCTCAACTGGCTTGTTATATATTATTATTTGCAACACTCGCTCGTGCTGCGAAGCGTCGCGGCGACATGGGATCGTATACAGCTTGGATAACCTACCAAAATGGGCTGATTAGCGCACCTATGTGGAGTGTGCTTTCCCTGTATGTCGCTCGTGATATCCTGCGTTGTTCTGAGGAGAGTTTATGGATGATCACAGTGACGGAAGGCTTTTCGCAAGGACTATTTAGCTCATTTGTTATTTATGTGCTTGCAACTTCGAAACTGGCCAACGCACGCCGTCACACTGTAAAGGCTGATTAAGTCAAGTGCTATGGATCAGGCTTATCCCCCATATCCTGCCGTTTAGCATGTCATGATATTGGATTTACCTTTCGATAAACTGAATTATCGATTAGATATATAGTGAAGAAAGAGAAGTTACAGACCCCTGGAAAGGTCAATATCCATAACCACCGGAGTATACTGGAGGCAACATAATTAGGGTCAAAGCAGTACTAGAAGCATATAACCTTATAAGATCAGACCAATAATAACGACTATATAAATAAGAGGAGTTTCTAGAAATATAAATACATATTGAATTATTCTACTATTTTTTGATTAGAACTTAAAAAATTGAAAATCAATAAATCTTATGTAAGTTGACAATGCAATTTCTATCCTCATATAGCGTTGAATATGCTAGCTTGAGGGGCCTAGATGCTTCGGCAGGCAAAGATTATCCTCTCAATTTCGTTGTACCATGCAAGATCTTATTATTATTATTTTTGTACTATTTCACATTCGAGATACTCACCCATATTTACCGTCCCCTTCTCATTCTCAGATGTCTTTCATTCAGTACCACTTTACATCAACCCATCAATATCTCCTGTAATCCTATCAGTAAATCATTTTTACAATGTCATGCATACAGTATCATTTGTATCCAAACGGTACCAAGAGAAAATTAAATTTATTTAATCTCTTTTTCATATGATTCGCAAATCTGTCAAAGCGCCTACAGAGGTGGAGATAACACTCCGCTAGCCAACAAGAGTACAAGAAATTAGAAGTATCAAGTACAGGGGTACACATGATTGATGCGCCGCCGGCCGTCGCCAGCACCAAAATAAATCCTCTGAGTCGTACTTTTGATCAGCGGCGTTGATTATAGCGATCACCAATCCAGTTCGAACTACTTCCACTTCGGATCATACGCATCTTGCGGCTTTTATGTCCGTAGGCTGCTACCTGATGCCTTCTATGATATCTCTATAGCGTCGTCGGCTCTCTCTAGAAGGACAATGCAAGTTCTCTTCCTCTTTCTCCCCTGCGCACTGCCTTTGTTGTTCCCCCCCCCCCCCCACCCACCTTTCCTTCGCCCACCATTTTCATCAACAGAGTCGCCAACGGGTTTAGCCATCGGTGATCATTGTTCCATTAGCTTTTGGGCTGTTCATGGAACCCTGTGAAACCTATGCCTGTGCAGTTGGGACAAATGAGTTTCACTAACAGTGTGATGGTGTCTGCTCTTATCTCCTCTTCCGCATACGATAAGTATAATGCCATTTCCTGGACTGAAAAATTCCTTATATTGAGGCAGAGTAGGAATGGAAGCAGGCGGACGGAGGAAGGCGGAATGAAGGAACGGCGATGTTCCACAAAAATAAAAGGATAACAAAGCAAAAGTGAATACATCCAACTGTACTAGCGTAGGGTTTATATGCTTAGAATATGGTGTGAGAAATAAGGTACGTATAGATAGACTTCACGTCTCTAGTCAAGCAACCTCTGCGAGTGCTCTGCCTAGCAAGTAGGAAATCTGCTTAGAGTATTCCAAAACAGCCCAGTTTGGAAAAAGTCCTTCTGGAGCTTCAGTGTGGATTGAGTCTTTAGAGAAATTTCTAGTGCATGTAGCCCAATACCCAAAATTTAAATCTAACAGAAACAACCAGCTAAAATACATCCTTTTCCCTTCCTTCAGTCTCTTTTATCTCGTCAACACGACCCCCCAGTTGGAACCCAAGTTTCTAGAAAAGCCTTCATACAGGCAGCGGCAGTGCAGGCAGCATAGGGTTGCCAGGCCTTGGTCTTATGCGAGTCTGCATAGTCGCTCACGCCCTTGATAATCACATGTGGTATGTTGTCAGAGACACCTGCACCCTCCATCTCAAAGGCAACAATACCCTCTTCTGTTGCAATAGTGTCGCGACGCGTGCCACTTCTCATCAATGTATCGCCGGACGCAATGGCACCAAAGTGCACACAAGGCCTGGGACGGATCTGCTCCAGTCGGCGACGCAAGACAACGATGTTGGAGTCCGGCTTATATAACACATCCTGTTCGGTGCCGGGATACTGATAGTCTTCCTTGAACTGAGAGTGACTTTGGAGAAAGCGAAGATGGGTATCCATAGCATGATGAAGTGACGCACGACCGCGGCGAGTTTTCAATTTGGCCATATGCGCACGAATCTCAGGACCGGGTCTGCCAAGCGAGTCGAGAAGCGTGTTCCTGCGGATGAACTGGTCCGGGTACTGTCGCCCAAAGTCGTACTGAACGATGCCATCACCGACGATTACATCGCCCAGTATGATCTCCTGGGCAGTATTTGTGAATGGAAGAGCCCCGCAGACACCTACTATGAAGGCAAGTTTCAGATTCGGGAAGCTCACTCGGCAATGAGCGGCAACTGCCGCAGCGTTTGCTTTTCCCATACCCGGCATGTGCACGAGTACGACGTTGTGCCTGCCAATTGCACCGCATGAATATGCATTAGGATCACTGGGATATTTGTCATATGGGGGACCGTTGTCATCCCAGTAATGGTCAAAGAGGGCATGAACTGCGTCTTGCTCGACTGTCAGGGCACAGATAATAGCAATTTCAAAGTCACTCCGTGAGGTGGGACGCGCAGGTGCAATCACAGGGAGTTGCGACACATTGCTTAACGTAGCAGCTTCAAGGCCGAGCTCAACTTGGTCCGAACTTTCGTGAGCTGCATGGCGCCGCACTCTTGCAACACGCGATGCTAGCTGGGCTCTCGGGATCGACACTGAATCGTGGTCTGGAATAGCGCGGAAATGAGGACCAGGGGCGAAATGCAGGTTTTCGAGACCCCTAATCAGCGAAGTTTCTGCTTGGATATAGTTAAAGGCATCACATTGGTATCTTAGGTGATCATCTGTAAGGTCCTCTTGCCATCTATAGAGAGATAATGTAAGCGACCATCGTCATATATACCCAGTGTTTTCGCGAGAGACTTCGGGGATCTCAGAGGGACATACTGATAGTGTCTTCTGGCATGCTCATTGGTGAGCTGAGAAAGGGCGTAACTCCGATCCATAGTAACTGGGCGATGGACATCATGATCGGCCACATTGTGCCAGTAGATTGGTTGTCTGGGTAATTGGATGGACGGGAGCGGCGGGGGAAATTGACCAGTGTGCCAGAGAGCAGCGGCCGTGTTGATTGGCACATAGTTCTGACCAGCATTTGGGATATAGTGCCGCATTCCAGTCGGTGTGCCGCAGGCACCTGCTGCCGAAAAGGGGACATTCAGGACGGGGTTTTCCCTGACATTTGCTGTGTTCCAGGGAGGTGCAACACCGTTCTGCATCAGCTGCGCTGATATAGAACTTGGTATTACATCTCCGCTTCGGTCCCTATATAAATTTGAATGCATGTTGACGAATGTCCGTTCCTGACGGTCGAGTGGAGTGACCGGAGGGTGTTCGTGGTAATATGTGTGATAATCGCCTCGTCCAAAGTTCCAGGGCCATGGCATGGTGAGAGAGCTAAACAAGAATATTACTTCAAAGTAACAGATGGAAGAGCAATGAAAACAATAGACAGAGATGGAGAGGGTGTTTGTTCTTCAGCCGGAAGAACACTTGGCTTGGGAGATGAGATTTTTATATATTTCCAATACATCGTGTCAAAATTTCGTCTGCGCACCGATGGGCTTGATGTATCTAGAAGGTCGGTGGGGGGGGGGCTTGAAAATCTTCAGAGTGACCAATTGGGAATGGGCCAATCAAAAGATCGTTTGATGACTCCATAAAAGCGCGGTGATGTGTTCAAGTGTGTCGGTGACTGGATCTTCTCCTAAGCCGCTGGCGTATACGTAGTTGTAGCCCATCTAACTGACTCCAAAATGTGCGACGAAATTATGTACCGAGTAGGTAGTTGCTGTTGATCTCCATGGCCGCGGCCTTGGTCTCTATGAGAACTTGGGAATCAGCCAATTAGGGCCACAGTATGATGGGAGGACTTGGAAAGCAACCAATGAGACCTAGTATCGGACAGCTGTCAAAGGATGAGTGAGAACTTCGAAATCAGCCAATAAGACCTATCGAAGAGCATGGCATGGGTGAGAACTTCGGAAGTGGCCAATGAGATCTTCTACATTCCTGCGCCGCACCTGCGGGCACGCCCCCGTGCGTGTGCGTTGGTCAGGTATGAAGTTGCCTGACGCACGACAAGGCTGAGGACGCTATGCATTCGCCGAGAAAAGCTGTGGAAAAGCAAAGTTGGGCCTTCACCTTTGGCGTTTAAGGCCTGTATATCCCCCGCAAGTCCTTATCATTAACATCCTCTCAAACCCCTGTGAATCTGTCAATCAAAATGGCCAACCAGCAATGGGATACATACAAGAGCGAGATAGAACGACTATACATTCACGAAAACCGAAAGCTGGAAGACGTAATGAGCTATATGGAAACTCAGCACTCGTGGAAAAAAAGGCAAGCACGCTTTACTAGGCTTCCTAACATCGCAGCTGACCAGAAATTCAGCAAGGCATCATACACTAGACAAATCAACAAGTGGGAATTCAGAAAACACTCGGAGTCTAGAAACGATGAATGGATTTCGAAACGAGTGGCCAAACGGAAGCGAGACGGAAAGGAGAGTGAGGTTTTTATAGACGGGCTTCAGCTTCATCCGAAGAAGATCAGCAAGGCGAAGTACGGAAAGGGCTTCGTGTCGACCATAGCGCAATATGGTAAGTTGAACCTCGGATCTCATCTGAACTCGAAAGTGACCAGTTTCCCAGCACCTTCACCAAAAACCCCGGAGGGCTATCTTGTAACAACACCACAAACAACGGGGATGTGCCTCTCGTGGGACAGCTCTTTGCCCTGGCTGCGGTTCAAGAGCTTCATTGACATTGATCCCCCAAAAGAGCAAGGTGAGATGCGTTTGACACACACACACACACACACACACACACACACACACACACACGAGCTTGGATGTTAATATAATCAAATTATCAGCACCTTTTTCGCCCTCCTCTTCTCTCTTTGTGGACTCGTCGCGCTCTGGCAACGTCACCAAAGGTGCCAGTTGCGAGTTGATGCAACGCTTGAGCTCAATCATACCCTGGACTAAACCTAAGCATCTTGAGAATATCTACAGTGGGTCACGTACATCAGCAGCTCTGAGTATTCTCATGCCAGAAATGGAGAAAGGGCAAATCGACAGATTGGGAACAAACCTGAGTACCTTGCGATCGGACCTTAGAGATCATTTGAGTGTCGTGTTGTACCTCATTTCCAATAACTTGATGTCCCCCGATAGTAATGTGTCGTTTGTAAAGGGGAAGGAACGTGATTCCAAATTAATCCTAGGACTGCTCAAAGATAGTGGTTGGGGTGATCTGGATCATCTCAGGATTTTGCTATCAACCCGTGAGCCCACCGCCGAATCTATCGCAGAAAAGGTGTTTGAAAGTGCACTCCGGACAAGTGATTTTGAGATCATTGAAAGCATGCTTCGGTCTGGCATGAACCCAGATGGATTGATTGAGGCATTGACAGAAGAAGTGGACGGCATCTGCTTCTTGACTCCTTTACAATTTGCTGCTGAGCAAGGGAGTCTTCCTCTTATTGATCTTCTGATCAAGTACGGTGCCGACGTGGAACATGGCTTTGCTGATGAGCTTGGTAAAACTGCTCTGTATTTTGCCATCACAAGCGCAAACTGTGCGGCCATTCGGGGACTCTTTCTGCGAGGTGCAAAAGTGACACGAGATTGTGCCCGTGCAGCTGGGGGACTTTTTCTTCAAGATCCGCAAGATTGCGATCTGATTGAGGAGATGGTAGAGGTCTACCTTAAGAAATATCTGGAAGCTGGAAACAATGATCCAGATCTTCTTGTTCCGGCGGTGATAACTGGAAATGAGTGGCTTATTGAGCTGTTCCTTGACCGAGGTGCAAAGTTGAATGGATTCATCACGTCAGGGGATTACATCGGACGTAAAGACCGGAAGTATTGCTTGCTAGGCCTTGCAGTCAGGGAGGGTGATGTTGGTATTGTCCGACTTTTGACTGGCCCTAGTGTTGGCCCAAACCAACTCCCTTCCTCGCTGCCCTATGTGTTTCCACTGACCCTAGCAGCTATGACCGGCGAAACTGAGATAGCTCAAATTTTAATTGATTCAGGCGCTGACGTCCGAGCTGCTGACGAGGGAGAAACTACCCTACTCGAGCATGCCGCTCAGAGGAGCGACTTTACTCTTTGCCAAATGTTGATCAAGCATGGTGCCAGGATTGACAGAGAGCCATGCGATGTGCAGAAGTCGCCATCAGCTCTTATGACTGCAATTAAGAAAGATGACGCGCACATAGTTGATCTTTTGATCAACTCAAACGCACGAACAAATGATCTCTTCGAAGTGGCTCCAGGTAGCGTCCTTGCAGCCGCTCTCGAAGTTGGAAATGATGCTGTGATCGACAAGCTAATGAACGCCGGTGCTAATTACTTTGGAATCAGAACGAGGAAAATCGGGAACCTGCAGACTGCCATCCTCATGCAAGAGAAAGAAGTCTTAACAGACGTCCTCCATCTATGCGGCCCTCGGATTCTTGCATCTGCTATACTAGCTGGACATGAAGGCCTAGCATACTTCTTGCTCCAGAACGCCGCTCATAAGGAGCACGAGCCTCGGCATACCTTCGCCACCTCAGGTCAGAAAACCCCCTTGGAGGCAGCCATCTTAATGAATAATGTGAAACTTGTACAAGCTCTTCTGGAGCGTGGTGTTGAAGTAACAGACCATGCTCTCACATATGCGATACATGAACATATCGGACTTCTACCAATGCTACTAAGAAACTTTTCGGGGAGTGCTCCAACAGCAGTGGCAGCTTCTTTGATGGAACCTTCAATGGCTACGCTAGAGCTACTTCGGGAGACAAACGTGGACTTTACAGGAGCACCTCAGCCACTCGCAACCAGATCGACGTCCTACACCTGGAGGAAATTGTGGGGGGATGACGTCAAATCGGTACTTGAATTGGCAGCTGGTTGGAATGCCAAAAGCACTCATCTCACATATCTTCTCGATTGGGCAGCCGCGGCTGGGATACCGTGGCACCCAACGCTTGTGTCCCGTGCTCTAACCAGGGCAATACTATCAGGGAATCATGACCAGCTGGAGGAGTTGATGCAACTTGACTTCGATTTGAGTTGCGATATATGGTGCGCAGAAGACCAATGTAATTATAGTCCTCTTCAAGCTGCTGTCCAAGCACAATTGGTGTGGGTCGTTCGTGAAATGTTGATGAAAGGAGCTGGTGTCAATTACTTGGGAGACGGTCCCTTCAGACGTACGCCGTTACAGATCGCTGTCGAGAATGGAAACATGGAGTTATTCAATATTCTCCTGCATCAAGGGGCTGATGTCAATGGCCCCGCTGCCGCGAAAGGTGGTGCGACCGCTTTACAAATTGCGGCCATAAACGGATTCATCGGCATTGCCCAGACGCTGCTTGACCTCGGCGCAGATGTCAATGGAAAACCTGCATTGTATCATGGGCGCACCGCTTTGATGGGCGCTGCCGAGCACGGACGAATTGATATGTTACACTTGCTGCTTGACCGAGGAGCACTCATTGTGGGTGAGCACCAATTCTCTTTTGATGAAGCCGTAAGGCTTGCGAAAAATAATGGCCACTATGCTGCAGCGAGACTATTGGTCTCTTTTAAGGACTCGCTTGTAGCAACCGGAGCATCGGTTGAGGATGAGGGTCATGATGAGTATAAGTATGAGGACGAGGACGAGGATTATGACAACTATGAGGACGAGTATGGTGACGAGTATGTGTTTGAGGATGGCTTTGAACAACCTGCCGAGGTCGCAGGGGTAAGTGACTCTTCCGCTGCAGTTAAACCTTTGGATACTTGCTTCAAGCAAGTCTCCAAAGAGAGCGCCACATGGCAACTAAACATCAGTCTGACTGCATGAACAGGACCTGGATGATTATACTCAAAACTGGTGGTAGTTCTTTACATTCAGACAATCATCTGTGTGTCAATATTACTTCATCGACTCCTGCGCTGTTTATTATGTGGAGACAAAGGTTTTCTTCCTTCAGAACTTCCAGCCTCTGCCAACTCTGGGTGCAACAGATGAAGACCGCGCTTTTACTGATGTCCTTTGGGCGACCATGGATCTCAGGATTGTGGCAATCAATGACGATATTTTTTGGGAAGGATTGTCCGTTGATGCACGTCCCGTCATCGACTTGGCTGATCTTGCTCTCTCCTGTCCTGTTGCAGGCGTCGCACATCCACCACAACTTAAAGCACATATTTGGCTGCTTTTTCTTATAATAATAGGCCCTATGCTCTACCAATTCCTACTGAAACATCAAATGCAATTCTTTTTTTCCATCGTACCTCCGCATATGCATACAGGCTGGAAACCCTCAAACGGGGTCGTCTCGCTCAATTCAGATTGAACAGAAATTGCCTTTCTTCAATTCAACCCGTTCTACTCTGAACATATCCGACGTGGGAGTTGTCCAATCCTTGTACGGCTCGATAAATTCAATCTTGGTGCGTTAGAGAACGGCTCGAGTCACCTTATAGGTGTCATGATCTTCCAGATTAATTGTGTGGTCGAACGTTGATACGCCTGTTCCTGTCATATTGTCCAAGTTCCAGTATGCAGTTACTCTGGGGCGCAATAGCGGTATTGTTTTTGAAGAGAAGAGAAGGACTACCTAGATGTTAGAACTTTCACGCTTACGGGAAGAGAGGGTTTATTGGCGCTTCTTGGTTTTTCATTTACTTCATTCACTCAGGTATGACTTCCTTGTATTCGAGTAGATGAACAAGGGCCTGAAGTGCCCTGAATAGGGAGACAAGCCACCTACGCAGTGCCTAGTTGCTTTAGAGGACCTCGGCCTATTCCCTCCTCTTTAGAGCATGAAATCTTAAGGCCTATATGATATGTTGCCGCTTAACAGCAAAGCAAGAACAAAAACAACACACATGCGCGCCTCCGAAAGCTCGAACCCTCCAGATTCATCCAATTGTTTCGCTCACCCAGAGACGCTTATATGAGATAGGATCTCGAAGCCGACATTGGTCCTGCCAAGCTACATCTGGCGGCCACTTCACTCCTCCCAGGTTCCTATACACAAACAAATCCCGCTCTCCAGCATCAGCCTGAGGCGTACGCCTCAGCCGAAACCGCGAGCCGCAGACTACGCAGTCAGTATCTTTCTGAGATGGATGAAACGCCCAAGAAAGTAAACTCTGGTGGGGACATGCGAAATATGGCTCTATTGAAGCCGGGCGAGGCCAGGAATGTAAGGCAACCTTATAGTCTGTTTGCGCCAGAAGAATCCACTGTTGATGCTCAGCTCCATAGTATACCTGAACTTTTATATCAATCCGGACATCTGGGTAGAAGATTACCCTGCAGTGGTGTACCTGTACACAACGGCACTTTCCGACCAACTCTGGCGGGAAGCGTGGATTCCCTTCCCACAGCAGCTCAAATCGTGGGTCCTGTTTGGGTGGTGTAAAAACATTTGTTTTCGAGAAGAAAGTTCGGAACAGACGGGTCTTGTCTCGATGCGTGAGACTGATACAGGGACAGAGGCCAACGATCCCGGCTCGTGAGTGGCAGGTATTATCATCCTTTAATTGGGTCCATGGGTGTAGCTTGAGGCATGCGTTGCAGAAAGCCCACTTTTCATTCTGGAGCTGATGCAGAAATATGTTACGAGGTACCGTAGCTTGGTCAAGACTGATAGTGGGATTGAGGTTTCTTAACAAACAGGGAAACTGGAGTCGGCGATCTTCAATTATTGGCTTGTAAGTTTGGTAGAGTTCCTGGCATGTTAAAACTAGACAAGCCCGAGATGGAAGAGGTAAAAGCCGCAGGATCTTTCCAAGAAGGTGAGGAGGAAGGCGGAGGAGCGGTGGTAAGTCTGGCTTTGGTGGTAAATCTGCGGTTTGTGAAAGCCTAGAGTAACCCCTGCGAGTGCTGGGAAAGCCTATAGCGGCCATGAGGTTACCAATGAATGAAGTCATGATGGTAGATATAGTGAATATATTGTAAAGTAAAGAGATGCTAAAGGTGAGAATAGTGAGAAGCTCAAATACACAGGATGGGAGTGAATCTTCAGTGAGAGTCAGTCGAGTCAAGGTTAAACGTCAGTCCGGATGGTTTTCCCGGCAAGGCCGCTATATTGCATCACACTGACCCCTATTGGAGGTAATACTCCTTGAACCTTACTACACTTTCACTCACACACTTGAGGCTGTTTCACTGCTTATATAAAGTGATGACTCTGCTGCAGAATGCTTGGTCTGTGCATAGATAGTGCGTACTGGCCTGGACAGGTATAAGAATTTGATTAAGATTCGGTTGAATCCGGCTTGAACTCGATATTGAGTCATCCATTATATACTTCCTGTGTAAATAAATAGTAAGTACATATGACTGTCTGCTCAGCTGTACTCAATCCACACGCCAGGAGGTTAGTAGTTGGACGGATAACTACCAGCAAATCTATTCTGTTATATATTAGTATTCACCTGTTTTTCTTGATTTTAGATATAGTTCTTTTACTACTTTCATTTCATTCTATTTATTCTTCTTTATCTGAAACTCAGCTGAACTGCCTGGATCTCAATATTTTATATTTAATAATCCTCCTTAATCTTTATTTTACTAAGTTAGTAGATCTGTAGGCATTTGACAATCAGCTATGAGGAATGAACGTTATTTTTAGTTTTTTATTTTTTTATTTTTTTAATTGAATTTTCAATCACCTGCGTATTGCATCTACTATCAATAACTTGAAGACATTGACCAATGTCTGCCAGTGAACTTTAGAGCCAAGGAAGCTACTAGAACAGAGTATGTATGTGCCAGAAGGTCAAACTTGAAAATGAGATCGAAGATTAGTACTAGTACGGGCATATGAGTCAACAGGTTCAAAGTTGATCGATTTCAAAACATGAAATATTGTGTAAAAAAAAAAAAAAAGAAACGCCGAAGTACTGAGTGATGATACCAAATAGGAATGACAGACTAAATATTAAACATTCTTGTTCATCAGACATCAACATCCCGAAGAGTGCGCTTCGTCAACAGCGTCAGTTGCGAGAACCACGTCGGATTCCCCAAGACATCCTCAACACTAAGGACATATCCTTGCCTCTCCATGTGAGCTGATATCAGACTAGCGCTTATCAAGTCACCACCAAGATCAAAAATTGTCTTGCCCGCTTTCACCTCAGGACTAAGGGGGCAATTGAAAGTGTCCTTCCACGCACTCTCAAGCGCCCATTGCATTTCAGTCGGGCTAATGCTAGCAACCATTAACTGTTCATTTGTTGGGGTTGCACTGAGAGGCTCCTCTGAGGGCAGCAATGTGGTTGTCCGCAGATATCTGATCTCGTCGGGAGATAACAAAGGCTGGTCCATGACATTGCAGAAAACGATGATAGACTCCGTCAGTTTCGCAGCTAGCAGTTCAGCGTCACGCTCAGACACCACGCCATGTGCGAAGTCCAGCTCAATTCGGAACATGTTGTTATCAGGCTTAGAAGTGATATGAACGTCGGTCATGTCCACTTTGCCGTGAGACAGATTTAGCTCCTGCTCAACGTGCATACTGCGGTTATGAGCAATATGTTCTCCATCGTCAAAGTCATGGTGATAAACGATGGATCCTGCATATGTCCACTTCGGCCATGTAGTACAGTCACGGACAATTTCGCGTGTGCCTATATTCTCATGCTCCATGCTCGCAATCTGTTGGGTGTTCAATGCACTGAGAAGGTCGCGAACAGTCCATCCGTCGGTAAAAGATACTCGAGTAGGAATGATGTTCACGCAGTCTCCAAAGACATCTTGTGTCCCGGGCAAGCCCCGACCGTGAGTGAGGCTACAGAAAACCACGTCGTCGTTGGCAAGGTGTTTTGCCAGAACGTACGCCCAAGCAGCCTTCAGTACAGTATGAAATGTAAATCCAGTACCTTGAGCAATGCTCTTAGGAACATGTCTGGCGACACATGGTCCTTCGCCAAAGGTCAGGGCATATGAAGCATGGGGCTTGAGGTTCGTCATGCTAGAGCCCTTGAGGAGTCTGCGCCAGTGAGACTTAGCTTGCTCCCGGTTTGTACCAGCCACGGCATGCATGTAGTTGGAGAAACTAGCCTTAGACTTTTCTTGGAAGCTAGTGTCCGAAGGAATGTGGAATGAGTCGTCACTCCCGTCACCGTACATTTCTTCAAATGCGTTCCACATTTTCATCAAGCTCATTCCGTCATGTTGAGCATGGGAAATGCGGACCACAAGACGGTATTCGTTGTCGCGGATTTGATGCAAAATAGCAATCTTTGTTAGGAGCGAGCCATAACGGAGCTCATCGTCCCTGTCGCGTAATCGTAGCTCTTCTGTGCATTCCTCTAGGCTGGCATTCTCAATTCTCAAGACGGTTATATCCACAGGAAAGGCCTTCAGCACGACCTGCAAGAAGCTGTCTTTATGTGCGATGAAAAGGGTTCGCATGAGATCATATCTATTGACGAGCTCATTGCACACTGCTCGCATCTTGCGCATATTTGGCACGCCCTTGCTATCTAAAGTGTGATAGAGTAGCAAGTCGCGGGACGCAGAGTGAGTCATCGCGATGGAACGAGCTTGATGATCCGTGACAGGGAGGATGTCTTCAACATTTTCCAAGTCAATACCAAAGTCAAAGAGTCGAGAGAGTATCTGGTCTTTGTTGTGATCTTTGGACAGAAGCGAAGTGGGTTGAAATACCCGTGGCTCTTCCAACTGCGGCTTATCCACAGAACGAAGCAAAGCAGCCATTTCGCTGAACTTAGGATGCTTGAAAATATCTACAACGGAAAGCGATAGTCCGTGGTCACGGGCCGCGCCTACCAGCCTCATAGCACCGATGGAATCTCCACCAAGTTCGAAGAAGTTGTTTGTAGTGCTAATTTTTCGCGATCCTAATTTGAGGACTGAGATCCAGAGCTCCCGAAGTGCCACTTCCAAGGGAGTAGTGGGGGGTTGATATTGCTGTTGAGCTTGGTTGATTGAGGTAAGCTGCTCCAGGGTGAGGCTTGAGGCCATTTCACGTAATCGGCGCCGATCAGTCTTCCCAGTAGCTGTTGTGGGAAAAACAGTAACAGGGATGTAGACCGAAGGAATCATATAAGATGGGATTTGTGTCGCGAGTTTCTCCCTAATTCCCTCGGTCGCCGCTTTCGTGCGGGCAAGAAGCTTTTCATCATTCAGGTTGATAGAATTCAGGTCGTCAAAGCTCACGAAGGCGACAAGTATGTTGTTGGAGCTAGCTTGGGGTGACACAACCTCGACCGCAACCTGAGCACTGCCATGACTCACCAGGTTTGCAGAAACGTGCGACTCGATGTCGCCTAATTCGACGCGTTGCCCGTTTATTTTGATTTGAGAGTCCCTTCGGCCCACAAATGACAAGCTACCATCGGTATTATAGGTGACTAGATCGCCCGTCCTGTACAGACGACCACGGCGGCCTGGAATTCCTGGACTAGCGCCTTTGACTAGGAATTCTGGGTCTTCAATAAATGCTGAAGCGGTTTTGACAGGGTCTCCAAGATAGCCAGCACCAACAAGCGGACCTTCGAGTAATAACTCCCCAGGGATGCCAATCGGCATTAAATGTTGTGCAGTGGCAGGATCAACAATCCAAGTATTGAGTCCCACTCCTTTGCCGATGCTCACTTTGCCCTTGCTTATTTCCGCAGAATTGATCTCCGTAATTGTCGACGTCGGTGTGCATTCAGAAGGCCCGTACGGATTACGCACGCTTGTCAGGGCGGACCAGCGTTGGGCATATTCAAGCGAGAGCTTCTCGCCTCCCAGAACAATGGTATCCAATTTAGCCAACGTACTGGCAGGTAAGACGCTTGCGGCCGAGGGGGTCATATCAACGTGTGTACACCGTAAGCGGTCAATTGCGCCCGCCGGGTCATTTTTACGATCATCATCAGAAGGAATGCATAAGCAGGCCCCAATGGTCAAGGTGTGCAAGAAATTGGACCAGCTGACATCGAACGCATAAGAGGCAAAGTCAAAGACCCTAGAGGTTGGCTTGAAGCCGTGTTCACTCTGCTGATGCTTGATGGCGCTGCTGTAGTTGGTATGAGTGATAATGACACCTTTTGGCGTGCCAGTGCTCCCTGATGTGAAGACAATGTAAATACTGTTTGCGGGATCGACTGCAGCCAGCGGCGTATCGTCAGCCATCGCCTTCATGCTGGCTTTGTCTATAGCCAAGACGGGAGCCGTTGTGAGCCTGGCTGCTAGCTCAACCTTCAATGTCGAAGAAATCACAAGCTTAGCATCCACCTGTGCAACAATAGACTGGAGCCGTTCTTCAGGCTGGCTAGTATCCATCGTAACAGAGGCTGCACCTGTTTTCATAACTGCTAGCATGGCAACTGGTGTCCATTTGGATTTTTCAAAACATAGCGGGACGATGCTGCCTCTTCCGATGCCCATCTTGCTGAGGCTATTGGCAAGGCGTGTTGCAAGATTATCCAGCTCCGCATAGGTGAAATCGCCGTCCCATGAGCAAACAGCTGGTGCATCAGGCTGGCGGAATACTATCTTGGAGATCAGATCGTGAACGCAGATGTTGACCATGTCAGGAACAGTGGAGTTCCAGCTCCAAATATCTTGCTCATCTTGGGGGCTGATCAGAGCAGGTGGCTCATTGTGAAGAATAGCGGCAATGTTTGACTGCAGATGCTCGAGAATGCGTTTTGCCTGATTACTAGTGAGACAGCTGTGTGAGAATTCAAGGTCAATTTCGATGGACCTGGTTCCTTGGTTGATACCCAATACGATGTCGTACTATAAAAACATTAGTCCAGATGTATACACTCTCATGCTCAACAATCCACTGACTTCTGTTGGGTCCAAACCATCAATATTCTTGAATCGAAGTTTACCCTCCTCTGCTGATTGTTCATTATCGTCTCCTGACCTCTGAAAAGAGACAATAGAGTTGAAAAGCTGCTGATCGGACGCCAGTCCAAGCTCATGTTGAATGCTAGCAAGCGATATATGTTGGAAGCTCAAGTCCTGCATTAATTGATTCTGAAGTTGTCGCACGAGTGCCACACCAGGCTGTTGCCCATCCAAATCGGCACGGCAGACCATGATGTTAGTGTAAGCGCCGACAGATTCGTCCATCCCGGCGATTGGGAGGTCTCGACCAGATGCCAGATAGCCAAAGCAGACAGATTGATTTTGTACGTAGGTCGAGAGTGTCAAAGCCCAGGCGCTTTTGAGGAGACTTGCTGGCGTGACCTGGTTTATGCTACAGAAGTCTTGAATCTGCGCAAACATCTTGTCTTCGACAAAAACTCCAATCTCCGAGCTACACTCGTGCTTCTCCCGAGACATGCTCGATAGGGATGGAAAGCGGCAAGGTTCAAGGCCCTTGAGTTTTGTGTTCCAATACGAAATCTTTTGGGACTGTGGCTTAGCCAGCAAGTGGCTAGCAAATTCGCGTGTTGTTTTGACAAGGTCTGTTGACGACAGCCTATCACCATAAGCGTCAATCAGATCCTTAATCAAAATGTTGGAAGAGGCACCATCAGTAATAGCATGGCTCATTTCAATCTGACAAAAGACTTTGTCATCCGGCGTTTGACAAAGAGTGAGGCGATGAGGAGGTTTGGCCTGTTGGTAATCGACTTTCGGAAGCGAGGAAAAGGCTTTCAGGGCTTCCTCTTCAGTTTTAGCCTCAACAACGATAACATCCCCGGAGCACTGTTTGAGAAGGGCCTGGTAAAAGGCGGTAGATCCGTCAAGGCCAGCGATGAAAACTGTCCTCAAGGCAGGCTGGCGAGAAATCACCCTTTGCCAAGCAATTTTGAGGGTGTCGAGACAGATAGGATGGTCATGAGATGACAACACCTCGTATCGCTGAAGTGTCTTGTATGATTCTGGCTGCTTTATCTGACTGAGGAGCATTCCATCGACAATCGGAGAGCACGAGAAAATCTCCTCAACAGTTGATTGGTTGATTGACTCGATCTCCGGAAGTAGTCGACTGGTAAGATCGTCAAGGCGCTGGTAGTCGAGACTGATGAACTTGAAGTCACACAGCGTATGCGTTGGGTTGGCCTCGAGAAGGACGAGGCAAATCCTTTCCAAAGAGGGTTGAATTTGGTCAATCCACTGGTTAATCAAGCTCTGATGAGCGATATTTTGATTAACGGAGAATTCAAAGTGCGCTTGCATTGCTTCAATGGCAACCTCGATGTTAAACAAAGACCCTGCAGATATTGAGCGACCTTGCACACGTACACCGACAAGATCAATGTCTTCAAAAAGGGCTTGATGACTTTCTAGTTGTTGGAATTGGCCATGATAATTGAAAACAACTTCAGACACCGTGTTATGGCTTTCAAAAGCTCTTTGCCCGTCGGGGTTCAGATATCGGGAGGTAAAGTAAGACCAGCCGTTCGCGGGAAGGCTGCGGCGGGCATCCTTGACGAGCCGCACCATGTCGGTCTCGCTGGTGGCATTATTTCTATAGATGTTGATGGGACTGAGTGTGGTAAACCATCCAACAGTGCTCGACAAGTCAATTTCATCGGACCAAGCTTCGCGACCATGACCTTCGTTGAATATGGTCAGGCTGTTGCGCTGGGAAAACGTCCGAAAGAATGCATCCCAAACAGCTGATAAAAGGATCTCTACTGGCTCTGTATTCATGGCATTGTTTGCCTCGCCCAGTAGTACAGCCGTAGTTTCTCGATCAATAGTGACCGATCGGAGCCTGTGGTCTGCCAAGCAGTTGGGCGTGTCGTGCGTATACTTCCAAAACTTGAGATTGTTATGGACGCCGTCAGTCGACAGCAAGTTGTGAGGCTTCAAAGTGGAAGATACAGCCCGCTCAGCTTGCAGCCTGCTCCACACTTGGAAGGGTAGAGCGGCCGTTAGGGAATGGCCGTTGAGAATAGTCTCCAGATCATCTAAGATAATCCGCCAGGAGACCAAGTCGGTAACCAAATGATGGGCTATCATGACCAGATGCTGCTGCTGGCCTAGTAAGCAAATATCAACCGAGAAGACAGGACCTTTCTCTATGTCAATCTGTCGGTGCCGCTCTTGAGCTAACGATGCAATCTCGCTCATGGACAGGTGCTGCGATACGTTCAAATGAAGAGCTCGTTTGCTGTGACTGAGGATTATTTGCTTCCATTTGCCCCCATGATGCTGAAATCGCGAGCGTAACATCGCGTGGCGATTGACCAGAGAAAGAAAGGCTGATTCTAGATCATTGATTCTCACTGTGCGCCTGAGTCTCACATAGAATCCTTGGTTGTAGAATCTGTCATGCTTCTGCTGGCTCATAAATGGCGATTGGTCAAAGAACCACTGCTGGATGGGTGATAGTTCGAAAGGAACGTCAGTATGCTCTTCCTGACTGACTCCGCTAATGGCTGTTGCGCCCGAAAATGCTGCGAAATCCGCGAGGGTTTTACTTTGAAGGAGTGTTGAGACTGAGATGGAAATTCCCACAGTTCTGTAGTGGGATGCAAGCCTCATGGCGGAAATGGAATCTCCACCATTCGCAATAAAAGATTTGTCGAGATTGATCTTGTCGACGGGCATATTAAGGACAATACTGCATTTCTGGCTGAGGACTCTTTCGTCTTCTGTGTCTGGTTTTCGGATAATGTCGCTACCGTTCGCATTGTTGATTTTAGAAAAGAGCGTTTCATCCATATTTTCCAGCCAGGATTTGAGTGCCTTATTGTCTTGCTTTCCCGATGCTGTCATAGGGAGGTTGTACAAGACCACCCACAGAGATGGAATCATGTACTGCGGCAAAGACTCGCGCAATAACGATTGAAGGGCCTCGATGTGCTCATTGATGAGTTGGTCATGTTCCGAAGATGCCAGCTCAATCTTGTTTTCGGCGAGGTCCTCGCTAACATCATAGTTCACATCTGTGAGGCTGATCATAGCTACCAGCTTGTTTGCACAGAGGCCAGTGCTAGGCAATAGGGTCGCCACTTGTCGGGTCGCTGTGTATAGAGCTATATGACTCTCAATCTCAGCAAGCTCTACTCTCTGGCCATTGATCTTGACTTGTGTATCTTTCCGACAAACAAAAGTGAGACTGCCATCTGAGTTGTATCGCACAATGTCACCCGTCTTGTACAGCGTGCCGCGTCGTCCAGGTTGCGCGACAACGTTGCCGCGGAGCAAAAATGGTGGATCATGGATAAAAGCAGCATTCGTTTTCTCTGCATCATCAAGATAGCCAGCACCGACAAGCGGCCCCTCCAAGAACAGCTCGCCGACGCCTCCAATGGGAACGAGCGACTGCCCCGTCACAGGATCAACCACCCAAGTGTTGAGACCAGCAGGCTTACCAATGCTAGCACCAAGATCGTATCCACGCCCAATTGCCTCGGTAAATGTGGCAGTTGGAGTGCACTCGCTTGGTCCGTATGAGTTTTTAACTGTCACAAACTGGGACCACTTTGTTGCGTACTCCGCTAGGAGACGTTCGCCACCTAAAGTGAGGGTATCAAGCTGCTGAAGTGACTCTTTGGACAGGACCAGTGCTGCCGAAGGCGTAAGATCAGCGTGAGTTGGCTTCAGTCGCGCAATCGAACCGTTTAGATCATTCTTTCTGTCAGCATCGGATGGGATACAGAGACAAGCGCCGCTCTCAAAGGTCAGTAGCGCATTGGCCCATGCGACGTCAAATGCATATGAAGCAAAATCATAGACACGCGAGGTTGGAAGGATGCCTTGAACTTCTTTCTGGTGTTTAATTGCACTGGCAAAATTGCAATGTCGAATTATAACACCCTTCGGGACACCCGTACTACCAGAGGTGAAGACCAAATACAGTCTGCTGGACGGATCGACAACTGGAAGTGTAGCATTAAGGCTAGGTTTTAATAAGCGGTCAATACCTTGGCCACTGACAACGAAGCTTTGCGCCTTTGTCAGACTCCGGACAAGAGGCAACTTATCAGCTGAGCTTAGCGCGACCGTGGGATTTGCCTGGTCGATAATCATGCGAAGTCGGTCTTTGGGCTGACTGGTATCGACAGCCACCGACGCAGCCCCTGCTTTCATGACACCAAGCATCGCGATCGGCATCCACTTGGACTTCTCGAACAACAGCGGTACGATGTCCTGAGAGCCAACACCAAGGTCGACGAGGTGGTGCGCAACATAATTTGACAGGTCATCCAGTTGACGGTAAGTCCAGTTGCCGTCCCATGCGCATACAGCTTGGACATGCGGCAGTCTGCGTGCCACAGAGGAGATGAGCTCATGAACAGGCGTGTTGACTGACTGGGGGACTACGGCATTCCACTTCCAAATATCTTCCATGTCTTGTCTGCTGGTGGTATCAATATCAGAAACGACAAGGCCACTACCAGAGCAGCATATTTGACGAAGCACGTGCTCAAACTGCTTTGTAAATCGCTTGACCTGTAGTTCATCGATTACATTGGAATCAAAGTTGGCCTTTATGAGCAAACTGTCGGGTCCGAGATGGCATTCGAGAGTAAGGGCATATGTTCCAATTTCTTGAATGCCCATAGGATCATCAGCTCCTTCTCCGATATCACGGGCAATTATATCGCTCTGCCACTGGGCTGTCTCTTCTGCCGGCTGGACAATGAGAAGTGACTGGAAGTTACAGGCCCGTTCGGCGTCAGGACTTGACTTCCGTATTTGCTGCAGACCAAATTGTTCAAACGCTATCATGTCAATGGACTGATGCTGCATCTGTGTGAGGAAGGCTTGGAGACGCTGCTCGCGGTCAATGCGAACACGAACTGGCACTGTCGCAATAGTCGGGCCTATCATTCTTTCTACTCCAGGGAGCCCAACCTGCCGACCGTTGGAAGTCACGCCAAAGCAAACGTCTTCTGAATTGGTGTAGGCCGCCGTTAAAAGTGACAGTGCCGCACGCACCAACGTAAAAGCAGTGACATTAGTCTTGGGCCACTGCAACTCTTCAACTGTGTGCAAAATGGTCTTTTCAGACTTGGGCACGAACGTGGCAGTTGGTAAGGAGGGAAAAGTGGGTGCCTCTGAGCCTTGGAGTTGGTCTTTCCAAAACTTGGCAGCCGCGTCGTTGTCGAGACTTGAAATGTGCTTGACGAAGTGTCTGAAATCCGGGCTTTCATGCCTGGAAGACCCAGCATAAAAATTTTCGAGCTTTTCGAAGACCAGATTCAGCGCCCAGCCATCATATACTGCATGATGCAGAGTCAAAACAAAAAAGTGTTTGTTCGTCTCTTGTACTAGTCCGAATCGCACCAAGGGCATACCCAGACCAGTTGTCTTCTCATTATCAGCAGCCACGAAGTCGACCAAACTGGAGGCTTCTGCCGATGTCCACTGTGCTGGTTGCTTGATGACAGCTTGCACCAAACCTTGTTCCGCGATGTCTACGATCCGAGTTCGTAGTATTGGGGTGCTCTCCAACACCGCCTCCCAAGAGGCGCAGAACTTTTTGACGTCTGTTGATCTCTTCAGTTCCAAAATGCACCGGATGATATAGTCGCCGGGGCGCTTTGTTGTCAGCGCCAGCAAGCCCTCTTGCAGGGGTGTGCAAGGATATAAATCTTCAACTTGGTTACCGTCCACGCCACATAAAGCGGATGTCTCTGCAACAGCCCAGTTGACATCAGAGCCAGGTTTGAGGAGAGAGAATTCCTTGATTGAAATATCCTGCGACGGCTCTGTTCGTATCATAAGTTTTGCCATATCACTTAGTTTCGGGTTCTTGAGAATATCAGCCACGTTCAGCGTGAAACCAAGTTCCCGGGCAGAACTCGCTAAGCGTATTGCGCCCACGGAATCACCACCGACGCGCATGAAGTTGTCATGTGCACCGATCAAACTACTTTCAACTCCTAGCACAGTCCCCCATAGGATCTGCAGCTGTATCTCCATCTCTGTGCCAGGTTGACAACGATCAGGACCGTGGGAGTCAGCTTTAATGAGCTGGTCCCAGGTAACATCTTTGGCCATCTCGCGTAAACGACGGCGGTCTGTCTTGCCTGTCGCTGTGACAGGAATTTTCTGCAATGGAATATAAGCAGATGGTATCATGAATGCAGGGATTCGAGCAGCAAGACTCTCATCCAGCGATATGGCTGTGCGCTTGGCTAGGCTTAGCAGATCGGCCTCATCCATGCCCTCAGTGACAGTAGGTCCGAAGTAAACAAAAGCTACAAGCATTGGACGTGAGCTTCCTTGAGGTGTTACAAAGTCGACTAAAGCTTGACCTTCACTGAAGTCCGGTAGCAGCGCCCCGTTTATGTGAGACTCAATATCACCGAACTCAACTCGCTGTCCGTTGATCTTGACTTGCGAATCCTTTCGGCCAAGGAAAGTCAAAGTACCGTTGGAGTTATACCGAACAATATCTCCGGTTTTGTATAGGCGGCCACGTCTACCAGGGTGGCCCACCGATCCACGCAGAAGAAATGGCGGGTCATATACGAATGCGGCAGCGGTTTTGACAGCATCACCCCGGTAGCCGGCGGCGACTAATGGGCCTTCAAGTAGAAGCTCTCCCGCACTGCCAATTGGTACAAGAGCCGTACCAGTGGCTATGTCCGCGACCCAGGTATTCAGACCCGCTCCCTTGCCAATTGTGATTGACTGATGCTGTCTGCCGCAGATGGTTTGTACTGTGCTGAATGTTGTACATTCAGTGGGGCCATATAGGTTGGATATCGTGACACTTTCGTCAACTGATCTAAAAGTGTCAACATGTAAAGGTTCGCCGATGAAGTGGACGTTGCATAGGCTGTTCAGAGCGTCAAGCTTCAGGCCGCGGATAGCAGAAGGTGTCAATATGACAAGGTTTGCCCTCATCTTAACAATAGCGGCCATAAAGTCAGTCTTCCTTTCATTGTCGCTCGGGATGCAAACGCAGCTTCCAGCAGAAAGACCCTGTAGTAAGTTGCACCAGACAACATCAAACATATAGGAAGAAAAGTCGAATACCCTAGATTCAGAAGTGAATCCAAGCAAGTGTCGCTGGTGTTTGATCGCACTGGCAATGTTGGAGTGAGTAACTGCCACTCCCTTTGGCACCCCTGTACTACCGGATGTGAATACCACATAGAGAGTATCACTGGGGTTGACATGAGGAAGTTGGCTTCCACTCGGAACATTCAAATTTTCCACTTCTTTGTCGCTTATTGTGAGGACCTTGGTGGGGCTGGGAAGCTCGCTGATTAGTCGGCTTGCAAGCTGTTCGTTGGCAAATGATGACAAGATAATAGGTGACTTCACTTGGTTTACGATTGCTCGTAGGCGTTCCTCTGGTTGGGTTGAGTCCATGGCAACAGATGCGCCTCCTGCCTTCATGACAGCCATCATTGCTATGGGTGTCCACTTTGACTTTTCGAAGCAAAGCGGGACAACCACTCCAGGGCCAACACCATAGGAGACTAGAAGGTGGGCAAGTTTATCTGACAGCTTATTGACTTCAGCATAGGTCCAATCGCCATCCCATGCACAGATTGCCGGAGCTTGGGGGCGTTTATGACAAGTTCGCGTAATGATATGATGCACACAATCGTCGACAGTGACTGGAACGTCTGAGTTCCATTGCCATATGTCAGATATATCTTCAGTGCTAACCATGTTGACGCTTCTTAAAGTCTGATGATCTCCCGAAGCATGCTGAACTAGAGCGGCAGCTGTAGATTGCATGAGTGAAAGTACGCTCTCTGCCTGGATGCTTGAAAGGCAGGCGTGTTTATAGTCAAAAACAATTTCGATGTGGTCGGTAGCGTGCCCAATATTCAACACAATGTCGTACTAGGATTTGTCAGATTCCGTAAAGAACTTTGACATGCGATACAACGTACCTCTGTGGGATCCTGTCCGTCCAAGGCCTTGATGACCAAACCCTCGTCTCTGCCGGCTCATCGTCCTGCTTCTGATATGATAGGATGGAGTTGAAAAGAGGGTTATCGGAATTTATGCCTAGTTCATGCTGGATGCTTGCTAGTGAGCAGTGCTGGTGCTCCAGATCTTGCATAACTTGATCATGAACAGTCTGAACAAATTGAAGTATTTCAGTTTCTCGGTTAATATTGACTCGACAAACCAACATGTTTGTGAATGCACCGATAGATTTATCGATGCCAGCAATAGGCAAGTCGCGGCCAGATGCTAGATACCCAAAGCATGTCGAGTCGTTGCCGGTATAGGCGGCCAGAGTAAGTGCCCATATGGTCTGAAATAAACTGGCCGTCGTGACTTCTACTGAATTGCAATAATCCTGGATTTTGCTAAACAGAGCGCCACGAATTTTGCAGACGGATGTACCGGTGCCTTGTGTTGAAGCACCCGAGATTTTGGGGAAGTGGCAGGGATCCATTCCCGAAAGCTTTTTCTTCCAGTATGACAGTTTTTCCCCAAAAGAGGAAGTGAGTTGGGCCCGAGCAAACTCACATGCTGTGTCCATGAGATTTATTGGCATCGAGTTGCCGTTGTATGCCTGGAGAAGATCATTGGCCAAAATAGATGTCGATGCACCGTCTGTGATGGCATGACTCATCTCAACCTGGCAGAGTACTCTACTAGGTGAGATTCGACAGATCGCGGCTCTATGAGGTGGCTTGAAGCTCTGATAATTGATTGGGATTAAATTCTTGAACATCTCCAAGGCTTCGGTGTACTCGTCGCTGGCAGTATGCAGGATGATGAGCTCGGCGTGGTACTGAGACAGCACAACTTGATTGAATGCAGCGGCTTTGTCCATGCCAGGGATAAAGACGGTTCGTAGAGCAGGTTGATTGGCAACCACTTTTTGCCATGCTAGAGAAAGATGCTCTAGGTCGATTTGGTCGTCGATGTGGGAAGTAATCTCGAAATGTTGCACTGTTTTATACGATTCTGGGTCTTTGAACTGGCTGATCAGAATACCATCAACTGTGGGAAGACAGCGGTAAATGCATTCTACTGTGGAATTATTTAGCTTCTCAATTTCTGGGATGACACTTTCCTGTAATCGATCCAGCTCCGTATACCCGAGGCTCAGAAATTCGTAGTCGCAAAGCGTGCGATGTGAGATTTCTGTAGACACAAGCTCATTGGAAATGGTCTCCAATGACTGTGAAATTGCTTTGATCCAATTTGAAATACAATCCTGGTGATTAATGTAGCGGTTGGCAGAAACGTCGAAGGTGACCTGCCCTCGATCTATCGAGACTTCGACAGCAATCAAGGAAGAGGCGGGAAGAGCTGGTCCTTGCTCGCAGACTCCACTGAGCGTAACATTTTCAAACATCGCCTTCTCGTTCTCCAGCTGTTGAAATTGGCCGTGATAGTTAAAGGTTATTTCCATAATAGAGTCGTGCGATTTGAACGCTGATTTTCCCGATTCATTGAAATATCGAGAAGCAAAGTAAGCCCAGCCATTTGCAGGCAGGAGCCGCCGAGCATCTTTGACAACGCGTACTAGACTTGCGACAGACTTGTGTACGTCGCTCTTTGACACATGAATGGGGCTGATGGTAGTAAACCAACCGACAGTGCGGGAAAGATCAATATCCGAGGACCACGGCTCGCGACCATGTCCTTCAATAAAAATAGTGAGACCGTCTCTTTGGGGGAACGTCTTGAAGAATGCATGCCAAACAGCCGCAAGAAGGAGGTCCACAGGTTCAGTGTTGAACGGGTAATTTGCGTCTTTGAGGATGAGCTCTGTAATGCTGCTGTCGATCTTGGTACAGAAATTTAGGTGATCTTCGACGGTGTTCTTGGTTTCTGCTGTGGCTTGCCAGAAATCGAGGTTGTTATTAATTCCAGTGGTTGATAGAACATTTTCAGGATCAAGTAGGCTCGATTCCTTCGCCCGCTCAATTTGCATATCATTCCAGACTTGAAATGGAAGACTTGGTTGCAAATTACTACCACCGAGTAGAGATTCTATGTCCTCCAGGATGACACGCCACGAGACTAAATCAACAACAAGATGGTGAGCAATCAGGATCAGGTACTGTTCTCCAAACGCATTATGGCAAATGTCAGCAGAGAATACTGGCCCCTTTTCGATGTCGATCATCTGGTGGCGTGATAGAGCTAGTCGCTCTATATCAGCTGGAAGGCACGTGTGGTGGACACCAAAGTGATATAAACCATTGGTGTCAGGCTTAAGCGTTTTTTGGGTCCACTCGTCGCCGTTCCGATGAAAGCGAGCTCTCAACATAGAGTGATGCTGAACAACTTTGGAAATCGCCGAGTCAATATCCTTTGTCAATAATGGGCGCTTAACCTTGAGATAAAATCCTTGATTGTCGAAGTTGTCATTGGATCTCTTGTAGAGACCTTGTTCAAAGAACCACTGTTGGATCGGCGACAACGCAAAAGAGTCACTTTTTTCCTCATAGAAGCCCAACACGTTGGAAGCTGACTTGATTTTTGAAGATGAGGCCAAAGCGGCCAAAGTTTTGCTCTTTAGCAATTTAGCCACCGAAAATACGACGTTGTCCGCGCGACAATGAGCAACGAGCCTCATGGCGGAGATGGAATCACCACCATTCGCAATGAACGACCGATCCAGGTTCACCTTCGATGCTGTAATGTTGAGAATTTTAGCGCAAGCCTCTACTATGACCTGTTCCAATTCTGTCTCAGCCTTGCGAAGCTTCACGTCGCCATCAGACGCATATAAAATATTGGCAAACGTCTTGGCATCCATGCTATCAAGCCATGATTTCAAAGCTTTGTAATCGAGCTTTCCGGACGTTGACAACGGAACATGCTGGAGTGGAATCCAAATTGAGGGGATCATATAAGCAGGAAGAGTGTCGCTGAGACTAGACTTTGCGGACTCGGTGTAAGCCGTAACAAGGGTCGAATACTTGGGATCGATGAGTCGAATTTGATCGGCGGCTGTCTGAGTTTGGCCAGTTCCCTGGATGCAGACAAATGCAACTACCCTATTTGCACACAGCCCTGACTTGGTAAACAAAACAGCCACCTGGATAGTCTTAGAGGTGCGACGAATATGGCTCTCAATCTCGGTCAACTCGACACGCTGACCATGAATCTTGACCTGAGCGTCCTTGCGCCCAACGAAACTAAGACTTCCGTCCGGGTTGTAATGAACCAGATCGCCAGTCTTATACATTCTGGTATGTCTTGCTTGACCTTGAGGGCATATTTGCAATAGGAACTGAGGATCTTCCACAAAGGAAGCGGCCGTCTTCGTGTCATCGCCGAGGTACCCTGCGCCAACGAGAGGCCCCTCGAGCAGGAGCTCTCCGACCCCGCCGACTGGAACTAAAGAGTCTGTAACAGTATTTACAATCCATGTATTCAGACCTAGTCCTCTTCCAATACTGGATTTGTACTCATCGGTGGGTGTTACCGTCGCAATGGTAGCCGTGGGCGTGCATTCACTGGGACCGTATGGGTTCTTGAGGCTGACTAGTGAGCTCCAGCGCTGTGCGCTCTCGACAGAAAGCTTCTCGCCTCCGAGTACAACCGTCTCAAGCCTTTTGAATGACTTCTCTGGGAGCAAGCTTGCTGCGGAAGGCGTCATGTCAACATGGGTAGCGCCGAACCTCTCCAACGACCCGGCCAAGTCATCACGGCGGTCCTCATCTGACGGAATACACAAGCAGGCACCAACAGTAAGTGCATGTATGAAGTTAGACCAGCTAACGTCAAACGCGTATGAGGCAAAGTCATAAATCCGAGATGTCGATTTGAAACCATGAGCTTTTTGTTGGTGTCGGATGGCACTGCTAAAGTTAGAGTGTGTGATAATAACGCCCTTAGGAACACCCGTGGTGCCAGATGTGAAAACAATATATAGCTTGCTGGAGGGGTCAACGGTGGGAAGAGGCTCGGCGGTGATGTGCATAGTAGAAATGGAATGTTGGTCAACAACAAGGTTTGGAGCTTTAGTGAGTTGGGCACCCAAGCCCTGCTTAGACGCCGATGACAAGATCACTCGAGGGTCAGTCTGGGAGATAATCGACCGTAATCTCTCCAGAGGCTGAGAGGCATCGAGGGTGACTGACGCTGCCCCGGCCTTCATCACAGCCAGCGTTGCCACTGGTGTCCATTTTGACTTTTCAAAGCATATAGGTACAACTGTGTTGGCAACGCCAAACGGAGCAAGCGCGTGTGCAAGACGGCTAGACAAATCATCAAGCTCGATGTAACTCCACTCACCATCCCAAGCACAAATAGCAGGGGATTGAGGCTGAGCTCTTACTGTGTCCGAGATGAGATCGTGGACACAGGCCTCGAGGGCGTCTGGGACAACTTCATTCCAAGTCCAGATGTCATGCAAGTCCTCTTTGCAGACGGTAGAAACATCTCCCAAAGTTATTTGCTTTTCCTCTCCCTGTCGCTTGCGCTGCAAAGGCCAATTGCTCAACGATTGAGATGGCCGTCCTTGATAATCTGTGGGGAAGTTGAACAAAGCCCTGCTGGTTCGGTCTCCTCGTGAATGGTGTCGGTGGAATATGGCATCCAAGCCACCGCGCTGAGAAAATTGCCGACTCCAGCTAATCTCCACTTGCCATCCTGTCTGGTGAGCTATTTGTTGCAGATCGAGAGCCGAGAGTGATGAGCATTCTTGTGATGTTTGGCGGATAGAAGAGAGCCAGTCCTCAGCATCGGGACCGGCAGTGAGGCCACTATCAAGCCATTCAATCACGTGCCTCTCGTAGACTGTCATGCTATAAGGTATATTGCATACGGCCACAACTGATGAGGGGGACGGGTCTCGTAAGAAAGAATCCTGTACAAGTTGTAACAGCGACTGACGATTGAGTTGACGCCCGGAATAGTTAATCCAGCTCTCTTTCTGGATATCGTGGACTTGTAATGGCTGAGCTAGTTGGTTTGAGTCTTTGAGATGCACGACGGCAGCGTATCGATAGGCACTCAGCTCATTCGTCGACTTCAATCTTTTTGGAAGAATCTCCACATGTTCGACGAGTCCAGGGAACCGGTCGACTAAGGATGTGAAAAAAGCGGGATCTACCAGCAACTCCAGCTCGACTTGCTCCATGTTGGCCATCATCTGTCGGATCTCGTCCTCGGTTGCAGTATCTCCTGCAATATGCAGCGCCCTGGTAACCTGGAACTCTCGAAACAGCGCGTAGGAGCGAATGTCGCCGAAAAAGATCGTGCGGACTGTTTCCAGCTGAACTAGGTCCTCAATTACTTTGAGCAGATAGTCTTGACTGGGAAAGTACTGGACGACAGAGTTCACGATGACCATGTTAGCAGAGATGGGTACGCCTAGGCTGTTGATGTTGTCTGCTGTTCCCTTTATATTATAGACACGGTCGGCCAACTGGGGAATGGATTTAACTGTGGAACAAACGAAGTCCACGGCCTTTTCTGACGGGTCAAGTCCAACATAACTGTGCAGGCCGTTGACAAGATTGAACAAGATCATTCCACTGCCGGACCCCAGCTCGAGTATGTTGGCTGTCGATCCGCTGCTGCGTATTGTGGCAATAGTATCGTCTAGCCACTCGTTCAATTCGACATTGTCTATTTGGTTGCCATTGTACATGGACGTCCATCCGATGAAGTCGCGCCCAATCTTCTCCAATTGGACATCATTAATAGTTCCATAGACCTCCTTATCGAACATTCCCTCCCATACCATGACTTGCTGCGTTTCATGGCCAGCAACTGCCTTGTCATCATTGGGTAGCTTAGTGTGCTCGGTACCTCCTTTAACTTGGACTTCTGAGTCGTTCATGAGCTGCTCTTCTCCATAAAGCTGCAGGCCACTGTCACAAGCCTTCTTTGCAACGTCTTGCAATTTCGGGCGACGGAATATGTCTGACACAGCCAGTTTCAAGCCAAGCTTACGAGCTTCTGTCACAACTTCCATGGCAGCAATAGAGTCGCCGCCGAGTTGGAAAAAGCTGTAATCTAGCCCAATTGATGCTTGATTAAGGTTGAGTACCTGTGCCCAGATTCGCTGCATCTGCCGCTCAGTTTCCGTTGTTGGCTGCCGCAGCGATTCAAGTGTTGTTCTCTGTCTGTGAATTATCATCGTCAGATGACATATTTGACCAAGGACATGCTCAAACTGCTGTGACAAACGGCGCACTTGATGCTCCGATATGACTGCGGAACAATAGTTCATATGGAGGTCAAGGCCATCTTTCTTGAGCAGACACTCCATAGTCAAGGCATAAGTCCCCAGCTCTGCGGCGCTGTTTCCATCTCCTTTCCTTATGTCGTCGGGAATGTTGGTAAAAATGTCGCTCGGTGCTGTGCCCGAGCCCTCCGCGGGCTGAACAACAAGCAGTGTCTGAAACTGGCATGCTCGCTCCGCATCTGCATTGATATGTCGAATCTGATGCAGCCCAGTCTGCTCAAACTCAATCATATCTGCGGCCTGAGATTGAATTCGCTGTAAGAACTGTCCCAACTCGTCTTTGCTGTCGATCGAAACGCGCACAGGTACAGTGGCTATAGTTGGTGCAATAAGCTCTTCAACCTCATCCACGGCGGCTTGTCTGCCCGTCGTTATGCTGCCGAAGACAACATCTGGGCTGTTGGTCAGACTGGATATCAAGATAGAGTAAGCCGCACGAATTGTCGTCGATGGGGTGATTCCATTTTTTGGCCATTGTATTCCTCCCACAGAATGAGTGTACAGTTTGTCCGATCTAGGCTGGTAGTCGACAGATGGCAAACTCGGAAAGATCTGGGCTTCGACGTCTTGGAACTGTTCGGTCCAGAACGAATGAGTCTTCTCGCCATCCCTCGTTGAAATATACTTGATAAAACGTTTAAAATCGGGTGAGTTTGACTGCGCGTCTGCCTTTCCGGCGTACTCGTTCTCGAGCTTTTCGAGTAAAAGCTGAAGTGACCACCCGTCATACAGGGCATGGTGCAGTGTCCAGACGAAGTAGTGCTTAAAATCAGACGAGTCGCCGGTGACAATTTCAAATCTGCCTAATGGCATGCCTAGCCCGAATTGATGCTTGTGGTCTCTCGCCTGGCTCAAGGTCCTCCTTTGGATCGACGAACTTGACCACTGCTCGTCTAGAACAGCCTGTACCAACCCCTGGCTAGTGATGTCGACAATTCGTGTTCTCAAAATGGGCGTCGTAGCAACTACTGTCGCCCAGGCTTTACCTAGGCGCTCTATGTCGCATCGATGGTGTAGCTCCAGCGTATACTGCATGATGTAATCACCCTCGCGTTTTGCGGATAGGGACATCATGCCTTCCTGTAGCGGTGTGCAGGGATAAATGTCTTGAATTTGATTCCCTTGTACGTTGCACGATGCTGCAGCCTCTCTGAGGGCTAGATCAAGATTAATATCATCGCTCAGAAGCTCAAATGGCATAATTTCATGTGCCTGCTCTTGCTCCACTGTTCCAACCACCTGTGCCATGTCCTGAAGTCGCGGATACTTCAGCACGTTGGCCACGCTCAGGGAGAAGCCTTCTCTTCGAGCTGCAGTGACGAGTTTCATGGCTGCATTTGGGTTGCCGGCTCTTTGCAAAAAGTTATCGTCGAGAGCAATAAGGTTTTCGTCAATCCTGAGGATAGAGCCCCAGAGTCTTCTCAACTGTTTCTCTCGCAGAGTGAGAGGGATCCGAGCCTCATTAGGTGCTGCGCCAAAGCCTGCCAAGACAGTCAAGTCCATTGATTCACCAATGGCCCGCAGTTGGCGTCGGTCTGTCTTGCCTGTCGGAGACAATGGGAAGTTCCTCAACGGAATGAATACAGCAGGAACCATATATGAAGGGACATCTCGAGCAAGATTGCTTCTCAAGTTAGACATCATCTTCTCGGTTTTTGAAAACAACTGTTCCGCTATTCCCGTATCCTCTACACCAAGGTCGACCTCGAGAAATGCTGCCAGGACAGCATTGGAACCAGTCTTTGGTGAAATAATTTCTGCTGCAATTTGTCGCACAGACACGGTGCCATGTGGGATGTGGCGGTAAATATGATGCTCAATATCACCCAGCTCAACTCGTTGGCCGTTAATCTTGACTTGCGTGTCCTTACGGCCAATAAATGTCAAGCTACCGTCTTTCTCGTAACGGACCAGGTCGCCGGTCTTGTAGAGACGCCCGCGCCTCCCAGGCTGCCCAGGTCCATCGCCGCCATTGAGCAGAAAAAGCGGATTGTTGACAAAGGCCGCAGTGGTCTTCGTCTGGTCGTTCAAGTAGCCATTGCCAAGCAGATGCCCTTCAAGTAATAGCTCTCCAACCTGTCCAATAGGCACCAAAATTTCTTCATTCTCACTGTCTACAACCCAGGTGTTGACACCCAAGCCTCGGCCAATGCTGCTAATTTTTGAATCATCATCATCCGGTCGAATTGTAGCGATAGTTGATGTAGGCGTACATTCACTCGGTCCATACGGATTTTTCAATGTTACCAGCGATGACAAATGTCTGGCAAGCTCTGCAGGCAGCTTTTCGCCACCTAAAACAAGTGTTTCAATCTTGCAGAGCAAGGAATCAGGGATAAGGCGAGCAACAGACGGGGTCACATCGATATGTGTAGCACACAGTGAGCGTATGGACTCGATGAGATTGTCCTTACGGTCCTGCTCTGATGGAATACACAGACAGGCGCCGATGGTGAGGGTGTGGATGAGATTTGACCAACTCACATCAAAAGCATACGAAGCAAAGTCATACACTCTTGAAGTAGACTTGAAGCCATGCGCTTCTTGTTGGTGGAGAATGGCAGTGGAGTAATTGAGATGTGTGACGACGACGCCCTTGGGAGTTCCTGTACTTCCGGAGGTAAAGACCACGTAGAGATTGTTGTCCAGACTGACGTCAGGGAGACGGGCGACTGAGTCCGGCTCGAAATTCATTTCGGATAGAGAATTTTCATCAATTGTCAATGCTACTGCAGACTCGGTGATGATTGACTTGGCCAACTGACTCTTGGACGCGGAGCATAGTATCACTACAGGGTCGACCTGGTTGATGATAGACTGTAACCGTGTCTGTGGTTGGCTTGTATCGAGCGCAATGGAGGCTCCACCCGCCTTCATGACGGCCAGCATAGCCAGAGGCGTATACTTCGACTTTTCAAAACATATGACAACATTGGTTCCAGGGCCAACTCCAAGGTCAAGCAAACGCAATGCCAGTTTGGTAGAAGTAGTCTCAAGCTCACCATACGTCCACCTCCCGTCCCAAGCGTCGACGGCAAGTGCATCTGGCTGCTGGAGAGCTTTGTCGGTGATGAGGGTGTGAACGCATGTCTCACCCGCCTCAGGCACGTTAGCGTTCCAAGACCATATTTGATGAATATCTTCCATGGTTGCTGATGTTGTAAGATCATTGGGAGATCGCATTTTGATAAGATTTATTGATCGTTTGAGGGATTGATGAGTGTATTGTTATGAAGCAATTGATGGTATTCTGTGGACTCTTCTCATTTTAAGATGTTTGGACGGGGCATCAGCAGAATATATGAAGATGTGCCAGCTATAGTACCAACACTGTAACTATGCTAGTAAAACGCCATTAAGGCCAGACTCCCCCGACGGGCAATGAATTTCCGAGGTCGTCATCTTGGGCTTAGTCGGAAAGCACATAAGCAAATATGCAGTATACTGTTGCATCTGAATCCTACAGCGCCAAAGCAAGTTTTCCCCAGCAAACATGTGCTAAGGGGCCAAATCCATTAGAGACAATGACCCTGATCTGCAGGGTCATTGTCTCTAAAACCGCTCGTCAGTGCGAGGCGTCGTTTCTGACGAAATATCTCCAAAGTTTGCTCTCCGTCATCTGATTATACATAGATGTCTTGAAACAATCTCAAGGAAGATTTGAAGACTAAAAAACGCAAAAAACAAACAAAGCATATGAACTTTCAAAGCCCTTTCTTTGTGCTTTTCGTGTTCTTTTTGGCTCCACTGTGGATCTTGCAACAATCCGATACTACCTCAGCGGAAGCCTAGATTTGCATCCGACAGGTGGTTGCCTTACGAGTGAGACAAACAGATACAAGAGTGGAGGCTTAGGATCCCTGGTTCTCCGTGGCACATCAGGCAATGTGCAGTGGGTACGTAACGTGATTATGAGGCTTCTAATGAATATTACAATGATGATCATCTCTAAAGCAAACGTAGGAAATCTTATCAGAGTCTTGGATGGGTTTAGGATAAATTTAATTTTTGGAAGATCAATGAAAACCGGAAATGAGGCATTGAGGTAGTTGGAAGGCTGAAAAATCGAAGAAATTTCAAATTCGAGGGTTGCGCGTATTGATTACTATTTGGAGAAGCAATTGAGCTTACTCCATAGCCCCCAAGACCCCAGGATCGCTCTCGCTCAAGCCGTAGATCATTCCCATCACATTTAGGGCTGTCTCCAACTATGGTTGGGGGCCGCGCCGAGCCGAATCCACAAGCTTGAATGACCAGTGGACCCGTGGGAACTGCACTAGTGCTTAGTCATATAACCCCGGCTCTAGTTAACTATAGGCTACTGCCGTGACAACTGCCCCTATTAGAAAACTGCTGCCGTCCTTGGTAGCAGCGCAACAGGCGGCAGTGTCAGAGTAGTATGTTACGGAATAAGATGGACATGCTAAAGATATTGCTATTGGTACGTTCTACCCGACGTAAGATACTAGTTATCATCTAGCGCTTAGTCATATATACCCGGCTCTAACGTAACATTCCCGGCCGTCTCGGTCACCCTAAAACATCATACTAAATGCGATAAATTACATTTTCATACTTCAACAACCATATCCATTCAGGATATGATATTGAGTGCATATAGTATAGATAGTATTTCTAATCTACTAGTAAAGTATAGGAAGATTGTTCTGAGTATTGGCAGAGATATATATAATTCAATCTCAAATGTCAAACTTACGCGGTACATAGGGGCCCGAGGGCGGGCGTGATGAGGCTAATATTAAAGATATTTATGGTTTATATAAGCTAGTAGTAAGGTTATTAAAAATTATTGATAATCAAATAAAAGTATCATATAATTAGCCGGTTAGGGTGAGGTTTGTTAGGTTATTTACTATTATTTTATTAATATATATTATCTTTATATATGAGTTTAAAATCATTTTATATTTATATTATATATCGCGGGATACGTCTTGAAGTTATAAATAATTATATATATATTATAAAACTATTATATTACTTCATACGTGTCAGAGAACAACCTAGGGGAGTTGCTACCACAAGGCTAAAAAGACCATCATTACCCGCAGCTACCTGCGGACCCCTAGAATCCTGCTTATATAGACATGTATACACGGGAGCAGGTGGTATCTCACCACTTAGGCCACCCCTCGGGGTAGTAACCTATGATAATATGTAATTACCCGGTATTCAAAACATTGATTAAGTTATTAATTATTATTAATAAACTTATTTTGATTAATAATGATTAATAATTATAAATAACTATTAAAACCTGTTAATAACTTTTGAAAACTATGATATACTGTTTATAATTGGCTACAGCCTCCCAACAACTTCCGCCAGCGGCCGACTGTGTATTTTATTATAAAGCCTTAAAGTAATAGCCTGAAAGGCCTGAAATCTGTATATGTTCTTCCTATGCCTAGATGAATATATATATATATTAGAAATTTGATTGAAATAGATCCCTGGTGGTTGAGATATCGAGGAATCAATAGTCAGCATCTAGTATGGTGTTTTGGGGTGACCGGGACGGCAAGGAATTACGTTATAGGGCTACTGCCATGACAACTGCCCCTATTAGAGAACTGCTGCCGTCCTCGGTAGCAGCGCAACAGGTAGTTAACCTACTAGTAAGGCGGACTCGCTAGGCAGAAAGCGCCAATAAGGGCAGCGCTCGGGCAAAACCAAACTGTTATTTAGGAATTATTTGATTTTTAATAGCCTGGATAGCTAGTGAAATCCTACCCTCCTGCTCTGCTGAATCTCTAGAGCTTCGGGGAGCGAATTGGGGGCATCGTGGGTGGTTGAATTAACTACGTACTAATTCCTGGACGCGTTTTGGGTGGGGTTCGCAGCTCGTATGTGAATTACGTTACGTTAAACTGGCACTAAAGCCTAACAAATCAGGCCTTAAGGGTGAAGGCTGAAGAGATTTCTGGGGTCGGTCTGGGGGGGTTGCGAACTATTAGCAAATGCACGTGATCTAGAAGCTACATTGATCGGTGTTTCTGAAACATCTCGGAGGGCTGTGGTTAAATCAACGCTCATTATTCATGGGCCTAACAAATAAACAAAATAAAAGTGAACTTATTTCGGACCTCTCACATTTTAAGGGACTGGACAAGCGTGCGGGCCGGGGAAGTTCCAAATTGCTCCGATCTCCCGTCAGCCCAGCCCAGCCCAGCCCAGCCGTCAGCCCTCCCCACCTGCAGTTTGGGGGCGGCGATCACAGTTGGGAACTCCCGTCACTCCCACTGACGATCACATCAAGTTTCTGGCCCCAATGCCTACATTTTTTGGTTCGGTCACTTCCAAGGTTCGGTCCCTCGTTGGAACATGCCAATCAGGTTGCCCATGTGGACGTTCAATTGCGAGCTTCTAACCTCTACACTCAGAAACATTGAATTTACACCTCACGTTTGCGCCCTTCAGCTCTGTCCGGTGAGCACGCGCACACGCACAACTAGAGCCTCTTCTCCCATCCTACTCTGCATAAGCAGACTGGTTTGACGCGTCTGATCTGTCTTCCACCTTCGTTGCCATAACTGCGCAGCCATGTCGGACCCTCAGCAGGGTTGCTCCATGGCTGTCGAGGACGTGTTCGGCATCGTCAACAGTTCCTGCCTTAACGGCTTCGACTTTACGCTCTTATTTGAGGAAGCCATATTAACCATACTGCCGTTGGGAATTTCGAGTACATACTCCCCTTCCCATTCTTTGCCTCGCTTTGCCTTCTTCCCATCTTTAACTTCTTCATATACAAATGCTAACAACTGTCAGTCGGCTGGGCGCTTCTGCGTCTTTCGAATCTGCGCAATGAAGCCCCCAAAATCTCTAGGTCGTGGCCATTGGCCGTAAAAATGGTTAGTTTCACCCGAACCACTACTCCGATGTGTAAATGCCAATCTCATTGTGGTGACAGTCCTTGTTCGCTGCCTTCATTATCCTACAAGCCGTCCTTCTCGCCGTCTGGTCGGCCCAGAACATA